TTTGGCACTAACTGTCACATAAATTTTAGGGTCTTGTTGCATTAACTTTGGCTGTAGTTTTGGTTTGGTTTGGTAAGGAGGTTAATTTAAAGGGTGAGAAACGAATCGTGTAGACTTAAAAGTTGGGCCTAGACATGAGAAACGGGCCGGGCCAAGTTTTTAATCCCGGCCCGATCAAATTTTCAAGCCCGGCCGGATCAAAATTTTGCTCACATTTGTCAGGCGCACTTTGACCTAGATTTGGGTCAGTCTCGGCCTGTTCCCCATGTCTAGTTGGCCCCAAGCCTGGTTCGAGCCTCAAAATTGAGCTCGGCCCGTTTCTCAAAGTTTGTGAATAGTATTTTTAATTTATCATTTATTTTTATATTATTGTAAAATATTTAAAAACTGAGATGTAAGTAGCTGTAACAACATTAAAGCAAAGCACGGCAATTACAGTACAATCTATATTGAATTTAGCGTGTCATGCCATTTCGGGTAGTAACTGAACTTTACTAAAATTTACATTTGCACATTGTAAAGTTAATTTTAAAATTATTTTTAATGACCTTTAGAGTAATTTAATTTTAGTTAGCTGTAAAGTCTGATTAAGCTGTTTTTAATCTAATTTTAAAGTTTTTCTAACATGTAAGTATAAAGTTTAATTTACAATTTTAAAAAAAATTTTGTTTTATATAATATTACTACGGTTGAAAACAAAGTTGAAGAAATCATCAGTACAATAGTTTAGTTAAAAAGTGGACAGAGATACTAAAAAACGAAGGTTGTTGCTATATAGTCTGTGGCAGCTACTTATAGGTCTAGGTTAAGGATACTAACTATCGTCTATAATTATATAGTAATCTCTCTGACCTTAATGATGTGTCAAGTAATTTGAGCCAGTTCCGATGATCTCATAGTTTTCAATTTGTTTTTTTTTCCCTCGTTCGAATTCCGTCCAACTGTCTGAGAGCGTTTGAAAAGTTTGAAAAATCTGTTCGGGAGGACTTTTTCCTCAGGGCTTCCTCTTTTTCAATACGTGGTCTTGTCGCATCGTCAAGCTTTCAAACTTTATTCATCACTTTTGGAGGCCTCCAAACGTTGTTTTATTGTTTTTGGTTGATTTACTGGTATTTTAGAGCATAATTTTAATTGTTTTAAATTTTTTAAAAGTTTTGCTTGTAATACGTTTGCTAAAGGCAATACTCATTAAGGCAGGGGTAGAAGAGAAGGCGGTGGATTGTTTTGTCAACTCATTCTGTACTTTCAAACTGTCTTTCCCTCAATTGTTTTGAAAAGGCCATCGAGACTAACCTCCCTCCGGGCGGCTAGCAACCTTCGAAAAAACACCCAATTCAGAAGCGTTTGTGTTGGAAATGTTTTTTTTCTTCAACCGCGAAGAACGTGAAAAGGGAAATTGCTGTGGGGTTGAAGAAATCCGAAACACTTTCATTTTGCGAACGGGAGAGGGAAAGTTTGGGCGTGCAGAAGTGGAGCCTTCCGAATGCTGTCGACGTTCTTCTGAGGCCGTGTGCGTGGGCTAGGCAGAAAAAAGTTATTACATCAAACGTGAACAGTTTGGGCACGTTGAACCGTTTCTTTTGGTTTCAAAAAGTTTGGAAAGGGTTGTAGCATATAGTTTATGAATTGTAACTATTATGTAGGTTGTTATAGATTTGTGCTTGGTTTTAGGAATTCTTGCGTTTAATAAGATACTCATGGATAGAAAGCACCTTCATCTTGTTTATACGTTAATATATTTACAAAAATAGTAACTTTATAATTCAAAAACTGACTTTTTACTTCATTCATAACATTTCAATACTGGATATTGACATTACAATACAGCATATTTGTTTGTACTTCATTTCCTGCACTATACTCGAATTTAGTCAGGTGTTTACCCATATAAACCATGTTTTCGTGTCATTCAAACCGTGTCTAATTTACGTTTTTGTGCCGGATTTGCATGTTTAAATGTTTACCTAGTCACCGTAAACAAATCTGCAATTCTAAGACACCTACGCGGTAATCACAGTGAACTTGTTGATTTCTAGACTGTTGGGCCATACTTTTCTTTTGATTTCTAGTACTATAGTAGTATGTATTGTTCATTACTTTAGTAATTGAGGTAATTTAACAAATAATTTTTCATTAGCATACGGGATTACACTGACTTTTGGCTAAAGTAAACGGATTTACAACGCTTTTACTATATCATACTACCATACAGTACTTTTTCGTTTATATGCATTAAAGTCAGTGCTTAATAAGCTTACTAACATATAATATTGTATAGTCCTTTCCAAATGATATTATAATACAGTGCACTTAATTTGTCATTTGAGATTAACTTGCGGGACACTGAAAACAGGAAAAATAATATAAAACATGATGTTATGTTTGAGTAGGTTGATGTACTTTTGGTTAAACAAAAGATTTTAAAATTTTGCACTTTTATGGGTTTATCTTGACATTTAAACTGAGGAAACCTTGATACGTAAGTCTAAAAGTGTATTTTCTTAACAGAACTTTATACAACAAGTAAGGCAGCGTAAGGGTCAAGCTTGCAAACTAAGCGGCGGAGTTCAGAAATTATAGTAGAGTATTTGTTTGGCAAAGAGATTCTATTATATAAAAATTCACCAATGTAAGTTAACAACCATTCCTATTACTTTTCATAATAGTACAAAGCTTTTTTAGGAACTCATAGGCACTCAATTATGACACATAAGAGTATTATGCTAAAAATGATTATTAACTTCGGACCACACAAATTCTAGAATTTCTGCTGACTTAAGTTCAATTTGTTCTTCTTTTATCGTGGTATTGAGTAAACTATAACGTTATCTTTGCACGTGAATGTCACCGTCTTTGTAGTTTCGGTTTGAGCACGATTTCGAAGAAAATACAATAATTTTACAATGTTTTTGCATCTTTGATGGTAACTACATATTTTGCTTTTTCATACGAATCTGCATGTATTTATATTTATTCAGTAATTCAATAATGTATATGGCAGTTGTATGTATAACTTCTCTCTTCTTATATACATCTCACTTTTAACATTGCTGTACCTTAATATATCACAATTTTTTATACATATTAACCTACTTTAATATACAATTCCTGTCATTTCTTTTTGTACAAGAACATTACTGTTACCCTGCACATTACTTTATATGCAAATACGACCGATTACTAGAACAATTTTACAATTTGTGCATTAAGGTCACACATTTACATTGTTTTTGCAGTCGACTAATCCATCTTGTTTTACATATTAATTGTCCGTTTTTACGTAAATCGCTTAATTCCGCGAAAGTAATGTTTACTATTTGTCATTAATGGTGTGATTGCAGTCATTTGGCTGTAGCTTGGGGTTTTACTATGGTTTTTGAAAATTATATTAGTTATGGTATTATAGTTATAGCTAGAAATACATTTGTAAATTTTTTGTTATTAGGGAGGGGTTGATAAGAAAAATCTTTTATTGGTAGGGTTTTACAGCTTTATAAACAAGTTTTACCTGTAAGAATTCATTATACAGAAGCTCGCCTGTATTTGTCATCAATGTAAACTTTTACATTTATTATTGCTTATGTTCTGATCCGACTTGTTTACAACTTTAAAATGAATAGGTCTAATTGAATAGGACGATTTCGTATCTTCTCCTCTACATCATACTTTCATTCATACTGCAAATTGTTTGCAATTTAGCCAAATGTCATTAGAGTACGAACATATGTGTACGTGTGTATTTTACGGAAGAGTCTGTCTTTTGAAAAGATTTTGTCATTTACAACTACGTTTTATACCTGCTACTTTTGAACAAAAGAAAAGTATAGTAAATAAAAAAACGTTGGTAATATTTCTATTATGACAATCTGAAATGTATTTTCAATAAAAGCAATATTTGAATGTAAATTCATTTTTCTTTTGACAATCTGAAAGTACGAATGTTTTTTGTCTATAGACAGTCTTTGTAAAGGATAAGATATGCACTATGTACGTAATGTTACGTACATAGTGCATATCTTGTATATATACTTACTGATATTGTACAATAACACCCTACGTTTTCAATGTTTTCTATAGTAAAAGCGACTTTAAACTTAATTTAAAGTAAAAGTACATGTATACATTGGCTTACATGTTAGCCAAAGTAACTTCCAAAGCCCCCAGATGCTACAGCACGGCCTAGTACAACAAAGCACAGCACTTTTTGCTTAAACTCTTTAATTTGATGCCTAATCTCTTCTCCTTCATCCCTCCTATAATCCCCTTGGTTCGTTAATGCTTTAGGCCGGCTTCTCCCCCCCAATCCAATGTTTTTTGTATGACTCTGTTATGTTTCTCGTAAACGCGGCGTAATTTAAATTTTGCCGTCCTTCGGGGATTTTTTTGTCCACTACCACAAAAATTGGGTCCAATGGCATGGAAAATTGGACAGGGGGGGGGGAGGATGAGGGCAGAATGAAGAAACGCTCTCCACTGACAATTCGTTTTTTCTTCCGTGTTTCATTCTCAAAATGCCTAATTCCGCTTCAATAGCCAATCAGTCAAAGGGCGAGGTATTCCGATAGATAGGGGCCACTTGTGAATGACCGTACTCACTGTGACGACAATTTTTGTCTTACAATGAGGACATTTTGGCATGATTGGGATGACATACGTCCCGCTTTACATTCGGCATGTTTTTCTATTGAAGTACTGGAAATTTGTTTTCAAGAACTTGTGATATTATACAATGTTTTCTTATATTAGATTACACAGGGTTTTATATCACTAAAGCTAAGCTAGTCCTAACCACATTTTAAACTTTTTTCCGCAAAACTTATTTGTATTCCTTGCGTGTGCCAATAAATACTCCTTGAACTTGAATTACCCTTTCAACCTCAGAATATAAATACTTTTCTTCAGGAATCCACGTCTTAATTCCCACATTTCTCCGAGGTTCTCACACTTTACACACCCCTACAACTGTCTATGCGGTTTGCAGCCGGTGTTGACAGTTTGTAATGCTCGACGTGGCTGTTTGGTCATCACAGTGTCAGGCCGCTGATCCACTACCCGGCGCGTCTTCCACTCAAACACAACTCGCCTCTACCCTGCTACAACAAAATAAGAATCAGCCCCAGGCATTGGGCCGAAAAGTGTCTAATCAGCGGTTCCCTCGATTCCCGTTCTTGCACACCAAACAGGCGACAGTGCCTGCGCTGCCTATTGTAAGTACATACTTTTTTTGAATTGAAAAAAACAAAAAATTGTAATTGTAGCGTAAAGTCAACCTGTACTTTCTAAAACGGTTAAAATTACAATAAAAAATAAAAAATTACATAAATTCTAGTTTAAGTTGTAGTTCAAAAAGTTCTAGTAATAGTTTGAAAGTACAGCAACAAATTTTTCCAAATTTGCATAAAATAAAATTGTAAAAACGGGTCCCAACACGAAAATGCTAGCTGGCCAAAACTGGGTTGGCATTCCGCTTCAATCAAAAGAGAGAAGCTTTTTGCTGTCGAGCAAAAATATCTATGTGTAAAAAGTAGTGTGGATGGTCATATGGTGATATTATTTTCATGAAACGGGCTAATTTGGCGCTCAATGAAACGCTTCTAAAATCGACCGTTGGTCTAGCGTTGAAGGCTGGTTGTAAGTGGTCTGTTTTGTCCTTAAAACTATGTGTTAAACTTTCCGGAACATAAACTGCAATCAATAAACAAAGAAAACAAACCAAACTGAAGGCCATCAGTCAAAATATAAGGTGACAGTGTTTCATTTATTACAAATATCATCAGAGCGGAACTTTTCATTGTCAAGTTTCGTATGTTTTGGGCTTTCGTCAGAGTTCTTTTAGGCTAAAATTAAGTAAAATTAGCTAACAAGTACTTTTAGAAACAAAACTCAACTCTAGTGTTTTAGATATGCAGATTAAAAGATATCTACTCTTACCATCATTCTAAAGTAATATTGTTTTAGGGTAATATCGCCATGCTGTCTATGGGTACACCAGCTGGATCGTCGGCCGAAAGTGCATCGATTGCTTCGATGCTACGGACTTCACACGCAGCTGGACAGAATGTTCGCCAGAACAAGATCGGGTTATACAAACTGGGTAAAAAACTTGGGCATGGTAATTTTGGTACTGTTCGAAGTGCTATTCACGAGATCTCAAAGACCAAAGTCGCGGTTAAAGTGATGGACAAGAACAAGATCGACCCTGAGAATATGATCAAAGTTGAGCGAGAAATAACAGTATTAAAGGCGTTGAGACATCCAAACATCATCAAGTTATACGAGGTATGTCAACCTACTATAATATAACTTCTGTTTTTAGATTATCAGGACTGAAACTCACTTGTACATTGTAACGGAGTTGGCCACTGGAGGAGAGGTGTTTGACATGTTAACCCAGAAGGGCAAACAGTCAGAGAAAGATGCGAGAAAGATCTTCCAACAGTTATGTGCAGCTGTAGCTTACTGTCACGCCAATGGCATCGTACATCGTGATTTGAAGGCCGAGAATATTCTGTTAGACAAAGAAGGGAATGTGAAGTTGGCTGACTTTGGTTTTTCGAACTTTCAACAGTCAGATACTTTGCTACAGACATGGTGCGGGTCTCCGCCGTACGCGGCTCCAGAATTGTTGGTAGCAAGAGCGTACGATGGTCGTCAAGCTGACATCTGGAGTTTGGGAGTAATGTTGTTTATATTGGTTACTGCTGAGTTTCCGTTCCAAGGTGGTACAATCGACAACCTGAAGATGGCCGTGCTTGGAGAGCTTCTCAACATTCCTTTTTATATTTCTGTTGGTAAGTTTTAAATTTCATACGAAGTATAATTTTATTATAGAAAAGTTATAATTTAGTAAATTTTAGATATAAAAACTAATTTTTTTAATTTCAGAATGCGCTGATCTGCTTAGAAAGATGTTGACTGTTATTCCGGAGAAACGCGCGACAATGCCACAAGTATTAAACCATCGTTGGTTCACCCAAGAAATGTCAAGTGAAATTAAGAATCTCATTCACACCCCAACTTTAAAGAACCCGAAACCTCAACGAGAAGTGAGATCTGCTTCATCAAGTATGCTGACTCACAACTTGGACCCTACAGTATTATTGTACATGCAAAAGAATACAATTTGGTCTGAGGAGAAGGTGATTGAGGACGCATTACTTCAAAAGTTTGAAAGCCCTGTTTACGCCACATATTGTTTGTTATGCGACAAAATGCAACTCTTAAAACAACTCAGTAGGGCTTTAATAACACCGTTTGATGAAGATGCTTGTCGCCGAGGCTCGAGAGGGTCAATAACTTCTGGCAAAGCCAGAGTCGATCCCGAACCTGATCCTCAATCTATAACACAAGTTCAACTTGCTCAACTCAGTCTTTCCACGGCATCTGACTGTGACTCCGACGAGTCCATGGAAGATGACCATCCTCCCGAGCGCGATCTCCGCAACTTTATGACTCACGCTGAGTCCTCTACTTCCCACGAAGAATACCTCAACGACCAACGACGGCACACGCTTTGTGCCTCTGGCCGATTACCTATTAATCCTGTTCAAGCTCAACAATTCGCCACTGACGCGCATCAACAACTGCAACAACAGCTGTTGATTATGCAACACTTGCAGCAAAACCCAATGTTTATGGCAGCGAATCCTCTACAGCATCAGATAACACAAAAGCTGTTGGAGATGGCTGCTCACCAACAACAAAACGAACAGAATATGTACGCTTCTCAGAATCCGGCTTTCTCTAATTGTTCGCCAAATCCACAGACTTTGGCTGGACTAATGTGCATGAAGAATGGACTGTTTGACTACACCAAGCTGATGAAACTTCCAAATAATCGTAAGTATTTCTTTTATTTGTCTTTCGTTTTTAGGTATTTTTGAAAGTATATTGGACTAAAAAGTCACTGAAAGCTCTAACATGATGTTTGTATGCTAATTTTGTTATTTTATTTATCTTTCCGTTATCAATACTTACAAGAACATTGCTTTAGAAGAACGTCGAGCGAGTGCCAACGAATCAGTATTGGGAGTCCACGGTTTCCTGGCCCAGGTAAATGCCCAAGCTAACGTTGTTAACAAGACCAAACTAAAACACTCAGTGGGCCTGAATCAACCAGAAAACTCCAGAACAATCGAAGAGGAAGGAGCTATGTATTTGAATCGGTACGGTAACGCGAAACGTAACACTGTTCACGGAGCTCAGACCATGATGTCAGGACTGACAGTTGGTACTCCTTTACAATCGGTGCCTCAACAACCTCGTTATGCTCGGACTCCGTATGCTAAAAGTAATGGCAATGAACGCAGAAGTTCGTGGGCATCTACTACTAATCAAGGGATCATGAACTCCCAACAATTCTCGAAGTTGGAGAGTTTATATGCGCAGTCTTTGAGAGGAGCGGCAGCTGCTGCAGCTAATGGAAGTGGCAATCTTGCTAATGGTGACCAAGCTTTTGGAATTCCACAGCTTCAGGCTGAGTTCCAGCGTCTGAAAGCTACCACGGAGAAGGCTTCTGGTTCTAGCAGGTAATTTTTGAAAATTTATTGATAAAGCCTTACAGTTGTAAAAAATAAATTACAAAAATGTTTTCTTGGTTACTTAACGTTATTTGAAGCCAATTATTCTCTAAACTGTAACTTTTAGTTCTAACGTGAGTATGAACGGCCCCCTGAATCTCAACGCCCCTAGAATCAGCATTACCGACGAGAACAACAAGTCTTTGTTGGCTCCGAACTCACCATCATTCAATCCGATGGCTTATGGCACTCCCAAGAATCCGCCTCAGAGCCGGCCAGCTACAGTAATAGGATTCAGCGGTAAAATGTCTCCGGATAGCAGCCACAACAATAATAATGGCAGTCCGGAGCCACCCAAATGGATTCACATACCAGTGGCACCAAATGTGGCTATTGACAAAATCTACGGATACGTTCAGCAGAAGAACATGAACTGCGAAATACGGTCGGGTAGCGAAAACAACGGTAAGTCGAGGATATTGATATAGGTGGAAAATTAGTAGATTTTTCGAAAAAGTTTAAAAATTTTGGCTTTTTAGAGAAAAAATTGCTTTTAGGTAATATTATACTTTAAAACTCACAATAATTCACCATCTTTCAGGCGTAACAGAAATACGTGTAATAACCAACAATCAGACCGTCTTCTCTATGGCCATCGACAAGTCGGCCGACAATCCAGACATCTCCAAGACTGAGTTCACTCTGATCTGTGGTGATCCAAACGAAGCTGATGCCGTCCGTGTTGGCCTGATGGAGTCGTTCGACTCTTGAATATGCATATTTACGCTTATTTATTGTGGTATACGATAGGGTATTTGCAAAGGGTAACGGTACCATTCTTGTCTTTTCTTGACAAATGCCATTACTTATGGTTTGAGCTGTATATATGTACGTTTGTAGATATTATTGACATTGATTATTGTTTATCATCTTTCATTTTATTATATTTTTGTTATTTTAGGGCGTAAAAAAGTCTTGTTGTTTTTTAAAGACCAAATACATGGAGTTCGACGACAAGACTTTTTAAAACTTTAAATATTTTAAATATTCTTTGACTTTTTAAGCTAAAATACTGTTTCAAACACTTTTAACTTTACGTATTACCTAAAGAAATCCAAGTTTGTTTAACTCTATGTTACTTTACCTATTTTGTCAAGAACTGTGTTAATATATAGTTAAGTTAATGTGTCGATCCTACAAGTATGTAACTCTTAATTGTTCTGTTGTCACACAACGCTTTCAAGAATTTCTCTTTTCATTGGCCTAGTCTATGCGAATGTTCGGTTATGTTATATTATGCTAAATAAAATATAATTAAAGGTTTTGTACTGTTAAAAGAATTTGGTTAGAAACTATTAGGCTTACTTTTGATTTTTAAAGGAACTTTTGTTGTAGAAGGCGGATATTGTGTTTGATCGAAAATTTAAGTTGTAGAACTTGTATTAACCACATGATTTTAAGTTTATCTTATTATTGTTAATATAAAAAAGCTAGGATAGTAAATTTTGGTACTGTAGGATAGTGTAGATAAACAAATGAGCATTAAGTCTGAGGTTCAATCTTTTTGTTGTTTTTTCAATTAATACATGAAGGATAAAACATGGAAACATTATGTTGAAACCTTAAAAGGCTAATCGTTAGCCACATGCTTTAATAAGTTATTGCGTCTTGACACTTCTTTTTGGACGCTTTTCATATTACTTAGACTATTAATTTTACTTTCAAGTCTGAATTTTTTACAGTTTTTATTTTCGATTGAAACTATGGATAACAAATGGATGTTAACTAAAGATGTAAGTTATACTTATGTAAATAACGATAAGTTATAGTAAAAATTTTAAATAGATTTTGGGTATTAGAATTGTAAGAATGCTAGTTTTGTGCTAAATAAAGTTTAATTTAATTTTACTAAATAAAGATGTTAATTTGGCATACTTTAGATATGGCACGGCATTTTGAAGCAAATGTGTGACCATGAAACTGTGGTTAATGTAGCGGCTTCAGACAAGTACTTCTACGATCTAATCAACCTTAACTTTACTGAAATGTGCGTTAACAACAAGATATACCGGTTGCCTGGAGAATCTTGGAGTGACGCTTTGGCTGAGTAAGGGTTACCTTTTTAAATATTAAATTTAGTTATAAAACAGTTATATATGTTTTGTCTAGATGTATAGAATGGTCTATAAAGTATCTTTCTTTGTTTTAAAGATTGTTTTTGAAACTTTAAAGTGGAACGAGTTTGAAGGGGTTATAAGTGTAACATTTTCAATATTCACCTCACATTTTAGGTGTCACCAGCGGTTGTGGAAACATAGTTTCCGAGTGAATACAGAGTATACTGTATTGGAGTTTGGTGAGAATACTGACAAGTTTGCTTTCGTGTATTCAAATTTCGTAATAGTCACCAGTTTGGACTTCACAAAACGTTACCTACGTTACTTTAAAGTTTATTTCCAAATTACCAGAGCTTACATTGTGGAGAACGGTCAATATTTGATCTTGAAGGTAGGTAAAGCTTATTCATCTTGTGGTAAATTATCATTTTAGATATATTACCTTATCAATATGATTTTTGTGCTTTTTAGTCGTATAATCACCACGAAACCGTGGTATATAACATCGAAACTTCTGAACTCTTAACACCTAATCAGCGTCGTAACATGAAGTTTAACTCTGTAATTCTACAATATATAGAAGGTGCGAAGAGTGTTGTCGACCTATTGAGCACTATTGAGGTTAAAAACTTGGATATAAATGGTATTGAGGTAGATACGATGGGTCAGTACGTATCTTTTAAGAACTCAAAAGATGTGTTGTGTGTATATGACTTTTACACAAAGGAAACATACGAAATCAAGACTATGAATGACTACTACATGCCACGTATTCTGCCAGCTTCTGGGTGTATTCAGATCAGTTACTGTAAGTTTTTGACGGTAGTGTGATACGTTAGTAATATAGTATATAAGAACTTATTTTTTACATTACTTTGGTTTATTTAGAGTAAGTTCATATACTGTGATATATGTTCTTGAAAAATTTGGTTCTATAGGAGGTATTGTACCTTTTTGGTTTTTCAGATGAAGCTTTCAATTCTGATTACCAGCCAAAGTACGAACTTCATCATATAGCTACGAAGAAGGTTGTGTTTGAAGATTCTGAGAAGTCAGCGTGGAGAATCATAGATGATTGTATGATACTCAAGCAGAAGACTGGACAGGTAAACACTTAAAAGTTTTAAGAAATTATCTACCTAAACCTTAAGGTTTTTAAAATGTTATGACAGATTTATACTTGACATTATATTATGAGAATAACGTTATATGATACTTTAGTTGCTGATATTCGACCAAGAATCATGTAGATGGGACTTTTCGACCAGTTTAACCATGAGTTCCTCTCAGACCCTGAACAAACCTTGGGAAGAAATCACAAATTTCGCCGTTTTTGATATTGTACACAAGTGTTTGCCGGAAGAAGCAGCGATGGTAGACGTAGAAGAGTTGGAAGTTGACGACGATGACTATGATGATGACAGTGGCAGTGACTATGATCCGGAGTACGTTTACAATGGAGGTGACTATGGTGAAGTGGAAAAGAACGATGACTTGGACTACGAATATTACAATGCCTATGGCAATGCTGAGGTCAAGGAAGAGACGTTTGAGCTTCTGTTTTATAAGATCAAGCCAAATCGTAAGTCGTGTATATTGGGTGGAATATTATCAAGATTAGTCTAATACTACCACAAATTGTCTTCAAATTAAAAATTTATCTTTTTCAGACAAACTAGAGTACAACGTAATCAAAAAGCCTAGTAGAACTCCACATCCCTTCGTACGTTTGTATGCCAGATTTTCAAAGCTTGGGGTTTGTCCTGATTCGAACAAACAAAACTTCATGTTACAACTACAACAGATCTTCAATGATTGGATATTACAGACTCAGTTCGACACATCTGAAGCTGAGAATAATGTCTCGTTTTAATTATTTTGTATATAAACTTAACTTATTGCTGTTATCAGGGCCGGGCACAGAAAAATCGGCACAGGTACCTGTGCCGATTTTTTGCGAAATTTTTTTCCGAAAATCCACAGGGGGGACCACGTTCAATTTTTTTTCTAAAATTTTTATCTGGGGGGGTCCCCCCCCCTCCCCCCCCCCCTCGCGCCCGGCCCTGGCTGTTATATACGATTTTGTTATAGCTGAAGGTAGCTAAAACCTATTTTTAATTATTTACTTAAAGTTTATTAGTTTTACGTTTAAAACTGGAATTATTGTAAACCTCAGGACATACTTAAGGTATTTTGAGTGACAAAAATATTTCAATTTGTTTATTTAAAACTTAATAATGTATAAAAACTTTAGAGAGTCACAATACTGAGTTCTCAAAGATAACCGTTTTCATTTCAAAATGATGGACATTACCATAGACAATTGGGTACAAAAAAGTAAACAAAGTTATTTTTTGTTTAAAAAATATTTAAACAAGTAAAAAATAAGACAGTTCTACATATATTTTAACCAAAAAATGAAAAAGAATGAGCATTTTGTAATACTGTATACACAAAAACGCTAAAAATTTAAAAAAGGTACAAGAAGTGTAATATAACAATATTGGCATTGATATAACACACATTCAAGTCATAACAATTGATGTTGTTTCAGTAATCTGTCTTACATTCCTTTATTAAAAAGTATGTATTAGGTTGTCCAAATGATTCTGTGCCCCTGACCCCAAAAATTGCCTTTGAGAGAGGCATAGAACTATTTGAACAACCTAATAGTAAGCTTATATATTTAAGAAATTGTAAGGATATTATATAGATGTAATACCCTTACATTTTTCAATGTAAGTATCTATAGCAAAGAAATTAAAACAAATTTTAAAGCCACCTGAGAACGAAAGCTCCTATTAAAAGACTTGACGACATTACTATAGCTTCTGACCCGCTCGTCGTATCGTCATCGTCCACTTCCGAGTCTACTATGCTCCTTTGTTCTTGTGACATTGGGAACCTGACGTAGTTACAGTAATCCTGACCTCGACAACTGCAAACCTTGATCTTCTGATTTGATTTGGTTCGTTTTTCTGTACATTCACCATCTTTCATGGTACTGATGGTACACGCGTAATGGACTCCACTTACTTCGTGGTTTAAGGCTAGGCAGGCTAAAACATTCGAAGGTAACTACAATGTTATTCATGTGGTTTACTTTTCAAAAGATATAAGCTTAAAAATGCAAGATTCCAAGCCCTTCTGAAGGGTCATCTCTTACTTTTACTTACCTTGACTCTCTATTAACTATGGCATTCAAAAAAGTATAAAAAACCACTTACATCCATCGGTACCAACCTCACAGATACCATCTTCACACGGCGTTTTACTGCTTCCTTGTGTACATTTACATTTCAAAGCATCTAAACTCATTACCATCGTCGCTGTAAGCAGCGCTATCGTCCAGAACCTCATTTTAACTTGTGTTAACCCTGAAAGTTACATTGTGAATGCAATAAACAAAAAACCGCTTAACACGCCATATGATAAACAAAACTATTTTATATGTTACAGAATAAAATACCGCTAAAACATAACATATAAACAGACATAAAACGCAGTAACGTATAAACAATAAATTGACTGCTTATATTTTACAGAATGTGAACATACCACAATATAAGTCAAGTGACAAGGAACTTATAAACCAATATACGACAAAGTATAAACAGCCCCTAAAACTATTCAAAACCACCGAAATCAAGGCCTAAAGTATTATAACTTTCCAAAAGAATGAGTCGGCCCTATCAACGCCCTCCTTAAATCTCTCAAAAAGCCTTAAGGGTCAAAAAGTTTTTTCTCCCGAAAACTGGAATCTAAACACATGTAGCCATATTTTGACGGTGAAGCGCAAATAAGCAAGATTGAATTACAAACAACGCCACTATACTAGTTTGAGTCATCGTCGTTCCGAAAAAATAACAATTTTGCTATTCGGTTACAATGACATAAAAACTGCTTATGACACATTTGACAAGAGGTGGAGGGGGGAGGAGGAAGTGCAATAAACAGAGAGGGGTGATAAAAGGGTACAATTAACGAGAGGGTTAGATTGAAAAAAGTAGTACAATATTGTCAAGTTTGGTTCTAAAGTCAACTAGAAAATTCAAAAACTTCTGACATGACCGGCAAAAAAATTCGAAAAATTGTTTTATACTATTCCGTAAATCTGTTTACTACAACATATATTGTAAAAAAACTTTTTCCAAAATGTGTGAAGCCGTCTACGTAATAATCGTGGGTATATCTAATGACTCTTTGTATAAAAAAGGGCAACAAACGTTGACCTTCAAAGAAAAAAGAATCATGAAACAGTCATCAGTCAATTGCGGACAAACCCCTCAAGCCTTTTTTACCTAGTCCAGCGTACTTTTATTCCGAGAAATGACAAATAACGTAAAACGGCTTATTTGAAAGTTCAAAATGGCTGAACTTTCAAGTTAAAAAAAAAGTTTTAATTTACAATGTTATGCTAACTACAAAATTAAAAAAAAAATTTAAATTGCACCCATCGCTTAAATATGATTTTCAAAGAAGATCGGTTGTAATTGCGCACTAACTATTTTTTTTTAAATTTTAAGCCTAAAAAATAAAATTTTCAAAAAACAGTAACGAAAAATGACAAGAAAGTGCATCCATACTGATACTGATGTATGTACTATATCTATGCACTATATCCCCATTTTTTATTAATATGCACTATGAACATGTAAATCTAATAAAAGTCGCGAATATTTGAATATAATTACAGGCCTTTGCACTAAATAGGTTTGCGCGACTCAAAAAATATTTTTTTGTTTATTCGCGCACTTCGAACGTCTGCGACACAAAAGGCGGAAATCCCTTCGACCAAAATGGGAATAACTTATTCGCTACATTGGGAATAAGTTATTGTTGCTATCTAACAAGGAACAATATAGAAACCATAGTTGTGGCTTCTAACTGTGTACTAAGTCGTAAGGTTAATAATAGTTGGCTTCCTAGTTAACATCATTTAAAACACCCCTCGCTGGCTTAAACAGCTTCTTCTGATTATTTAGGCCAAAGTAAAATGTAGCTTTAGCAAAATAGTCAGCTCACCAATTAAAAAACCCTAAAAGCTGGACAACAATCACCGCACATGGAATTTTAAATTCTTAATCTGTTACTGGGAACGAAAACAGATTTACCGTTCCGAAATCGTTTAGCCACGGCATCACAAATCCGCAACATGCATGGTTAATTTGAGTTGCGATATTTGTTTTTACAAAACAAAAAGCTTTTCAGTATCGCTTGGCAGGAACAGAATAAGAAGAAAGGAATGGTAACATATAAACCCATATAAAAGCATAACAATATTCAACCATAGCAGCATGAATCATGTAGAAATAATAAAAATATATCACGTTTAAGACTTGTAAGACAACGTATTCACAAAATGTATACGTTAATTTATTGACATACGAAAGTCAATGTAAAAAGTAACAAAGCTATTCTAGAAACTAAAAGACCATTTTATACTAATAATATTATACTTGAAAGATTACCATGAATTTTCAGTTATGAATATACTTGAGAATAAAAGGATTTAGAGCCATTTGATATCTTTTTTTTATGCTTGAATTATTCATAGACAAATAAATAAATTTTTTTTGCAGAAATTGTCAATTATACCTTCTATCGCGCTCAAATATATTATGCTAAACAACATATATGCAGTTGTCTTAGCAATTTCAACACCTAACCTTAAAAAGATTATTTTTAAAAATTCATTGTTTCTTTTTCCTAAGTTAATTTTAAAAAAACAGTAACAGCAAAAAGGAATTTTTAATCTTCCCCTAATAGCAAAGTTATCCACCCACCACTAGAATCAGTTACTGTAGAATATAAGAAGCCCGAAGACTTCAAACGCAAAAATTTAGCTGTTGGCGAACCCCAACTCGGAGCTGCCACACAGGTCAACCCGTCCCCAAAGTGCAATGGGAGGGCCTCACCATGGAGGTGACATCTTCTTGATCGTGCCACACTCCCAGCCAGGTAAGTTTATGAAGCAATGAGTTGTGGATAGTCTTAAGATCTACAAAAGTCTTTTGACTGGCTTACCCGATTGCGCGAGGGAGAAGAGAGCGTAAAAGAGACCAAGAAAATGATTTGATTGGAAAGAAAAGTAATAGAGAAAAGAATAAAATGTTGCGCTAGGAAATTAATTAGACCGACAAAGGTGTTTATAAATAAAACTAGTTGTTGCTTTTGACTACAACTGTTCTTTAAAGCATAAGGACAGTCATACTTTTGTGTCTATATTACTATAGACATTACATTATTTTAAAAACCAGGAAAAAGCCCTCATTCCAAATTACGTGTTTTTGACATCCTTGCGACAATAAAGCGAAGCCAAATTAAAAGCAAACACAGCCACGTCCACTAGGGCTTCAGATGCCGTTCTCAGAAGTCGGTTTAGCAAATAATCATAGGTCCCCGAACGCTTATACATCTTGTAGAAACAAAGAACAACATACTTTCAATTGCCAAAACAAAACGTGGTTTAAATTGGCATAGACAACATAGTTTTAAATGGCCAGAACATCTTTAAGATGGCAAGAACTTACTTTAAGATTCCAAGACAGAGTTTAGGTTAACAAAAACAAACTTTAAGATGACAAAAGACATTCATTAAGGTGACAACCCTACTTTAAGATGACAAAACATACTGTGAATTGGCAAAAAATTCTTTGAACTGCCAGAAAACCTAAAGATGACAAAACAAACATGCCTAAAGATGTACTTCTCTGGAAGTAAATATAAAATTCTTTAAAGAATGTCTTTAAAACAGCACAATTAAGCACCCACTTTGTGAAGAATCAGAAGATTAAAATAACTTTGCCAAATTAAAACGATGTAAAAATAACCAAAAAGACGTACGCAATACGTTTTATTAAAAATGGCACTAAAAGGACAATAACGTGCAGATATTGCCATTGCTTTTTTGGGATTGCTGGTTACGACTTTGTTTCAATAAAGGTTTTTATTGAACAAAGTCATAACCTGTCAAAGGGTTACAGCCAATTTGAAAAAGACTGTAAAGAAGATATGACAATTTGATTAAAATGATTGTAACAATTTTTTATTGTTGCTGATGACGACATAAAGAACCCACCATAGTTCGCCTGTAATTACCAGTAAGAAATGGCGAGTCCTTTATGTTGGCACCAAGTATTTTAGAAAATTCAAAAAATAAAAATTTTATAAAAATTTAAAAAATGCAACTTTCATTCAAAAAACTTTAAAATATCTTTTTTTACACCAAAATGTGCAGAAAACCCAAAAGCGTGCAGCGCCATTAATAAATAGAAAGCCTTTTGAAAAAAGCCGTCGAATTCCGTCAACTTCTTTTTCAATGAATCAGAAGAAGAATATTTTTTGCAAATTCTTCTCTGAACCCCAATTAACCTGTCTGAAGAAGATCAGAGAGAATAATTTGCCAACGGTTCGTTGGTTTCGTCAAAAAGGGAAGAAAAGAAAGATGTATCGAATAAACATTTCCCTCCCCTCAAGCGCAGTTAAGCGTGAACTCGACGCGCGGAGTCGTCTTCGACAATTAATGTGTTTTAAAATTTGCATAAAGGTCTAGTTACCTGTGCGAAAGCAATAGTAAATAACCATAAAACGTTTTTTAGTTATAGTGAGCCATGTTTAACATTGACTAACCATGGCATGATCTATTTCGAACGTTCTATAAAAACAATATCTAAAGATACTATAAGAGTTATCTGAAACTATAGAAAAATAAAATTCTTGTTGATACTGAAAGCAAAGGACATTCTAATTGTTCTTTTTATAGTCAAAACTAATTAAGACCCTCACATACCGTGCTATTAGCATTAAGACAAGTACGTGTATCACTCGTTTTATACTGTTTTTCTAGACAAAACGGTTGTCGAATTAAAAGATAAAACTGTTTTTAAGTCTACGCTCTCAAAAACAATTATAACATAATTACTATACAGTAGCTATTACTTAAAGCGTCCTCATTTACATATAAAGAAATGTAATAACTATTTTTACAGTAACTATTTTTACAGTATATTATACTTACATTAAAACATAGAAAAGCTAAGTGCATTTTATGATAACACTATATACTGATCAAGTAAGAGATAAATTAATGTACCGTTGGCTTGAAAATAAATAAAAATTTAGTCTAATAAACATTAAATTGTAAAAAATGGAACGTTATCCATGAGACCAGTCTCTGTTAGCAAACAGTCGTGCATTACGTTTCCTTGATCTCGACTTTTGTTTCAAAAGAAAATAAAATTAATTTGGCTAGCCTATAAAAACAAATTTCAGCCAATATGAATTTCAAAAGTGCAAGCCAATTATATTGACAAAATCTTCATTTTTCGTATAACAATACTGAAAATTTAAATATAACAAAGTCAGTGTATATATTACTGTAACTATGTAGCTAAAATTTAAAGCAAATTTGTCCAAGAATTACCAAAACTAGACATGAGCAACGGGCCGGGCCTGAGCAAAATCGAAAACGGGCCGGGCTTGAAAATTGGGCCCGGGCCCGAAAAAAAAATTTTTTAATTTTTTAAAATTTTTTATTTCAATTCCCGTTTATGTTTTTCGATTTTATTGTATTCTATGATCCATAAATGACCTAAAAAACAATTTAAAGCCAAATTTCCGTTTAGTTTTTAAGTTTTAAAATTTTTAAAATTTTTTAAAACGGGCCGGGCCGGGCCTAGAATTTTTCTGATCGGGCCGGACCTGACCAAAATCAAAAACGGGCCGGGCCTAAAATTGGGCCCGGCCCGTTGCTCATGTCTAACCAAAACTTTACTTTTTTGAAACAAAAAGCTTAAAAATGGATTGTGAAAAAGTTTTACGCCGTGAAGCAAAGCCATCGCTGAAGAATAACGTTTTTTATTATTCTTGAGATGGTTCTAAAGGGCAAAGAGTTTCCCGTCTTTAATCTGTCAGCCAGAGAAACTCTCGAGGCTCCTTCAAAAACCACCGAAAATAGCCAAATATCCGGCAAACGTTTTTTTCAGATTTGATAAGTGTTCTGCGCGCCGTTTCAAATGTTGCATTTACTATAAAATACTACTACTACTAAAAACTGATGTAGAATTAATATAAGAAGCCCGAAGACTTCAAACGCAAAAATTTAGCTGTTGGCGAACCCCAACTCGGAGCTGCCACACAGGTCAACCCGTCCCCAAAGTGCAATGGGAGGGCCTCACCATGGAGGTGACATCTTCTTGATCGTGCCACACTCCCAGCCAGGTAAGTTTATGAAGCAATGAGTTGTGGATAGTCTTAAGATCTACAAAAGTCTTTTGATTGGGTTACCCGCTTGCGCGAGGGAGAAGAGGGCGCTAAAGAGACAAAGAAAAACAGAAAACTAATTGGAAAAAAATAAAAATATTAAAATGCACGTACATAATTATGCAAATCCCGCGTGAAAAGACTTTACAGCGAAAACAAAATATGCATTTAACTGTGCACTAAATTAAACTGTAAATTTGCACTAAAAAGGTAAAAAACAAAAATAAACACAAACACAAACAATAATTATAAAACACCAAAAGCTACCTAAAATGACATTTTCTTTCAGCACTTTACGTGTTAGCTTCATTTAAAAATAACCTTTCCATGAAAAAGCCACAGGCAAACTGCAACCCCTCCTCGGAGTGTAATAAAAAATGGCCATAGAGATGTCAAATCATTTTTGTCATTTCTCTCGGAATTGAATCCACCAAAAAACGACTTCATATGGCCGAGCGATAGACGAGGCTCGTCAAAAACAAGTTGAAATCGGTTCATTTTTCTGACGCCTGGTGGAATAAAAAAAGAGCTGAACCATATGGCCGGTCAAACGGCCGAAAACAAGATCAATTTTCTTAATCGCAGTTATTCAAGGTGATTTGATCAATCGGTTTTGAGTGCATGTATAATATGAGATTGTCTTTTGGTGCTCTGGCAATTATTATTGAGATTATTAAGGAAGTAATGATAGTTATTAAAATAAGGTTTTATAGATTACATGTTAGTGCTTTTACGGCTCTCAAAGTATTATAATCTAGGTCATAAACCAAAGATAATACTTTCTAATAGCCATAACAGTGAGGTAAAGCCAGGCTTGGACACAGGGCAAGGCATTGACAAATTTCGATGCCCTGCCCTGTGCCCTGCCCTGTACAGGGCATTGGGGTTTTATGCCCTGCCCTGCCCTTGCCCTGCAGGGCATCAGGGCATTTACAGGGCATTTGGGTATATTTTGGCGGACGCCTCCGCCGAGTGGTCGATAATCGGCGCACGTCATAACTTGGTTAGTTTAGCAGCTAGAAAAATGTAGTTAAGTGCAAAAGTTGTTATCTTGTTACATATAACCTACACATTAAGCCAGAAATTTATGTTTTTGAAAACAATATTGTTATTGACCGGTCGATAATTTACAAATGTTTAATTTAAAAAAAACAAAGTTTTTTGCTTAGAATTGTATCTAATGCAATTTCTATACAATTTAGAACAACAGAGAATATATATAAAATTTGCAATTAAAATATACTGAAAATTATCAACCGGTCGATAACAATACTACTTTTAAAATATTAAAATTATGCTTTTACTTGTAGCGTATGACATATAATAACTTCTGAATCGAACTACATGTTTCTAGCTGCTAAACTTACCAAGTTATGGCGTCCGCCGATTATCGACCGCTCGGCGGAGGCGTCCGCCAAAACTTACCATGGCACAAACAGGGCATTTGCAGGGTAATGCAGGGCATAGGGCATGCCCTGCCCTGTTCCAAGCTATACCCTGCCCTGCCCTGTAACAGGGCAGGGCACAGGGCACCCTGTCCTGTGTCCAAGCCTGGGTAAAGCCCACTCATTATAGCGTTAACTATTCCATGATAAAACAAATACATCATGTCATCTACTATATTCTCATATAATGAATCAAAAGTTGCTAATTCACCAACAATACCTTCCTCACACCGCTTATTAACATTGAGACAAATAACACGATTCCTTTGCCTAATTACGTTAATTAAGTTTTACAAAAACATATATTAAAATTTGAAATTGAGTTTAAAGGTCTTATATGCTTACTGTTACTGTCAACAATGGGAGGTCAAGACCCGTTCGATGTATATCAGCCAATCTTAGTGCCTGGTGTTGCTTTAACTGTCACATTCTCAATTGCTGGTATCTTCGGTAGTGCTAATAGTGTATGGGCGACATGTAGGACAAGGTAAGAGTTTTAGAGTATTTGTTTATCAATATTTATTCATTGCTCAAGTTTTGAAAAATAAAAACTTTTGTAAAATACGCATGTAGTAATAACCTGCCCTTTTCAAATTAACGTATTTTAGAAATCTGCAAAATATTTGTAACGTCCTAATAGCACTAAGTGCATTAGGTGATATCTTTCACCAATGTTCATTGCTATTATTTGCATATTACTATCAAAGTAGACATCCATTTGAGACTGTAAAAAGATGCTTTAAACTTAACCTAATGTCTTCGTTCGGAATGCACTTTGGTTGTGCTGCCATGTTATCATTGAGCCTTGATCGTTTGTACTGTATTGTCGCTCCGGTTTGGTAAATGAGTTCATCAACTTATAAATTATTCTAAATTTTAAAATATGAGTTGGTTTTGCTAATACTTTTGACAAAAAGTATAATGATTTGAATATCAAGCATAAAAGCCTAGCCGTTTAATTTGTTAATCATAAATAATATACTAATGAGCCAAAAACAAAGTAAATTATAAATTACGTTTTTCAGCTACAGTAAAAAGAACAAAAGGTTGTACTTTCTTATTACTATGGTATTTCCAGTAACTTACAGTGTCTACCTTTTATACATAACGTATATTAATGTAGTGAAAAATCCAGAAAGGTTAGTTAAAAAATTTTTTTTAAAATTTTTATTGTATAAAATAATAATGACGAATAAAAAAAGTAAAAAAAATAGCTATACTAGTACTAATTATAGTAACATTTTTGAATTTTTTACTTTTTATTTTTACATATAAAGTTTCAGAAAAGTAGTGTGTATGATATCCCAAGTCTTTATCGACGACGCTGAAGATCTCTGGAGTACAATACGTTTACTTTTGTTTATTACTCTGTTATTAATATACGTTTTTATATGGGTTTTTGCCTATTTTCGTTTTAAAAACTTTCGCTCAATCAACAAAACTTTTAAAGTGTTAAGCGTAGTGACCTTATCCATATTATTTGGATGGTTTGCTGCCTCTTTGGTCAAGTATATTACACTGCGAAGTTTTCTACATCCTTCTATGGAGTCTGTGTTTATTATACACATGGATGTTGGGTGGTTAATTCATGCTGGAATTACTGCCAATTACTTTATTTATTTTACTTTTAGGTATGTTTCCAAAAGTTTTCTATAAAAAAACTTTAAAGGTTGTACAACATTTTTGCATATTAAACTGTAAAAAATATTTTTTTTGAAAAAAAAATAATATAATAGCTGCTAAAATTATTTTGAAAGTCACTATTTTAGTAAAACCTATCGTACTGCCTTTATCGAACAGCTTCATATGTTATCCTGCCATCTTCTACACTCTTCAAGAACCTCATCAGATATTGTGATCAATATAAATGAACCTCAAGTATTTCACACGTCAGTTAAATCGCTTATTGTGAAGAAAGTGCTTCCTTAATCTCAATAAAAAATTAATACAATAAAGTCGTTAAAACGTCAATTAAACGCGCAATTTAATGCGGGAATTTAAAACTTTTCATTTCTCAAAAAGCCCGCAGGTCACAATATTTCAGAGTCTCTCCGTTGACAAAACAAGCGTTTTGTATCGATTGAGTCATTGATATTGTTAGAAACTACTAGAGGAAGTTAATTTTATTGATTTTATATGTTGTAGTACAAAAGTATACATTGTTATATACTATATATATTACGTGCTGACATAAAGAACCCGCCATATTTTTTCTGTAATTTTCTGTAAAAAATGGCGGGTTCTTTATGTCGACAACTAATACTGTGATATGTACTTGAGTTGTATTGTTATATGTACGGTTATGTTTAAGATGACATTGAAATTTAAGTAATACAGATACGATGATCTCCTTTGTTCGAATAATACTTGAATCTGCGTCAAGTGTTTTTCTTCGTATTTGTACTTTTGAATCGTGTTTTTATAAACTGTGTTATTCCTAAAGTTACAGTGTATATTTACAGCTAATTATATGTGTTTGCAAAATATCAGAGTACAGAACAATTTTAGGTATGGGCAAAAAAGAAAAGACGGCGCAAAAACAAAAAGAAGAAGAAATAGAAGAACAACTGAAACTGCTTGATCAGGAATACTCTTTTTGGTTTCTATTCAACGTCCATGTACATGTAAGTTAATATTTAATTGTACGTTTTGTATATATTATACACAGTATTTTGTTTTATCAAATAGTATAATGTATAATAGTAGTTTGATCTAACAAACACTACTATAATGTGATATTATACATAGATGAATGTTTTATAAATATTACTAATTAGATAATAACTATGAATTTTAGTTTTAATAACTGTTTTTTTAGAAATTAGTATACTTATTATCAATAGCATGCTTGGTATTTGATATTATGGACGCTGTTAACTTAATATGGTACAAGAAGTATGTTACTCTGACCACGGTAGCTATAAGGACTTTATTCGATCTTCTACTGCTAATTGGCAACAGAAAGTATAAACAATGGATGTTTGTCTTTTTTTTGTTTTCTAAAGTAAGTTTAACTTTTAAAATGCCAAGGTAAATTCATTTTTTTTAAATTAAAATACTTCTTTACTGTAGCTACATACCTTATAATACCACATGTATTGTTTTATGTATTTTTTGTTCTTTTATTTATGCAAACTTTTTAATCAAAAATTGCCAATTACTGTACTGTTCAGATTGTGCAATCTTGCTTAGTTGTATTTTACATGATTTACCTTACATTGACGGTAACTGATGTCATAAAACATTCTGAACGATTTGACAAGTATCTGGTTACTGTGGAAAGAACTCCAGATGCAATTGCTGGAGCTTATGTTGCATTACTTTTATTGTTACTTCTGTTAGGTATTGTAATTTATTTGGTAGTAAGAGATTACTACTACATCGGAAAGCGAAAGGAAATCACTGTTGATAGTGATGATGACTAATATTGCTAATAAAGACACTAATTATAAAGTAAGATTAAAAGCGTTTTATTAGTTCTATACTAAGTGATGTGCAAAAAAAGTAGGCTCAAAATTTTAAACCGGTAACACAATTCAAAAACTTAATATTGAGTTTCTTTGCGATTAGAAAAGTATTCTTTAAGTTGTGGTAGGTTGTTGACGTTATCATGAATTACCTTCAAGTTCTTGATGTTAGCAATGTAGTCTTTTCCGCTTTTGACTGAGTTTTCATAGAAGTTTGCCATCAAAAAGTCGACCCATGTAACACCTGATTTCGCTACAAATCCAGTTCCAGAAGCCTGAAGAAATACTTTTTGAAATTTGCAAAATATTTTTAAAAACTTTTAAAACTATAAAATTTTTTAAACGCATAAATAAAACTTTTCTAGGTTAAAAAGCAATTTTATGCATTTTGCACCAATTAAAAAAATAAAACATACCTCAACAATCTTGTCCAAGTAATTCTCCCACTTATTTTCAATGTAACTCTGTGCGTCTTCAGCACTAACTTCATTGGTAGTGTTAGTAATCAGGTCAGCCAAGAAGTCTCCGTAGCTATCAACCAAAGCTTCTTCTACTTCATCTTTACCTGCTAGACCAAACTTTCGACCAAGAAAACGAAATATGGCTTTACTTTGGGCAATTCGAACATTATTATCAATTATTAGCACTGGGACTTGGCCGAATGGCAGTTCTGTAATAATTAGTAAATAAACAACAGAAACTGTTTATTTTTAAAAAATAAGTTTTAATAAAAAATTAACACTAAAAGATCTTAGTTTATAAAACAGATTACCGTGACGGATTTGGTCGATATTAGCCAGAGTAGTCGATCGATCATCTTCGAATTCAACTTTTGCGTAGTTGAAGAGCATACGAGCCGGTTCAGCTAAGCCACGGCCATCTCCGTATAAAAGTCTGTATTGTACCATTTTTGCCTAAAATTAAATTGTTCTTGCAATATTTATGTATTTATACATTGTAAATCTTATTCTTGACGATTATTTATTGTTTGATTTGTAGCAAAAATGTAAACAATAAAAAATTTTGTTAAAATATGACAATATTGACATCATCTCTTTGATTTGTTTGATTCTTTTTAACAACAAACAATACAAATTAATTAATAATAAGTAAAATAAAGTCAAAATATGATATTTATTAAAATAATATAATAATTTAAAAAAAAATAGCCTTAAAAAATTCAACCATATTAGTATTTAAATAAATTTAATTTTTTATTTTAAAATGAGTAATAAAACACTATTTGATAAGAACACTGATGTAAATATAATCAAAAAACCGTCTTTACAGTACATTAAATGATCGAAAGTAGAAAGCTATAACAAAGTAAAAACAAAACAACTAGCAGCTATTTTTTGAAATGTTTGGCTTAAGCAAAAGTTCAGTTCACTTAAAAGAACTTGAAGACGCGCAAATTTCAAAAATAAAATGTTTGTTTAAATTGGCTTACTCTTTTTTATTGTCATTCTCTGGTAGTCTGTAATCCTATTTTCAAAAGTTGATTTATTGTAAATTTATTTTTACCTTACATAGTTTGTTTAGTCATTTGCTTCTACTGTTTATTAACTAATATTACATTGTAAAAAATTAGAAAAGTAAAAGTTTTTAAAGCTTTATTGTACTGTTGTACCAGAGATTAGTTAGGTTTCGGTTCTTTGCGTGTAGCATAGTAATTCTTCAGTTGTGGAAGAGCTTTGACGTTGTCATAGATAGTTTTCATATTTTTAAGAGAAGTAAATGGCTTCAAATCGTACTTGGCAGCGTTTTCATAGAAGTTGGCCAGAAGAAAGTCAACCCAAGTAACTCCAGACTTGGCCATGAAGCCGCTGCCAGATTCCTAAAATTAATTTTGATTTTAAATTTTAAATAAATCGAAATATATAGTTTTAAATCTTTTAAAACTCTTTTTGTGACTATTTTAGCAATTCAAAATAGAAGTTTAACTTCAATGTAAGCAAAACTCACTTTGACGACCTTATCAAAGTACTTCTTCCACTTGGTGTCGATGTAGGTTTGGGCTTCTTTGGCCAGTTTTTCTTTGTCATCTTTTGGGTTGAGGGGACGACCAATGACACACAAAAAGTAAGCCCAAGTGTTAGTTATCAGATCTTGAATAAAGTCTCCATAGCTATCGACCAAAGCTTGCTCAATCTCGTCTTTGCCAGCCAGGCCAAACTTTCTGCCTAGGAAACGGAAGATGGCCTTACTTTGAGCAAGTTTGACCTTTCCATCGATTGTCAGGACTGGGACTTGGCCAAAGGGAAGTTCTACAAATTGTCTTTTAAATTTTTTCTAAATTCCATAATATTTTCATTTTTTCAAATAAATTTTAATTTTTTATATTTGTTGTTCAGGAGCTCAATCTTACGGTCTCGAATCTTCTCCATGGTCTCAGGAGTCACCGAACGATCATCTTCAAACTTGACATTTGCGTAACTGAACAACATCCTGGCTGGTTCGGCCAACCCACGGTTATCGCCATACAGTAGCGTGTATTGTACCATAGTCAAAGTTGTAAAAAACTACAAACCGTGCAAGCAAATACAAAGTAACACCAAAATGTATAGTGTAAATTACATTATGATACTCGTCTTTAAATAGTACTAGGGTTGCCAAGACAATCGTATGTTCCGTTATTATGTTCACAAAGTATAAGAAAAACTGCTCGAGGCAGCTGGTGGCAGAGTACTGTAGTTTGTGTAATGTCCATATTTAAAATTCCTGATTCTTTTTTTCTTTTCTTTTTATTTAGGTATGAAACGTGTTGTAGGCCTTCCTTTCTCTGTATTTTGTTCCAAGCAGGAAAGCACGTTTTCTACTTTTCCAAAGCACAAAGTACAAAATGGCAGGTTTCTACGCACAATTGGGAATAAATATAGAAAATGATTTGGTTTGTTTTGGATTAAAGTTGATCTACAGCTACTTTGGGGCAATTAGTCCGTATGAAATCGTTAGAATAACATAAAAACCCCAAAAACAATTGTTTTCATTTCAGTTGCGCACTCAAGCACCGTAGCAGTTTTTTTGTTTTTTTCAGATACATATAAATTATGTCAGTTATATAAAAATTAATAAAATAAAAATTTTTTGAGAATTGATGAGATTCTGAGTTTTCGTTAAAAATATTTTTTAGGTAAAATACGAAGATGAGTCAATACAAAATCACTTATTTCGATGCTCGTGGACGTGCTGAAGTTGCACGGCTTATTCTGAAGTACGCTGGTGTTGAGTTTGAAGATCATCGTTTACAAGACCATTCATACGTTGGAGAGCATCGGGATGGTAAAAAATTAAATTTTTTTTTTTGTTTATAATAAAACGTGAACTTCATTAAGTCTATAAAATCTGATTTTGGCCACTTTTATATACAATATCTTCACTCAAATTAAAAATTTCGATTCAAGTATACTGCTTTGAAACCTTATATGGCATTTTTTTCAGATTTCCCATTTGGTCAAGTACCAGTCTTAACAATCGACGGTAAAGTACATATTGCTCAAAGCTTTGCTATGAATCGTTTTTTGGCCAAGAAGTACGGTTTGGCTGGAAAAGATGAGATGGAACAAGCTTTGGTTGACAGTTACGGTGACTTTCTGAATGATGCCAATATTAATCTACGTGAATTCTTTTGGGTAACAATTGGCAGAGCTGAAGGAGACTTGGACAAACTTACTGCTGAAGCTAAGGACTACATTGACAACAAATGGAAGAAGTTTTTCGACAAGATTTTTGAGGTACGTTATGTAATATAAAAAACGTTTATGCACATTTCCAAAAATACTACGGTGAAATACAATAAGTTTACACTATATTTTATGACAAATAAATTCGATTTCAGGAATCTGGAAATGGATTCCTGGCCAAATCTGGTGTAACATGGGTTGACTTTCTGGCTGCGGAGTTCTACGAAACTTCTCAAAACCTTAAGATTGATGTTGTCACCAACATCTCTAACTTGAAAAAGCTGCATGACAATGTCAAAGCGCTGCCACAGTTGAAGGAGTACTACAGTCAACGCAAACCTAGTCCATTTTAAATTTTGACAGTGTGGTATAATTTTGTACTACACTGACCTTTAGTATTATAATCATATAATCACACAAATCACACGTAGATCACAAACCATGAGTTCAAAATAAATGTCAACAAAAACCTTTATCAATTCATTCACGTTTTTCTTTTTTTGTTTTTGATTTTATCAAAATGCATTTTATAGATTTGGTAAGCACGTTAGTAAATAAATAAACATTTTTTGAGTCGATTTCACAAATCTACTTATCATTTTTAACGATTTAAAAGCAGTTTTGACGACCATAAAGAACAAACGCTTAGACGGTGGGTAGCCTTGTAAACGTCCTTTATTTCAACTAAAAATAATATATAAACTTTTCGATCTTATACAAAACAGTGAGTTTTTGAATGTTGTTGTTATTTTATCACGTTTTATCTGTAATGATAACAGCTCTTTTAAATTGGTAATAGTTTGTTATCTTTATAGTTAAAACTAAATAAATAACTTGAATTTAGCTATGGTTCAATACAAACTTACCTATTTCAACCTTCGAGGACGTGCTGAAACAGCACGTTTGATCCTAAAATACGCTGGTGTTGATTTTGAAGACTTTCGTTTTGATAGCCGCGACTACGTTGCTGAACATCGTGATGGTATGTCTTGCTTAATAAATAGCTATTTTAGAATTTTAAAAAACAAATTAAATTGTTAATACAGTAAAACTTTTAAACTATAACAAAAATACCGTAGTTTACTGCGTAAATATTATAATATAACCTTGTATCAAGATTATAAGCTTAAATCTAGAGTTTCCTTACGGCCAAGTGCCAATATTACATGTTGATGGCACAGTGATAGCTCAAAGTATTGCGATTAATAGATATCTGGCCAAGAAATACAATTTGGCAGGTAAAGATGATATTGAACAAGCTTTGGTAGATAGCTACGTTGACTTCTTCACAGATTTATCTAACAACGTATGGCCTTACATTGCGGTAATTATGGGAATGCAAGAAGGAGACCAAGACAAGCTGAAAGAAAAAGCTGTAGAACATACAGAGAACAAGTTTGTTAAATACTTCAACAAGCTCTATGAGGTCAGTTAAGCAGTATTTTTATTTTACCATACTTTTAGACTTAATTCAGTATATTATAGTAGAATAAACTGTATTTTTTGCCAAAACAAAGCAATAACATCATTAAAAAGCCATATTTTAACTTGCAGACTTCTGGAAGTGGATTCTTATCCAAATCTGGAGTAACTTGGGCTGATTTTTTTGCTGCTGAATTCTACGAAACTTGTGCAAACTTTGACTTGAAGTTTATCACCAATATACCAAATTTCAAAAAGTTACATGATAATGTAAAAAATCTACCAGAACTAAACGAATACTTTGCACAACACAAACAAAGCAAAGTTTAGATAGTACAGTATAATATTGTACCTAATAACATAAAAGCTTATTGTTATGTATTTTAATTGACAAGACATTATAAACTCAAATCTTATTTTTGTATCCAATTAGTAAATAAATAAACATTTTTCACACTCAAGTTCACAAACGTGCTTATCCTATTCGGAAGATTTAAAACTATTTTAACGCCCGAAAGACAACAAAAGCTATTCGAAGGTGAGGTCTTGTTTGTAAACGTCCTTTACTTCAATCAAAGGTCAAAATATAAAAAATTTTCGGTTCTTTCTAGTCGATCTACTATATAACAGATCAGCTGTACTTATACATCCTTTCTGCTTGAAATATATTTTTGTTTTAGATTATCTGACAGCTTTATATAACAGCTTGTTAGAGTATATATTATTTATTTGTGTGTTTACAAAATAGTTTACTTTAAAAGTACAGAAACTGTGTGTGGTCGTTAATAATCGTCAATTTTGTAATTTCAAATTCTGTACTTTTTTAAAATTAAAAATATTTTGAAGGTCACTATGGTTCAATACAAACTTACCTACTTCAATCTTCGAGGACGTGCTGAACCAGGACGTTTGATTCTAAAATACGCTGGTGTTGATTTCGAAGACTTTCGTTTTGAGGACTGGAGTTACATTACAGAACATCGAGACGGTAAGCACTTTCGAATATAACCAGCTAAAATAAAATTCCCTATCAATTAATGCCATTTTCAAAATTATACTTACTTTATATCTTTGAGATTATAAAAAATTAAAAAAGTGTTTTAAATAATTTAGAACTTCCGTTCGGTCAAGTACCAACATTAAACGTTGATGGCACAGTAATAGCCCAAAGCTATGCTATCATACGATACTTCGCCAGAAAGTACAACTTGGCAGGTAAAGATGATATCGAACAAGCTTTGGTGGATAGTTACGCCGACTTCTTCAACGATCTCACTGACAATGTGTGGCCTTACTGTATGGTTATAATGGGACTGGAAGAAGGCGACAAAGACAAACTTCTAGAAAAGGCTATAGCCTTTACAGAGAATAAGTTTGTCAAGTACTTCAATAAAGTCTATGAGGTAGGTTTACCACAGAATTTTCAAAGTTTTTGTTAGATTTTCAAATTTTCTTTAAAAAACTAAAAGTTATATATAATAGCATTGTAGCTATCAATAATACTTTCTTACAATAACAAAAACTATAGCTTCTATATAATTCAATTTTACTAATTTTAGGCTTCTGGTAGTGGATACTTGGCCAAATCTGGATTAACTTGGGCTGATTTAGTCGCTGCTGAGTTTTACGAGACTGCTGCCAGCTTTGATTTAAAGTTTATCACTGACATATCTAATTACAAAGCTTTGCATGATAATGTCAAAAAGGTCCCGGAACTCGAAGAATACTATGAAAATCGCAAACAGAGCAACGTTTAGATACTTATACAACATTTGTTGTATTTGATTGTATAAACGTGTCTTTTATAGAATACTTATCCTATACTGTATCAAAAAGTAAAAAATATCACTTTATTTTCACACCTATAACTAAATAAACAAAAATTATCGTTTTATTATATTAGTAGCCCATTAATACACGTGTTTTTAAATCTTTTACTCTTAAAAATAAACATATTTTAAATCTTTTGAATCTACAATCATATGCTCCTTATCAATAATTTATTGACAAGACATTATAAATTCAAGTCTTTGCTGTTTGTGAAAGTGTCAACGCTATAGCAACCTTAATTCAAACAGTTATAAAAAACTAAAAATAATACGGAAGAATACAAACTATTACCAAACTTGTCATGTTCAAGTTTTACACGTTGATAAGACGATTAATTTGACGTGGCATCGAAAAGGTTACTCAAGTTTGACAGTTTAATCTTCTAGAAACAGGTCTCTTTGATAAAACACAATGTACAATATAGAGCAAGTCGATCAGTTCAACACACAAACAACAAATCGGATCATTCTTGTTTAACACAAGAGTGTCTGAGATTGTAGTTTAAGTTTGACAATGAAAAAGTTTGCAAAGAGGATACTACATTTACTTTTTAAAGGATAAAAAGTAATTGTAGTGTATAACAAGCAAATTGTTGTGTACAATTTCTTATTCAATTTAAATAATACTGGGAATGATACCCAAAGTTAGCGTCGCCTAGGAGATTAGTTGTAATATAAGGCGTTACACTGTAGTAGACATTACTTCTCCTTAGAAACGTAGTTTCTTACAGTATACCAAAAACAATCTATAAATGTGCAGCTCTCTTTTACAGAGTAAATAAGTTAGATTTCCAGACTAATATTTAACGCAATTATACAGTTAGGTTAACGTACAATTAGTAGAAATTGTTACTTTAAAAAGTTTTTCCTAGTTAAATAAAAAGCAAACTCTTAAAATACACTTAAAAAAGGCTATATTTTGTAGTACGAAACAATTTTTAGTTAATTGAAGCCCTCTTTGCCTCGATGAGCTTGTGATACAAACTAAAGCAACACATTAATCCACCTCGAACAACCGCGACACCAGAACGGTCCAAAAAACCCAATGTACAAAGCATAAACACAAAAAAGCACGTTGGAAGTGCGGCCCTCCCCTTATAAAAGCAATTGAATTTGCCTTGAAATCTCACTCGCCTATGTTTACTTATTCTCATAACTGACCTTTGATTGATAAATCGAAAGTTCTTCTTGTTTCTTATAAGTTTCGCACTTTCTTACCAACTTTTAATGTATCTAAAACTCTCAATAGGTCTAAATATAAATGTCAAACGATGAAAGAACTGTTTCTCCGTCAAATTCTAGTAAAATACTCAAAGTTTAGACCAAAAACTGATATTACACTAGATCAACCTAAACTTTGTTGATGGCCGGAAATAATATACATAATTATCTGGCCAAATCTATCTAAAATAATATTGTTTTACAAAAAACCGGCCACACAAACCAAAGCTTTTATCATTCAAACAAATTCTTGTCCTCAGGTCTTGCCGTCCATAAAATATGTCATTTTAGTCCAGAAACTCTGTCATCTTTCAGAGTATTCTCTTTTTTTTTGTCATTTTTGGCCAAGCCTTCCCCTTTCTTTGATATTGTTTGAAGAACTGTTTCTTTTGAGCGTGTAGCTATTTTTTAGAATGTATTGATGTCAGTTTTGCTCATTTTTGTGTTTTTTTCAGAGTTTTGAATCAAAATGGTCCAATACAAGTTGACTTACGGAGATGCTCGCGGTCTTGGAGAACCAGCCAGACTTGTCTTGCACTATGCCGGTGTTCAATTCGAAGATGACCGTCTCTCCGACTTTAGTGTTGTTGAAACCATCCGTGATCGTGAGTTTTGTTTGTTTTAGATGTTGTTTTAGATAATGTTTTTGGAAAAATGTTATTTTAGGTAACACATGTGAAAATTTTTTAAATTTTTGTTTGACTTTGTACTTTCTTAATGAAAAACGTTTTGTATAATCACTCAAAGATTTTAACAACTAAAAGATTCTTTTTATAACTTCCATTTGGGCAAGTACCAGTCTTGACTATTGACGGTACCACCAAGTTGGCTCAAAGTCAAGCCATCTGCCGTTTCTTGGCCCGCAAACACGGATTGGCTGGTAAAGATGATGTTGAACAAGCTCTGGTCGACAGCTACGGAGACTTCTTGATGGACTTGATGACCAACCTCCGCCCATACTTTATCTTCTTGAGAACTGGTGAAGGTGACAAGGAAAAGACCCTCAGCGACGCCAAGACTTACATTGAGACCAAGTGGGAGAAGTACTTCAACAAGATCGTTGAGGTAAGTGTTTTTGGCATGATTTTGTAGACTAAATGATGTATATTTTGGTGATTACATAGTCATAAGTAAAAATTGAAGTTAGTAGTATGAAAGCTTGAGAACTATAATTAGAATGACAATATCTTTTTTAGTAAAACATGTTTTTTTACCTTAAAAGTTATAAATTTTGTTTCTTCAGGGTTCTGGAAGTGGATTCTTGGCCAAGTCAGGAGTCACCTGGCCAGACTTTATCGTGGCCAACTTCTACGAAACGTGTAAGAATCTGGAATTTGCTCCAATTTTGAACATCAAGCATTTCAAGACTGTCCACGACAGTGTTAAGGCCCTTCCTCAACTCAAGGAATACTTCGCCAACCGCAAACAAACTCAATTCTGAGATGGTCTCTGAGTAACATACCTATCTTCAACGATCTGTCAATCTGTCACTTTGCATTCTTCTAGATTTTGTAGCTTTACTAAATAAATAATTTCGTAACGAATATTAATTGGGATATACGTATTGATGGTAATATTTTCCACTATATATTTGATAGTTCATAGATTTTAACTAACATGGGAAGTCACTTAAATCGTACCTCGACTTTAGGTCAAGACCTATATATTCTTAAAGCCCTGTAATCACTGAGTATGGATCTGAAAACTGTTTTTCCGTATGGCGCTTAGTTTTCGAGAAAATCGACTTTAAATTTTGACCGAATCCCTAAAAGGAGGAAGGCGCGCTGAAAACTCGATCGGAAATAACTTGAAGAAATCAAGTGGCGGCATGGCGCAGAGAGTAAAGCGTTCGGTTTCCAATTCAAACCACGTGGGTTTGATTCTGGAGCCTCTGAATTATTTTTTAACAAAACTTTCAATATGCAAATTTATGTAATTTTTGTAATATCATTGTTAGATGAAATTGCATAATTTTAACGAAATATATTTTTCGTCTATCTTCGTCGGTCACATCTTCGTACATTGAATCCGCCGTATTATTCCTATCCTCAATCAAGTCCTCCTCTGATTCATCGTCGAAATCACCATCTGCTGTATTACAACATTGTCTTCACGATTCGGTCATTGTAGGCAGCATCGATGCTGTCGCCGTGTCCAAATCGAACATCAGGAATCCCACAACAAGTGCGAGAGTGACACCCAAAGCACAATGAACAAAAAGCATGAGTTTTGTTTATTTTAATATATTATTGCTTTAGGTAATGTTTTTTAATAATTTTTTATTTATTTAAAGAAATTATGTCAATTTTCGTTTTTTAACACTACAAAAATTACATAAGTATGCATATTGAAAGTTTTGTTAAAAATGATTTAGAGGCTCCAGAATCGAACCCACGTAGTTTAAATCGGAAACCGAACGCTTTACCATTTGCGCCACGCCGCTACGATTTATTTTCGTTATTCCCGATAGACTCTCGCGCGCTTTCTTTTTGGGGATACGGTCAAAATTTAAAGTCGATTTTCTCGAAAACTAAGCGCCATACGGGAAAACGGTTTTCAGATCCATACTCAGTGATTACAGGGCTTTAAGAATATATAGGTCTCGACCTAAAGTCGAGGTACGATTTAAGTGACTTCCCATGTAAGAAGTTAACGGTGGTATGCGATTTAAAAAAATTTGTACGGAGACGTGAGGTAAATTTAAAGTGGATTGTTTCAGAACCCTGGATTTATATTCATCATGATTGTTTTTAAAAATTCGAACTAAAGTTATAGTGCCAAACCAAAAGCCCACAAACTCGAACAACTTATCTTAATTTAGACATACACATCACAAAACACAACCAAAATTCTCAAATTTGACGAAAAAAGGTTGTAGTGCAGTTAACAATCAGTTTTGTTCAACCACATACTCCAAACTAGAGAGAAAAAGCAGTGAGAAGGCCTTGAAGGGCAGGCATGGAGTATAAAAGAGAGTGTTTACTTGTGGAGACCCTCAAATGTTTACTCACATAGCAACCTCTGCTCTATGTTATAATTTTATGGCGTTCAAGTTATTTGTTGTTTATTCCTGTTTAGATTCTCGTTTGGCATTATTTTTTATATTTTAATGTTTATTTACACTTATACATTGAAATGTTAGTGCGTGTACACCATATTAACTTTTAATTTTTAAATTATTGTTTTTAAAGTTTAGATATAAAATGGTTCAATACAAGTTTACTTACGGTAAGGCTCGTGGCCTTGGTGAGCCAGTTAGATTGTTGTTGCACTACGCTGGAGTACCATTTGAAGATGAACGCATTGAATTTGGACAAGTTCAGGAAATGCGTGACGGTACGTTTACCTTTATTGTGCTGCAATGTAAAAGTTGAAGTTCGTTATTTCTTCTTGTTGTAATAGACAAACGAAAAGTTACTTTTGATCAAAACTTCTTTTACAGAACTTCCTTTCGGCCAAATCCCTTTGTTGACCATTGACGGGGCTTACAAAATCAGCCAAAGTCGGGCCATTCTTCGTTACTTAGCTCGCAAGTACAACTTAACCGGTAAAGACGAAATCGAAGAAGCCAAAGTTGACAGTTACCTCGACTTTCTGGATGATTTAGCCAACAATGTTCGTCCGTACATCATGGCATTGAGAGGAAATGGCGAAGACAAGGACAAGAAGTACGAAGCTGCCAAGACCTATATTGAGACAAAATGGGAAAAGTTCTTCAACAAGACAGTGGATGCTTCTGGCAGTGGATTCATATCAAATTCTGGTCTTACTTATCCTGATTTTGTGTTTGCTTGCTTCTATGAGACTGCTACCAAGATCAACTTTGAACCGATTATCAATATGAAGAACTTCAAGCTGATTCATGACAATGTCAAGTCTCTGCCTCAACTCAAAGAATACTTGTCTAGCCGCCCAGACTCACAATTTTAATTTATATTCACCTTTTTCAATTTCAAAATATTCAGATATTTCGCATTTATTTAATTTTGAAGGCTTAGTTTAACAAAATAAACATTATTGAGCATTAACAAAGTTAGTTATAAAAAAACACATGCTGTGTTATAAGAAAGAAATAAGTTTAGAAAAAAATGACACATAATCTGTAAACTCCAACCGTTATGATTAATACAAAAACAAAACATTGAATTTATTTTATGACGTATGTAGACCAGTTCAGTAGCACCAAGAACCAAACTGTAAGCGTATTAAAGCTTACAGCTCAGTAAAAAGTTTTGTTATTTCAAATATTACTTCTAGGTGTGTTTGGGTAACAAAAAGCAGATGCAAAATGGGTTAACTCCGGTTTGAACAGTTTAGCCATAATCTGATTACTTAGCGTCCTCAAACAAGAGTCAAAAAGTAGTCATTGTTGTGGAGAAGGTTTGCTGGACTTGGATTAAACATAAATTTAAGTTCAGGGGCGTAAAAATGGACATGATTTTGATTACGGGCAAAAGAGATGGAAAAAGTAAAAGGATGAGGAAACTGTTTTTTTTATTTAAACGTGGTTTACTACTGATATTTCTTTGTTTAGAAGTTGTCTTTTGTTCTTTACTTAACATTTCCGTCTTTTACAGACAGTCTTCGGATTTTTTTAAAAGCTGTCTATAATGTTACACGTTTCTCACTGAACTAAATCTGTTATGTCTTTGAATTTAACAAAAAACCAAAAGCTTGACTCAAACGCTGCAAACAGTTTAATAGACCCCCTTAGTAACCGTAGGCTTTATTTGAACAATTCTCGTAATATAAGACTGCGTTGAATCAGAATGCAACAGTCTGAGTCGAATTTTGTAAAAATATCATATTAACAACCGTCAAAAGCCATGGGGCAAACATTGTGAACGTTTGGTTGTATTGACTATGCGGGTCTATCACTTGTTTGCCAAATTGTACCTGGTTATTAACGATTGTGTAATTGGGTTTGTTTGGGTAGGTAGTAGCAGTACTATCAACAGTGATAAGTTTTTGCGATTTGTGGTGGAGAAGACTTGATAAGCGTGCAAACACTTTGGGGAGCCAACTTTTTGACTTTTACTAATTTGTTTTGAATTTTTGGCGTGATTTTTGAAAATTTGACTAATGTTAGTTTATCGTTTTAATTTAAAAATTCATGAATTGTTATTGTGCACTTTAAAGTTGGAATGATTAAGTTTTTTTTCAAGTCTTTTCCTGATAACTTTTGATCACATATAAAGTAAGAAAGGACTGTTATGAGCCACTGATTAATTACTTGAGCTTTAATGCTTTTTAAAACACGGAAGCAAAGGAACTGAACTCTACACTTATTACAAGTTTGTTTGTGTAAGAGTCTTCCTCTCCTGTTATTAACGGTTTTATAACAGCAGTTTACGTACCTTAAGGGTTACTTTTTTAAGTTTATCAAGTATATTTTACAGCTATTAAAAATTTAAAAGCTTTTACCCAAATGCACTCATTATATTCCTCGTCTTTATATTATAGTAATTTCAATTCGTATTTCAAAATTTAATTAATTTATAAGTGAGTTTGGAGTAAGTACGTGCATAATTAAAACACAAAGAAACGTTAGTCTTTATATCTCTGGGGAAAGTCATAATTGGTATGAAAACGAAAGCGTATGACAGATTATGTGTTGAAGTTTACAGACGGCAGGCAGTAAGAAGTTTTTTAAGAATACTTTTACCGCGGTAACAAAAAGTAAAGAAAGTGTGCTTTGGGTGCTATTAAAGTAATAACATTAGCGAGTTTTAATTCACGTTTTTTCACGCTAAGTTCTTTTTTCCTGAGGCTAGCGAACATTTTGTAAAGGTTTTTCTTGTGGGAAAATGTGTTTTATGTAAATGAGTATAATAAGCGTATCTTTGTGTAGGACGTTTGTAAGAATTGCTAATTATAAGGTAATGAGAATATTAATTTTTAAAAAATTGCAATGATAACCTATGTCTTGCTTACTTATAAAATACGAAGTATTTTGAGCTTTATATGTATGTGACATTACTCAAAAATATTTATATCACCGGTTTGCGTATGTTATACATTATTTACTTGCATAAAATTGTCTGATCGGCTAGCCATAATAATATCCAGAATGTTTTTTTGTCTCTCTGTGCACTCGGTCACGTGAACATCCATCTCTTCGTATGTCATGTTCTTCACTTTTTTCGTTTCACGGATCTAATGACATAGGGAGTAGCTTTACCGGAGATTTTATATTCTTATTGTAAATCTTGCTGTACATTCCTTATAATGTAAATATTGTTGAGTTGTATGTTGAAAAGCCTTATTATCAGACTAGCGTTGTGGTAAAAGTTATTTTATGGCTTAAACTAGCCCATTTTTGTGTTTTAACTAACTGCAGTTTAACATATTTATTTTGTTCTTAACATAAGCATTTTTGATGATTACTAACGTAAATCTCACCATTTCTCGAATATTGTAATTGCTTCTGTAAGCATAAATTGTTTGTGTTAGAAACTCAAAAATTGTGAGAATTCTGAAAGATTCTGGGCGCTGATAAAAAGAAAAGATGGAATTCTACCGATTTCGTTTTGATTTCACTTGCTTCCGTTTCGTATTCGACGTGTGTAGGTATTTTCTTGTGACCTTGCTGGATTCTAAAACACAACATTTATTTTAATATTTTAATACTGAGCTTTATTCTACTATATAGTATTGTTTGTGTAAACTAACTGAAAATTAACACGCTACTATCTTTTTTTTAAATTTAAAAGAAATTAACACGCTACTATCTTTTATATTGTTGTTCTACATGTTATTTCGCTTTTTACACTAAATACTGCACCCTTTATCTTTGAACTTCCCTACCCCTGTATACTATTGTTATATTGACAAAAACATGGTGTTTCATATCTGCGGCGTATCTCATGTGGTTTGTTTATTATGTTTTACTTTTGTATTTGAGCCATGTTTTTAAAATTTCAAAACTTTTTGTTATCAACCGTTGATTTCCCTTTTACGGTATCTTATATTTTGACTAATTTGTTGTCACTTGTACAATAATTCACTGTTTATTATTGTTATAACCAACTACTTTTAGAACGACGAAATGAAGGAACACAGTTACAAATTGACATATTTGGATCGTCGAGGCTTGGCTGAGCCCATAAGGTTAATATTCCATTATCTGGGTATCTACTTCGAGGATGAGAGGATAGACGCGGCCGAACTTACGCAGAGATACGACAGTAAGTGTTGTTGTACTAGAATATTCTACTAATTGTAAAAATATGAATTTTCTTTGTTTTACATTTTCTGAACTTTAAAATTTTGGAAACTGATATTTTTAGCACTACCTTTTGGTCAAGTACCGATACTGGAAATTGATGACAAAATAAAATTATCTCAAAGTCATGCCATCTACAGATTCCTAGCTAAAAGGTACCACCTGGCGGGTAAAACGGAGATGGAACAGGCAATGGTCGATAGTTATGCTGAACTATTACATGACTTTGGCTATGCTGTTCAACCTTACTTTGCCGTCGTTTCTGGTCGAATCGACGGTGATAAGTATCAAATATACGATGAGATTATAGTGCCTACGGCAAAGAAGTTTGGAAGCTATTTAGATAAAGTATACAAGGTATATTTATGGTAATGTAAAGCAATACATTATGTTATATATTTTAATACTGAAAATTATGTAAACATATAAAAAGATGCCTACATCATTAAAAACTATTGTAGGAATCAGACTCCGGCTTCTTTGCTCCAAGCGGCCTAACATACGTTGACTTTATTGCAACGAACATATATGACACAGCAATAGCGACGGGTATGGACGCTGTAACTAACATAAAGTCCTTAAAAGAAGTACACGCTCGAGTTCATTCATTACCTAAACTACAGCGCTATTTATCGATGAGGAGGCGATCCGACTTCTGATTGTATATAAAAATGTACATACTTGTTTAATAAAAATTTCACTTACACTTTACGTAATATATATCTCATATATTTTTTACTATCTCACTTTCAGCCGTATAGAGACGACACAGGTACTAGCCTATCTAACCCAAATTTTTGCCTACGACTGATTTTACTGTACAGCTAGGCTTAAACGTTTTACAAATAAACTTAATCCCCCTTTCCCTTCTCATTTTCACCAGCTTCAACCACGAATAAGCCTGTTTATTAATAAAAAAATATACAATCTTACTAATAACGACAGCAATTGATTCTACAGTACCCTAGCAATTCCTCTGTATCCAAAATATAATTTTAAAATACGATTAAGTGCAATCTTGTCGGTATAGATAAGTAGTTTTTAAAAAATCCAAATATGTTATTTAAGCACTGTTATTCGATGATATTAGACATTGTGGATTTCCGAAGTTTTAAAATTTTTTAATAAATTTTGCAAAATTTAATTAGTTTTTAAAAATTTTCTTCAAAAAAAAACTAAAATATTCAAAAGTTAGGTTGTCAACAACTAACAATATAAACTTTTTAAAATCGCCTAATAAACTTTGAAAATTTCAAAATTTTATAAACATTTGGAACAATATAATAACAGAGAAACACTTGACTCAAAAATTATTCAAAGGCAACCGCATTACTGTTCGCCTTCTGGATCCGACTCGCCAACAATGTAATAAGCGCTATAGAACTGCTTGGCCGTCAATGGCTGAAACTTGTCCTTGTAGAACATAAAGCCAATAGCCGCGTAGAAGTAGAATGCAGACAAGTATTCATCATCAGGCCTATACAATAAGTTTCTCATCAGCGTCTGTGTTCTCTTCTGAGCAGCGGTTTCCTTCTTTCGTGGTGGAATTTGCGAATATACAATTCGACACGCCGGTTTGTAGTCGATCTGAAACAACTGGGTATGCTTTTTGATGAATTTACGTTCGGGAATCTGTAAAGTTTAAGGTAAATTTACAGTTTATAACAAAAAACATGGGTTTTAGGGGTGAAGTAGGATATTGGGGCAGGGCATGGCGAGATATGAAATTTTATGGAAGGGTAGGGACTAATATAATTCACATTAAAAAATATTTTAATTAAAAAAATTTTTTAAAAAATGCACTTACTTTCACCTTTCTCGCAATAATCCCGTACCTTTCCAGAAAATCGTGGAATTCGTCTTTGTTGCAACAATTGTTGGGACAATTCAATATCGGGATGATGTTATACACCTGTAATCTTAAGTTTCATTTGATACATTAGTAAAGCTTTTTGAACATTTTACATTAAAAAAATTGTAAAAATCACAAATTTATAATATAAAAAACGAAAAAGTTTCTTTTTCATTATTAACAACAATATTGGTTTTTAAAATTGTCAAAACACTTACATTAACTACTTTATGGTTCACGTTCTAGACTAAAACAAACGAACTAAAATTATTAAAAATTATATTAAAAAATTAAAAGAAAATTTTAAGTTGGAAAGAAAGTTTTTGTCATTTTTTAAAAGAATCGAGCTATTTTTAACAACAGAAAAATTATGTAGCCATATATAAATCAAATAGTGGTCTAAAGCATTTAAACAGTGCCCTAAGATGACATGATACTATTCCAAAATTCGAAATGACAGAACACAAAATAGCTATACATAAAATTCAAAAAAGGACCAAAAACTTTCTTTACAAAGCAAAAAATGAAAAAACCATCGCAAGTATTTTTAAAATTTAAAAGCCTTACCAATGCGACTGTTGGTGGCTTGGGCCAGATTGAACTGGCGGCTCTTGTTGACGGTACTCGAGACGGCGGTCGGCGACCTAAAACGTGGATTTTAGTTTCAAAAACACGCCAAATCATATAGAATTAATTAAACTTTCAATACTTTTCTATAAATTTAACATTTGAAAATTATTTACCACACCCTCAAAATATATATTATTTTTCTTTACTCATGCCTCCTAAAAATATTTGATAGTTCCAAACATTGAAAACTTTTTAACATCATACACAACATTCAGTATCATGAACTCAAAATAGTATCACAAAACACACTTACATATCCTTTTGCTGTCGTACTTCCTCAAAGAAACCAAAAATCGGCCGGTCGTTGCCAAAAAATTGTATGAAACTGACCACCGCTCGCTTTTTATTTTCATTTCCAAATTAGAATAAAAAAATAGTTCATTTTAGATTTTTCAAAAATTCTTCGAAATTCTTGATGAAAAATTCATTTCTTCATAAAGTTGTACATTTTGCCAAAATTTCCGGAGTAACGACTACTTTTTTGTCACACGATACTCCATTCACAAGGAAAGTACCCGACCTGCCCCGCTCTGAATCAAGTTTTAATATGAATTCCTTGTACTACTATTAGTACCTATAAAAAATTTTTGCTTGCGCTGTATAACATTGGATAAGGCAAGGCATGGTACAGTTTGGTATGGTATTGTAAGGTATGGTATGGTATATAGTACAAGATGTGGTATAGTAATTTATGGTACGGTAGGGTATGGTATATTAGGTAGGATTGGTATGGTCGGGTAGGACTAAGAAAATTAAGGGTGGACTTGAGTAGGGCTAAAAGGGTCGGGGGTAGAATCAGGTATGGCTAAAAGTCAGGGGTGCGGTTGGGTAAGGCTAAATTTTTTACTATAGTAAAACATTGTAAACTAACATTTAAACAGACAATATTCATACATTTTTTTCATATAAAAGGTAATTATTTGAAATATTAATATTTTCTGACTTTTTAAGTAAAAATTCTAACATACGATTTTTTACTATGGTAAAACACTGTAAAGTAACAATTTATAGTATTTTCTAATGATATTAACATTTTAATAGGCCGGAATTAAAATAGGCCGGATTGAAATAGACCGGATTGAAATAGGCCGGATTTAAAATTGGCCGGATTTAAAATAGGCCGGATTGTCATAGCGCCGCGCTTTTGAGTTTTAAATTTGAATTATTTTGGTTTCCCGCCAATATGGCAAATTTGGCATTGTGTTTCAAGCACTTTTTTTCGACTTTCCAACTAAAATTCCCTTACAAATTTAAAAATGTAGGTTCATTTAAAGGTTTTTTACTAGTATATCAAAGAAAAATTCCTAAAAAGTCAAAAAATGGCAAAGTTATATGCTTGAAACACAATGCCAACTTGGCGGGAAATTCAAAACGTAATTTTTAGATTTCGATTTTTTCTGGATTAACTGGAAAGCGCGATTTAGTACTTTGCTGAAGATCTTATATTTACATGATCTTCCTACATAAAAAGTTTGAAGTCACCCAGAGCGGGACAGTTGGGGTACTTTACTTGTAAGATAGGGAACCAAACCATTTGCAGGAATTCGTGGAGTATGGTCAATATTAATAGAAAAAATATTTTCATGGGCACGACACAACTTTACTATTTCTATTTTTATTATTGCCAGATAAAATTTGTTTAATAATGGTGCAGACTAACGCCTTATATTATAAACATTAACTATACCTTTATTTTTAACAGTAAAATCATTTTTTTGTGTTTTTAACTTATCGTTTTACAAAAGTTTTAAATCACTGACTTCGAAGCAAAAACCTTTCAATAACTTTTAGCTAGCGTGATCGGCCGAGAAAGAGTGCGCGGCCGAGATCCTCGTGGATATTGCTTTAGTGATTTGGAGTGTTTCCAAAGTCCCTCGTTATGTTCGTTTTTTTCTCTTTTCACTTTTACTCTCTAAATCTTGTAATTAAGATTGTTTGGGGGCTTGGTTACATTTCAGCGTTTTTAACCTATTTTAAACTTTGACAGTTGTAAATTCGAAAGTGAATTTTATTTTTTATGCAATATTAACCTTTGTTGAACATCATAAAACCTTGAAAAATATTGTTTATTCGTTAAACGTTTTTAATACTATATCATTAAAATTCCAGTTTAGTTTGGACATAAACCTTAACATAGGAATGCTAGACCCATCATGGCTCAACGACCCGGGCTGGCCGTTCTTACGTCTATCAGATGAGCAGCAACTCGAAGTAAGTCAAGATAATGCTAAAAAACGGCCAAAAGTAACATCAATAATTTTTTAAGTTAATACTTTTAAAACTTTTAGGAGCAGTCCAAGCGTACCTTCGACAACAAAACTCATACTTGGGTGCCAGATCCAGAAGATGGCTTCATCGTTGGGACGATTGATTCAGAAGAGGGAGAAAAGGTCAATATAACATTGCCTAGTGGAGAAAAGGTATGAGCTTTAGTGGGTAAATATATTTTTTTAAACTTGTATTTATAAAAGAAGCTGTTTAATTAAAATTTATAGAAAGCAGTGCCAAAAGCAGAATGCCAGGAAATAAATCCCGCCAAATTCGAAAAAACAGAAGATATGTCAAATCTGACTTTCCTGAATGAAGCTTCTGTTCTCCATAATCTGAAGCAGCGCTACAGTTCTATGATTATTTATGTAAGTTACTTTGGCTAGAAACTTTATCTACTGTATTGTTGTATAAAACTTGATATAAAACTTTGAAGAACAGAAACTTTGTTCTTCAAGTTTATGTCCATTTTGCGACCAGGAAAGCAGCCAAAAAAGGCTTAAAATCAACAATTAATTTTAGACCTACTCTGGCTTGTTTCTGGTGTTCATTAATCCGTACAAGATGTTGCCAATTTACACAGACTCCGTAGCCAATATGTTCGTTAACCGAAGGCGAAGTGAAATGCCACCTCACTTGTTTGCCGTTTCGGATTTGGCTTACAGAAACATGATTTCTAGTAAGTTACAGAAGCAAGCGGCTTTAAGTGATAGAACTTTCAATCTATAACGTAAATAAAAAAAGTAAGATAAAAAAGTTTTGTCTTTTTAAAATGACATTTTAAAACAAATGTGCATTACAGACCAAGAAAACCAATCCATGTTGATCACCGGAGAATCTGGAGCCGGCAAAACTGAAAATACAAAAAAAGTCATTTCCTACTTTGCTCGTATTGGTGCTACAACAAAAAGTGACGGTAAAAAACAGGTAAGAAATAATGTAATTTCATCGATGGTCAAAGATATTTCTACAGTAATCCTAGTTATGCTTTCTAAAAATTTCATAAAAACTTCCTGAAATTAATGAATCATGTGTTTTTTGTTTGCTCATAGTCGAGATCTAAAGCGATACTTTACCTAAACCTACGTATATTTTTGTTTGCTGATACCTCGTTGGATCATTATATGTCAATACTATAATATCGATAACACAAAATTACAAGAAAATAGATGAACTATACAAAAAAAATCAGTTTTAAAAGTCAGTAATTGCATAAAATATGTCAAATTTCAGCAATCGTCATTAGAAGAGCAGATTGTGGAAGCAAACCCAGCAATCGAAGCCTTTGGCAATGGTGCTACGAACAGAAATTACAATTCAAGTCGTTATGGAAAGTTCATCAGAATCCACTTCAGTAGCAATGGAAAACTGATGGGAGGAGACATCGATCACTGTATGTTATTGAACAGTTATTTTAAAAATAATTAACATTAGTAATAATCTAATTATAGTGTTTTCCACTATACTATTTAAATCTGAAACTTCTCAAAGTAAAACTTCAGATTTGCTAGAAAAGTCTCGAGTAATCAAGCAAGGGCCTGGAGAACGGTCATTCCACATGTTTTATCAGATGATGACCAATGCAAGCCTGCGAAAAGACTTGAAATTGGACGATGATATCAAGAAGTACAGTTTTGTTTCACTGGCTGAAATCACCGTGCCTGGAATGGATGACAAAGCCGAGTTTGATTGCACTGATGTAAGTTTTGACTATTTTTCAAACTAGCTAAAGGCTATATTAAATTATGAAACTAGTTAAAGGCTCAATTAAAATTGCAGTACTTTTTAAAAGTGTACATAATTACCTTATAACAAACCAAATTAAACAATAAAATTGAAAGTCACCCTTAAATACAAAAAATTTACAGAACGCTTTCAATGTTATGGGCTTCAGCAAAGAAGAAAAGCTGGGCTTGTATAAGACTTGTGCTGCCATTATGCATATGGGTGAAATGAAATTCAAACAAAAACCAAGAGAAGAACAAGCTGAAGCTGATGACATTACAGGTAACCTAAATATCCAAACTAAAGTTAACAAACTGCTTCAGAAGCCCAACTAGCATGTGAACTGTTTGGAATTAATGTGGAAAAGTTCATCGACGCCCTTCTGAAGCCACAAGTCAAAGTTGGCACTGAGTGGGTCAGTAGAGGACAAACTCTGCAACAGGTAAGACATCTTAAAAATAACCCTTGTTTCCTAAAATCTACAAAATTAATTAAATGTACTTTTATGTTATTCTATACCAACTCAAGTAATGATGATTATAGGTAGAATGGTCAGTCGGATCAATATCCATGGCCATCTACGCCAGAATGTTCGACTGGGTCATAAAACGTTGTAATAAGACATTATCAACCTCAAAAGACGGATCTGCTCATTACATTGGAGTCCTGGATATAGCTGGGTTTGAAATCTTTGACGTATGTTTTTAACGACAAGACTAACTGTTATAGCAAACATAACTTATACAAAAATAAAAATAATGTAAAAGTTTGAAATTTAAGAGACAAATTTCAGCGCAATTCGTTTGAGCAACTGTGGATCAACTTTGTGAACGAAAAGTTGCAACAATTCTTCAACCACCACATGTTTGTGCTAGAACAAGAAGAATACAAGAGAGAAGGCATTCAGTGGACGTTCATCGACTTTGGACTCGACCTTCAAAGTTGTATTGAACTGATCGAAAAGGTAATAGTACTTACAAAAGTAATGCAAATCTACGTATATATGTATCCCATGTTTAATAACTTTTTACGTTTACTCAAGAAAATTGATTAACTATTCATAAAAATATTAATTAATCTTCAGCCTTTGGGCATCATCTCCATGTTGGACGAGGAATGTATTGTACCAAAAGCATCGGATCAAAGCTATGTTGAGAAGTTGAACAATCAACATCTCGGCAAACACCCCAACTTCCTGAAGCCAAAACCCACCAAAGGAAAACCTCTTGTGGCTGATTTCGCCATCGTACACTACGCTGGAACTGTTAACTACAGTGCGGAAGCCTGGTTAGACAAGAACAAAGATCCTCTGAATGATACTGCAGTCTCCGTACTCAAAACAGCATCCAAGGACTCTTCGATCTACAAGTTCTGGGAAGAATACAAGACAGCGGTCGATAAAGAAGAGGACGAAAAACGAGGGAAAGCGGTCGAAACCAAGAAAAAAGGAAAGTCCGGCCAATTTATGACAGTCTCCAACATGTACAGAGAGTCGCTGAACAACCTCCTGAGCATGTTGAACTCGACCCAACCTCACTTTATTAGATGCATCATTCCAAACGAAAAGAAGACCAGCGGACTGGTCGAAGCGCCATTGGTTTTGAATCAGGTATGTCAAGTTTAATGTTGAAATTTTAAAAAATTCAATGTTGTAAAAAAAAAGTAAAAAAGGAAAAATATGATCTTGAAAAAAATTACAGCTAACGTGCAATGGAGTACTAGAAGGTATCAGAATCTGTCGTAAAGGATTCCCCAACAGAATGGTGTTCCCCGAATTCAAACAACGCTATGCCATTTTGGCCGCTGACGCTGCTCAAATTGGAGAATTAAAGAAAAGTGCTGATCAAATGATGGCTAAACTAGTCAAAGAAGGAAAACTGACTGATGATGAATACAGAATTGGAAACACAAAGGTAATATATTTAAAACCCGATTAAAACTTACAATCTATACTAACAAAACTTCAAGAAAACTACAAAATATAGCTAAATTTAAAACATGTAACATATAAAAGGCATATAAGAGTTTTTAAAGGTATTTTTCCGTGCTGGAGTGCTAGCCAAAATGGAAGAGTTCCGTGACGCTGCTTTGACGATCATCGTACAGAAATTCCAATGTGAATGCCGTGCCTACTTGGCCAAATGGCAGAGATATCGTCTAGAGAAGATGGACGAGTTTGTGGAAACAATTCAAGAAAATGTACGAAAATGGCTGGTTCTTCGTGGATGGTCTTGGTACAGACTTTATTCACGGATCAAGCCCATGCTCAAAGGTCTCCAGAAGAACGCTGAATTCAAGGAAGTCGAGAAGAGAATGAGAGTAAGCGGTTTTATGGCATTGTCCGTGACTTACAGTAATAACAATGGCAAAAAGTTTATATATTAAAAGAAGCGATATCATAACACCGGTTAAAGTAATAGACTTTTAAAATATCAAGTACATAAGCATGCCATACAAAAATTCAATACTTAACATGCACTTTTTAGGCCGCTGAAGAGCGTGAAAAAGAATTGGAACAGCGCACTTCCCAGCTGCAGACACAACTAAACCAACAGAAAGAAGAATACGAGAACCTACGCGGTAACTACAACAACCAGCTAGCAGCACTAGAGCGGCGGAACGCTGAGATAAAGGTAAAAAAACGGTCAGACAGATATTGATTTCCCGGTTTTTTGATTCTTGTAACGAAAAACTAGACTGAACGGTTTTCAGTTTGTATTTCAACTTTTTTGAACTATTAAAAACTTCAAATGTTATTGTTAATCTTTCAACTTTATACCTAAATATCGGGTTTTCTTATTGTCTGTGATAGTATCTTCAATTTGAGTAATAGAAGAATCTAGTACCACCAAATAAATAAAATTGTTTCTGGCTACGAGCTTATTACGTCACTTTTTCAGAAACTGGATGCTGACCTAGAGAAAACCACAATCAAACTTGAAGACTTGGAGAAAGAAAGTGCTCAGAAGCTGAAGGAGTTAGAGAAACAGAACAAAGAAGCTGCTGAACGCTCTGCCATCGAAAGAAAACAAATGGAATCTGAAATTCAACGTCAACAAAAAGAACTTCACGATTCACAGGTTCAATTGGCAATGCAACAGGAACAAAACAATATTCTGATTCAGCAAAAGAAGGCTTCTGTAAGTTTAACATTAAAAAAGCTTATTGTTACCCAAAAATAATTGAACAAAATATTGAATATTGGGCTCATAACAAGTTTCTAAACTCTTATTACATTTATTATCCTCGTTGTTCAGGAGCAAAGTCAATATGAAGTGATCGACCAACTTGAGTTAATGAAAACCAAGAATGAACGTGTTGAAGACCAAAAGAAGAAACTGGTCGAGGAACTCGATAGCATGGAAGAACGTTTGCAAGCCGAAAAACGCTACAAAGAAGAAGCAAACAGAGGTAAAACAATATCTATAACAATATAATTCGAATTAAGAAAAACGAAAGATCGAAAACGAGCTAAAACAAGTTCATGACAAAGCTGACATGGCCATAAAACAAGCAAAGCAAGCTGATGAAGAATGTCGAAGATTGGAACAAGAGATTGCTCAATGGAGAAATCGTTCTCACGATGATGCCAATTTGATAACACGACTTCAGAGCAATATCAGACAACTTATGACAAGGATTGAGGAATTGGAGAGCGAACTTGATGTTGAGATCAGACAAAAACAAAGAGTAAGTTAAAGATTTTTAAAATTATTTTGAAAAAAAACATTTTGGTAACTTTTTTCGAACTTCTGCGCCCTTGCTTGTAAATGCGCAGGCTGCGCAAAAAATTAAAAAGTGTGGACAAAAAATTGTTTCTCAAGCTAGCTAAAAAAACAATTTTAGGCCGAGAAACTTCGTATGGAAACACAAACAGAAGTGGAAACTCTTCAACAACAACTTGCTGAGTCCAATGGCCAACTTGACATGCATATTCACGTCAACAAGGATCGTCAACACCAGCTGGAGATCCTTCAGAACGAGATCATCAAACGGAACGCTTTCCACGAGAACCATTTGGCCGAGTTGTGTTCAAAACAATGGCTAACTGTCAATAATCTTCGCAATTTGTCACAACATGCTCAGTTCTTGGAGAACGAAGTGAACCGAGTGTTGGACTTCCGCAAGAGCAGTCAGCCCAATGGAAAGCCTCTCCAGCGTTCCATGACAGCGAACGACGACTTTTACAAGCACAATAACACAGAGTTTAGACCTTAAATTCAGCTATAGCAAGATCACAATGTTTTGTAACTTTTATACCGATTTTTTGACATTTTTGGTTTTTAGATATTTTTTTGCAATTTTTGTACCTTTTCAGAGACGTAAGGATTTTGTAACATTGATTTTGGCGTTTAATAAACATTGAAGTAGTTATCATATATGTAAATCATGTCATATACATAATTCTTACCTAACAATCGAAATTTAATCTTATTTTTGAAGTTTTGATACGACTTTGTATCATAATATAACTAATAGCGGGTAAGATTTGATTGTGTTTTGATTTGTCTCATTCAGTCATAAAAGCTCGACTCTTTTCACTCCCGGATTTCTTTCAGGCTAAGAGCAATGGACAAGATCAACTAATGCCGTCTTTTTCTCGATCTCGACGGCTATTGTTTCGACTTTTGCGATTTGCTATTATCTCTTTAATTTTTGTTTTTTCGTATTGGAAATAGCAAACAATTTGAGGAAATGAATGATTATTAGATTTCGGTGTAAGGTAAGTTATGGTTATGTTGTGAGTTCTTATCAGTTATTCTTGTAAACATTTTGTTTACATTTGTTTATTTTTAATTTTTTTTATAAAAAATTTATGACCTTTGGCTTTTGGATGGTGCAAAGTGCAAACATGTTCTCTGAACCTTGCAAAATTGAAATATATTTTTTAATTTTAAGTCAAGTTGAATTAGTATTTTTTTTATAAATTAATATAATTTTAATTTCAGTAGGTATGGCATCACCTAGGTATCTTCGTCGTCTAACTGACGGAGATCGGTTTCCGCCAGAAAAAACCGATTCAGTAGATCTTCAGCCAGGTTCAGAAGAAAGAGAGAATGAAAGTATCAATGTGACTGGGCTTAGACAACGACGGCTTATCTTTCTGATTGTATGGATTGTTATCCTGTTTGTTTTTGCCATACTAATTTTAGCTGTAAGTTCATTTTATATTATCTATCTTTCGTATCCATAACGCCATTCTATATATCATTTTATGGTTTATTATATCATGCATAATCTTGAGTATCTCTGCCATTTTATACTGTGTAAGTCTCCCACCGGTAAAATATAACGTGATTTTTAGTTTAACATAACCTTAATACGAGTATTGAAAATGAGCCCGCGTGGAATGGAGTACATCAAAATACACACATATAACGACGAAAAGACAGGGAAAGAGGAGAAGATCATATACATGTCAGCCAAGAACATTGATCTTGGACACGTCGTAACGAATACGGGCCATGTTATTGGGCCCAAAAGACAGACCATGAATATTCAAGGGAGCCGGGTAAATTGTCTTTTGTTATAGTAACAATATTAAAAATCTATGCAAGTGTTCTTTTGGCCTACTTTGTTGTAATGTTAAGATAAAATATATGTGTTTTTTGCAGGTACTAATAAATGGTGGTGTCAACAAAACCGAGTTTCTACTACAAGATGGATTATGTAGATTTGATTCACACGAAAACTTCTTGGTAGTTTATTATTCAAATTAAACATTTTACTTTTTTTTCTTACTTTTATCAAAATTTTATATTTTTGTAGATCAGAACGACAGATGGGCGTACTTTATTCAGCGCGCAACATCCAATGGTGACTGTGGATAGCCGAATCAAAAAAGTAGCGACGAGTAAAGTCATTACTAATAAGGTAAGGCCTTAATTTTCTTTCTATAAGCTAGCGAAAAAATGCTCATTTCTTGGAAAAGTATAAGGTTTAACTTAAGGTTTAGTATATTTTATATACTATGTTGTGGGACATTGTAGTTAATTATAGGTAAGAGCACCAATAAATCAGCCTCTGAAAGTCGAATCGGAGAATGTTGTTTTACGAGGAAACCAAGGCATTAAACTGGAGTCCAAATCGATCAACATGAATGCTAGTACTAGTATTAGTATCAAAACTGAAGTAAGTTTTTTAAAACTATTTATTATTTTACCTCATCTTTTTACAAAGGCTATGAAAATGTCTAACTTAAACCCATATTCACATTTTAAAATTTTTATTAGCTACAAAATATTCTAAAATAGGTATATTATGATAAGATTTTAAACCGTAGTTTAAAGTCATTTTTCCTCGAAATGCCTGTTGTAATAACTGACGGTCGGTGTCTCACAGAACCCGGAATTAATATCTTCTAATGGGTTTGACTCGCTTATGTCCTCAATATCACTATCTGATACATCGCTGTTGCTCTTTGCTCTGTCATCAATTTCGAAAGATTTAGTGCCAGCTGGTTTTGGTTTTGTTGGGGGAGGGGGAGGAACGGAGGCTGACTTTGGCAAAATTACAGGGAATACTGTAGTATCTTCGTCGATTTTAGTAGAAGATAGAGTGGTAGATTCTGATTCCTGGATTTGGTCAATACTGTGATGTATTGTCTTCGTGTAGAGTGAGTTACTGTGAAGAGCTGAAATACAGTATTATGTTTTAAAGATTTAAAAAGGGTTCAATTTTGTAAGGCACGACACTTGATTTTTCTGTAACTTAAGCTACCTTTATTAAACTTGGAACTATACCTTGTTTCCTCTCAGCCAGAATCTCCAGCCGACTGACTCTAGCTCCCATGTCTTTAACAATGTCTCCGATACTGTTTAATCCTTCTACGAACTGTGATTGTCTGTGATTAATATCTCCAATAGCACATCGCACTCTGTCTAATGAACCTAGTATCATCTGAGTATCAGTAATGTTTCTACGATCAGCAAATTGATAACCACAATTTCCACAAAATATTGAGATGTTATTGGGAATGGCGTAGTTACATTGACTACAGAAACGATAGCTTCTTTTACCGTATACGTTTTCTGACATTATTTGTAGGTAGCCAAATGTATTAGGTCTTTTAGTTTGAAAAAGGTTATAATAAGGTAATGATGACTTGCAGAAAATATATTTGTGGTAATTCAAGCCTTATTTTTGTAAAACCAGCTTTGATAATAATGAAAAGTAGTATAGTATTGTTATATCATGAGCAACTTTAGTGAAATAAAACCCTTAACTATTGGAATTGAAAGCTTGAAAGTTCACGTAAGGTCGTTTCAGATCAAGTGCCTTAAAACATCTGTATCCAAAACAAAAAGCTTTATATTTCGACCGCATTCTGTTTTATAAGAGGCCATTAACTATCAAGGTTATGACATTTCGGTGAATGTGCAAAATATAATCTAGGAATCTATTTTTACTTATGCGAAACGTATATAGTGTCCTATTTTACAGTATCTTTGCATTTGAAGTCTGTAAACTTAAAGTTTTAATTATTTTTTGCTTTTTAGATAACATTTTTTTAGTTTTTAAAACAAACTTTATTTTATTGTAGGTAGATGGAGCAATTCGCTTTAACTCTCGAAAAGTTTACTTTGGCAACAGAATGAACAACCTCCCTATATCAACATCGCCTTCATTAACAGCTTCTATTGAAGCCTATCGTGTGTGTGTTTGCATGACACCCACAAGGCCAAAATTATTCATAACAAAAGGAAACAAACCTTGTAGCGCGGCTACGACAATTTGTCCATAAATTTACGTTTTTTACAAATAAAAATACAAAATTTATGGACCGGTGTAGCGATTTTTCATAAAAAAGTTTTTTAATGTAGGTAAAATTACAGAGCCTGATTTTATTTACAAGGGAATCTTACAAAGTGCCCATTCGATTTTTAAAAGTGAATGGTACCATGTGAAAGAGCGTAAAAAGTTGACTAGGAATCAATTTTCAAAAACTGCTAATTTTGCCTTACAAACCCGCTAGCGAGATTTTAAAATCATTAGTGAAAGGGTCTTATAAGTTGTTATTCTTTCTTTTGGATTATTGTATTTTTAAAAACCTTAGTTTTTACTTCTTTTTATGTTTTATTAGATGTAAGAAGCCATTATCAACAAAAAAAATTTTTTTTTGAATATTTAAATTAATTAACTTTTAAATAAAAAAGAATACCAATCATTTACCCAAAAAGAGAACCGAACCTAAAGTTCATTGATTGCGCAATCACGGCGCGCGTCAAAAGAAAATAAAACAAAAAACTTGAAACTGTATTTGACATTCCGCAACCAATATATCGAGAACGAAAACTCGGCCATTTAGCTTTTAAAAAATTTTAAAAAAAGTTTTTAAGACCAAGTTTATGGTGTTATTTAACAATTTTTACAAAAAAAAATTTAAATTGTTAGATTATACTTAATATAACAGGTTTAAAATTATCACTATTTCCAAAAAAACCCCAAAATCTCGGCGAAAAAGAAAATGTCTAACCGCTCTCTTTGCGACCACGTGGGTGGTCTCTCCGTTTTTCACTCTCTCGTTTCCTTTTTTGTCTATTCGCTCTCACGAAAAGCAAGCGCTTTTCTATTTCATGAGTATGGAGGACGAAATGCCACACGCGTTTTCGGTTCTATATTTTGACGTGCGGCGCCTTTGACCACTCGGCCATTCGAACACATTCACTTCTTTTTTTTGGAAGAAGCCAAAAGAAAGCGGGCTTAAAAAATCCGTTTTAATAGTAAAAATTTTAAAAGCTCGCTAGCGGGCTTGTAAAGCAAAATTAGCAGTTTTTGAAAATAAATTTCTAGTCAACTTTTTACGCTCTTTCACATGGTACCATTCATTTTTAAAAAGCGAATGGGCAGTTTGTAACATTCCCTTGTTAGATTAAGATGATGTTTCTTATAATTTTATATTTTATTTTCAGACCCAATCGCTTGTAAGTCAAAATCTGACATTTTCTGAAATACCTATTCTGTTTTTTCTGGCTTTTGGAAACCGAGGAGGTTGTCGAATCTGGAAACAATCTTGTCCACGTAGTTTTCGTAGAGATATACAGCTCCATTGGTTTGAGGGAGATAGAGGTATACTAGGAACACGACCTGAAATCACAAATTTTTAGACAAAATTTAGGTTTTCGAAATTTTAGTTAAAAAATTAGTTTTTTTTACATAAAAAATTATGTTTTAGGGTGGTTTTTGAGCCCGTCAGTTAGGAAACATTTAAAAGAAATTTATTTTAACCATACCTTGGCTAGCCAGTAGGCCGGGAAGTATGATAAAATGCAATTGGCAAAGAAATCGACCAAAGAAAAGAAGGCAAACACCGTCCAGTAGACTAGCCATTTTCTGTCATCGTCGTATGATGCTGTTCTCAGTGACTAAATGCAAGGTTATTTGAAAGCGATTTACTTTTTTTGATTTTTCAAAAATGTCATAAAATTTTAAAAAAGATTTTAAACAAAAACTCATCAAATTTTTACACAAAAACAGTATTTTACTATGTAAGTCGGTCATGATTTCTACTTACTTTGACTGAATGATAAGCAGGGTATGCAAAGCCGACAAAATTGCAGATTAATGAAGCAAAGGCTCCGATCATAAAGTACAAAGAGATAAAGGCGATCAATCCATACGCTGCCTGAAATAGTAAGATAGCCGTTGTAATTTTAAAAATCATACGGTGATAAGAGTCACTGTCAAAATTATTGTAATTATCAAATTTTATTATAATTCACATCAAAAAGTTTTATTAAATTAAGTATCCTAAATGTGTCAAAGATTACATTATACCTCCAGATATGTATAACTTACATATTCCCTTTTAATATTGGTTTTGGACTCGAACAAGTTGATGTAATGCTCTGCCTTTGGATTCTTTGGTTGATATAACACTTCTTTGAACTGGTCATTGCGTTTTTTCAAATAACTCACGAAAAAGTTATCTTGAGTATGGGGTTTCTGGTCTTGATTCTTGGTCATGGCTTAACAATTATTATTATTACTTATTTTTATTTGTAGTTTAGAAAACAACTTATTTTACAACAAAATACATTACATTTAAGATTCCAAAACGAAACTCGAAGTAATGTCTTATTTTACAAAACCCCATATTTAAATTTAAAAAACTGTAAACAAAGCGAATTTCCAGGGAAAACTTATCACAAAAATACCACGAAAACTAGTTGTTTGGGTCTGTGAAAATAATTTTATGCAAGAGTTATCAGCGAACACGAGAATATCACGGAAAAAGCGAAAGAGATGGGACGATCTTCTTGCCGACACGTTCAGAACAGCCATAAACTGTGAGCAAATACTTTGTGTTAGGCTTTATATTTCAATAATCGGGTCAGATGGGTCACAAATTAAGAGCATAAACTGGTTTTTCAGACATTTTTTTTATCTTTAACTTATAACAACATGTTTTAGGATATCAACCTTCGTAAATAAATAAGGTGTTTATTCCTCAAAATAAATGATGATCGCAATGACCAGAAACCCGCAAAAAGTGGCCAGAAACTTGGGAGATTCGTGAGTATTGTTCAATCGTTCCGGAGCCAGCATCTACAACAACCTCACTGTGAATCGGTTTATATTACATCACGAAAGTGATAAGCACTCACCTCGAAAAAGGCGATATATAAAAATGTTCCGATTGACAGACTGATTAGGAAGAATGTAATTTGCTCTTTAACCAACTCGTCGATCGCTGATTGCTGAAAAAGTCTTATAGGTTTTGTCATATTGGGACTAAACATCAAGTTTTTCTATGGTATTGTTAGTAAGTGTTTAAGTAGATGTCTAAAAAAATATAACCTTACCTTGACCATCATGCCAACCACAGCAAACAACGGAGAGCTGGCACAAAAGATCAATGATAATATAATGACAAAGATAGGTCTCTTCGGATGACTACTGATCAGTCTAGTTCCTACTGAGAAAGCAACAACAGTACGATGGATTACAATACCAACGAATAATGTTGTGATAGCACGAGCACTTCGTTGTACTCCAAAAGCAAACCCTTCGACCATACTGTGAAAGACCAAAGCTATGACAAATGTAATCGAACGTATAATTACAGTACGTTCTTTCCTGGGAATATGGGGAATACATCTGCAACGGTTTTGTTTTTCTTCTATTTGTATCGAAGAAATTGTATGGCCACTACTGTTAGTCTCACTGCAAAATTAAATTTAACACTTCGCGTTGAAATTAAAAAGATTTTTAAATCATATATAGTATTTTCATCTTTGAACTTAAATTTGACCGTAATCATAATATATTACTTACTAAATGGCTGATTTCTTGTGATTGGGTCGAAACACTTGTGACAACTTTGAGATTAACTTATGTCTGTTTTTGATGCCACTATTACTAAAACATGTTTCACTGACAACTTCGATCATGTAGACGAAGAAGAATCCAAATAATGTCATAAATTCAACTAGAGGGTAATCAGCCTTCCATACATGCTTACTTTGTACGATACGAAGGGATTCACTAAAGTTTTACATTTAGAATGTCGCAATCATAAAAATAAAAAACGTATTTGCAAAACACAAACATGAATATTGAACTATACTTACTGTGCATCAGGGAGTAAATGCAGAAAGATGACACTCAAGAATACGCCCCCAGCAAAACATGAAAGACACGAAACCCAATCGCTGACTGTACTACTGGTACTATCTTCCCCTCTTCGTTTCCTCTTTTCGTATAGTCTTTTCTGGAGAACGCCATATATCTGTAAAAATATGTACAGTAAAGAACCTGTATTTTACAAAAAAATAAAAAATTCAGATCTTTACTTTACTTTTCTTACAAACTCTGTAAAACAATATTATAATCAGATTAAGGCTAGTATAGCTTTAAATTCTAAAAATATTCTACTACAAAATCTTCATATGTCAAAGGTATCCTCATATTATATATTGATATCTTACTTTGACTGACAAAGCAGAAAAAGAAAAAGTAACGCAAAAGATAGTTAATATAAATAGCAAGTGTAAAGTAGCAATATTCATAATAAATCTGCCTCAAAAAAGCTGTTTTTACATTTTTTACAAAGAAAAAGTTGAAAAGTTTGAATTCAAAGAAGATAATCGAAGTGTCACAGTAAAGTAAGCGAAAGCATTATGTAACAAATCGTATTTAAAGATCATAGAATAAAACATGATACTTGAACGAAAATATTGAAATTTTATAAAATCAACAACAATATTTGCATATAAATAGTATTATCAGCTTTGAAAGTAATGTTAAAATTATTTTTTAGATATCCATTTTTAAAAATTTAAAATTTTTCAAATTAAAAATTCTGTAAAAATCAGATAAATCAATCTACTATCATATACTTAACTCCTAAATCCAAAACTCACTTTAATTGGTGCCAAACTAGCCACCAATCCAAAGAAAAATATAAAAAATATTAAAATCGATTGTAGTATGAGGGACTCCATTACATTTCCATAAATTTATTGAAACAAAACCATTTCGTTTGCTTTGTACTTTGTAAACATAAAGCCGAATTCTGGGGATTACATGAGACCGATTAACTACAGACTTGACTCAACATGAGTCAGATACTGATTAAAGATCAGTTTCAGGTTCGAATGTACAGGGTATTATTGTAGGGTATAGTAAAATACTAAAATAAAGTAATGAAAAAATTAAAATTTTTACAAAAATGTTAAAATTCAGTAATGTGTACAATACCGTTCAATATATAAATATTGTGGCAAGTTCAATTTAAGATAACTAGCTAGATTCCATGCTAAAAATATTGAGAACGCAAATTATTCAAAGTATACTACTAAAGCAATAACACCAAAACCAGCTAAAGTTGAAATGTACTTAGAAAGGGCGTAGTTACCATTAGATTTCTCTGGAGCCAGCATCTGAAACACACCAGCATCAAAATCAGATTTTTTATCCAAAAACTTTAGATTTTCAAATATCAAACCATTATAAAAAACGGCGCTAGGACAAATGCGGTTTTTGGACATTTGCGGATCTGCGGTTTTTAGACACTTGCGGATCTTCGGTTTTTGGACACTTGCGGATTTTGGACATTTGCGGATTTTTTTAAAGGGGTTTTTTTTTATTTTTTAGTTAATTTATTTATATTATGGTACTAAATTGTACTAAAGTTTGAATTGGTACGGTTTTAACATAACAGTACTTTTTTGGGCTTTTAGTACTATTTAGTACCAAAAATATAAAAACAGTACCGATTAAAAATTTAGTACTATTTAACATTAAGAAATATTAAGACAGTGCCAATTTAAACTTTAGTACCATTTAGTACCATACTACAACTAAATTAAATAAAAAATAAAAAAAACCCCCTTTAAAAAATCCGCAAATGTCCAAAATCCGCAAGTGTCCAAAAACCGAAGATCCGCAAGTGTCTAAAAACCGCAGATCCGCAAATGTCCAAAAACCGCATTTGTCCTAGCGCCTAAAAAACGTTCCCAAATAAAGCCCTAATACTAAACCATACCTCAAAGAAAGCAATGTACATAAACGTCCCGATACTCAAGCTTATTAGCAAAAACGAGATTTGTTCCTTCAAAAGCTCGTCTATCGTAGAATCCTTGACAATCTTCCCAATAACAGAAAACAACGGTGAACTGACAGCAAACACAACTGCCATGACCACCACAAACATCGGTCGATTCGGATGGCAATTGATCATTCGAGTACCGACAGAGAAGGCTACTACAGTACGATGCACAATAATGCCGACAAACAATGATATGATTGTGTTTGAATTGCCTTGAACACCAAAGGCAAATCCCTCGACCATTGAGTGGAATACCAGTGCTGTGATGAATGTTATAGTACGTACTATTAATGCTCTTTCTCTATGTGATACAGTAACATTGCTTTGAAGAGAATGGATTGAAGAGCGGGCTTCTTCTAGATTTGTTATTGGAATTTCGTGGCCATCTTCGTGGATTTCACTGGAAAGCGACACGATATAGCATTCGAAAGATAATCTTTTGACATTAGACAGTACATAAAAGTGCAATAAATATTTATTGCCTAGTCAAAAAAATAAAATATTTACCATTTATCATCCATTTGAGCATTAGTACGCCTTCTTCTCAATATAGCCGGGTTCTTGGTGACCAAACTTTGATCGTGGATGATGTTCTTTTGGGTAACACACGTTTCACTCAACACTTCAGTAATGTAGACCAAAAAGAATCCGATTAAAGATACGATCTCGACAACTGGATATTCCGTGTTCCACAAGCCATTGTTCCGTACTATTTCCAGTGATGCACTGAAAGTAAAACGTTGAAGTTTTTTTAAATTTTAGCTGCTTTAATAAGCATACACAGTTTAAAAAGTACGGTACTGCTGCCGCAAGGTTTTTAGTTTACAAACTCTTCATGTAATCAAAAAATTAAGAAAGCTCGTTAAAAATCACATAAAAAATAAAATTTTGACTTACTGTGCATCTGGTAGTAAGTGCAAAAATATTACACTTAAAAATACGCCTCCGGCAAAGCATGACAAGCAAGATATCCATTGTGACAACCTTGACTCTTTCTGGTTATTGTTAATCAATTGTTCTCGCAGTTTGTCGTTCAGTACTTGGTATATCTAAAGTAACATAAAATGGTCAAAAAGAAGAAAATTTTCAGATCCAAAATAAACTACATGTGTAAGTAAGAAAATACATGATTTTATTTAGCAAAACTCTTTTTTTTTAATTTACAAAAGTGCTAGCTTAAACGTGAATTAGTCAGTCAAAACCAACCTTTATAGGTACCAAACTGGCCACAAGTCCAACCAACAGCACAGTGAATATTAAAATATCCTGAAGAATTCCGATCTCCATGTTTGTATACGTTTACAGATGGAACAGTTAGAAAACAAACATAAAACTCGCCGATTTAATGCCTAGGCTGATCAAATGACCGGGCCTCGTTCCTTATCAGTCGCAAAAGAACCACAATGTTTGTCAAATGTAACTGTTTTTCGCCAATAAATTTAATTTGGGATAAGGCGGATTTAACATTAAAAAGACACATTAAGATAATGAGAAGGTGATGCATATGTGAGAGAAACATAGACACATTAATGTTTAGTCGGCTCTAAATTTACAATTTGGAAAATGACGCTCTGAAATGTAAATTTATGGTTGTCAATAAAAGAAAACGACATAAAAGAATCTAAATTAAGATGTTCAATTAAAAAAATGTCCTAACTTACATTATAAATGCACAAAATAAACTGACCAAAAAGCTTCTAAAGACTACTACAATGTCACAGAAAGACCTCAAGAATCTACAAAAAGCCATTTTATAAAAAAAGCTGCAGCACATTTAAATCTTAAATACGTTTTTCATTATTAATAATAAAATATTTAAAATACATATTACATAATGCATTCGAAGCGAAATACATCAAGAGTTGATCCCTTTACAACCAAAAGGTCAACAATCAAGTCTATAAAGGTGTCCCCAATCAAATCAAGCTCTAATACATCATCAATCAAAGCGAGAACATTCTTCTCAATATTAGGTTATGCTTTTATAGAGGGTGTAGTCATGTTGCAATTAACCGTCATATTGCTTGCTGTTTTTGGAAAAATAGTAAAAACTATCCAAATCTTTTATTTACCTAATTTTTTGCTGATTTTTAAATTTGCAATACTTTAAAGAACTATTTATAAAATTTGTAGCATTACTTCCTTGTGCAACAATAGTATAGATACCCATAATAATGTAATGTATTTACGTAACATGAAAAACAATCTGTAGATTGTATCAGCAAATGATAAAATCAAGGTTGTTGTCTTATACATGTTCCCTTTCAGCCATTTTACCCTACACAATGTTTTGTCTATGACTTCTTGCCTGTTTTTGTCTATAACAATATTTTTTTTCTTCAAATATAAAATAGTCCAAAATTTCACATTTTTCTATAACTTCTACTACAGTTTCATAACTGAACATTTTAAACACAAACATCATCTTCCTTTATGCTCTTATTACAACAAAATTAAGTTCTTGAACCCGCTTCTTTTATATTATCTATCACTTACTCAGACATTCCAAATTTCGATGAATATACGAAAAAACGAACGTATCTTATCAAGAAGATTCCGTGACTTTCAATGTTCACAACCTTTATGATTAAAGTTTTTTCAGTTTAAAATCGGTTGGTCTCACTCACTTTTTGCTTTGAACGTAAACAATATCGGCCAGAAATGTTGTCCAAGTAAGTTGTTTTGTTATTTCTTTTTTATGGCGAGAGAAAAGCCTCTGGCACTGCGAATTTCAAAGAGAAAATATGGCATTTTAAGCGTAAATAAGCAAGGATTCTTAATTTAGGGTGTTCATTTTATAAAAAAACGGGTTTTTGGAAAAAATTATGTTGTTTTAGGCAATAATTAATAAAAAACTAATGTTTTACGTAATATTTCAAAAAGACAAAAATTAAAGATACACCATTAATTTTAAAATAAATATAAACCTTGTTACCTAGTTGTCTCCATTTTAGAACCAGAATCCTCTGTCAAACTGTCCGAAACTCCCAAATGGCTCAACTGTCGACTTCTCAAGAATTTATCGACCGCGAGAAGAAGTACGGTGCCCATAATTACAAGCCCATTCCAGCTGTGATAGCCAAGGGAAAAGGTAAGTTATGTTATAATTCCTATTTTGTCGTTCATTTCCAGACAATTTTTTGTTTGGACATTTCGTCACTTTATGATCGGCTTTTTGACATTCCGCTGTTTTGTTGTTGATTTTGAGGTTTTTAGGTGTTCATGTTTGGGACGTAGAAGGAAAACAATACTATGACTTCTTGTCTGCTTACTCTGCTGTAAATCAGGGCCATTGTCATCCACGATTGGTTGAGGTAATCAAGAAGCAGTCGGAAGTAAGTTTGATAAATTCTATACCTAAAATAACGTAAAATTAATTAAAATACTTGTTGTTTTATAGGTTCTAACCCTCACATCTCGCGCCTTCTACAATGATGTATTGGGAGAATACGAAGAGTACATCACTAAACTGTTTGGATACGACAAGGTATTACCCATGAATTCTGGAGTGGAAGCTTGTGACACTGCTGTGAAATTGGCCAGAAGATGGGGATACGAGATCAAGGGCATTCCAAAAGATCAAGCTAGAGTTGTGTTTGCTCGTGACAACTTCTGGGGACGGTCGATTGCTGCTGTCAGTGCTTCGAATGATCCAGACAGCTATCACAACTACGGACCTTTTGTGCCCAACTTTGATCTTATACCTTATAATGACTTAGAGGCTCTGGAGGTATGTTTTTATAGAGTAATTGAATGAGTTACCAATTTTATTGTTTGTTATGATATACCTAAATATAACTATTTTTATTGTTCAGCAGAAAATTATTACTCTTATGTATACTAACTTGTTTTAGAAAGCGATATCAGATCCAAACGTAGCTGCTTTTATGGTTGAGCCCATTCAAGGAGAAGCTGGTGTTGTTGTACCGGATGCTGGGTATCTACAGAAGGTTCGTGAGCTTTGTACGAAACACAAAGTTTTGTGGATCGCTGATGAAGTACAAACTGGCCTTGGAAGGACTGGAAATTAAGTTTTTGTATTTGAAGTGCTGTATGGTGTACCGATTTGAACGGTTTTTGAATGGTTTACTAAATATGTGTTACAGGATGTTATGTGTGCACCATGACAACGTTCGCCCGGATATCATAACATTGGGCAAGGCTTTGTCGGGTGGAATGTACCCAGTGTCAGCCGTGTTATGTGATGACGAGATTATGTTGATGATAAAGCCAGGACAACATGGCAGCACGTACGGAGGAAACCCATTGGCTTGTAAAATAGCCATCGAAGCTTTAAATGTATGTCAAAATCGACTGTTACTTGATTAGAGTAATTAGAAAACGTTTTTTATGTCCAATAGTTAAATATTGTATTACTGTTTACGTTTTAAGAAGGTTTTTAAATGTGTTTTTCAACCTATATTCTAAGCTTGACTTACTTTCAGATATTACAAGAAGAAAAGTTGTGCGAAAATGCGGAGAAGATGGGCCAACTTCTACGAGACGAGCTCAGCAAACTGCCAAAGGATGTAGTATCTGTAGTGCGTGGTAAAGGGCTTCTGAATGCTATCGTTATCAACAAGAGTAAGTTTCACTAAAATTTACGTTTGAAATGGCTTGCAATTGTAAATAAGTGCCAGGCATGGTATAATTTTGTTGAAAATTGTTGTATTGATGTTGTGGTACAGATTAAATTGTTTTGTAGTTTACAATCTAAAACGTGCTTTTTTGCCATTTCTTAGAATTATAGGCTTTTCTACAATGTTTTATAATGATAATGTTTGTTTTTCAGAAGTAGATGCCTGGCAAGTTTGTTTGAAGCTGAAAGAGAACGGTTTGTTGGCCAAGAACACTCACGGTGACATTATCAGATTTGCTCCACCTTTGTGTATCAACGAGGAACAAGTACGTGATGCTGTCAATATTATCTCCGAAACCATACAATCGTTCCACAAATAAACTTAGATCTTTGAAACTTTGTATCTTTGCCCAATAAATTAAGTAAAGCTGGCCTTATTGGTACTTAACGCATTGGGTTTTTGTATTTTTAATATATTTTTAAGGGTAAATACGCCGTGATGATAATTATATTGTGATAATGAACTTTTAGGTACGGGCTTCATAACTCAACATAAATCAGATGGTCAATTACAAGCTGCCTCAGGCTGTTTTTTGAGTTTATTTGCGGTTTGTCAAAGAATGTCAAAAGACTTGTCACAAATCTGTGGACGGAAACACCAAAATCCGTGTCGGTTTTTTTTCAAAGGCATTATTATGTTGTGTATCTTCGAACATCAAAATTGTTTTGTAAGATATTGTTCATGTCAAATAGTCATAAATAATTATCAACTTGTTTTTGGTTGCGTTGATATGACAGTTTTTGTAAAAGTTGGGACAAAAATAATGTTATTGTAGCTGTTGTAGTTTTTACACTGTTTATAATCACGTTTTATAGCAGTTTTGGTTACAATGATTTAAGTACGCGTTAAAGCAGATATGTTACTTTTGAATAATTTAAGAAAACAATGTCAATTGGTTGTCATAGACATTTATTCACTAAACTCTCAAAGAGTATGACTTACTTTTTGAGTTTTGTTTATTTTTCCGCATTTTTGTTAGAGTTGCTTATGAGAATTGGAATATAAGTGGGATAAAATAGCTTTATATTAAACTATTGTTTACTTTATAGTTTTTAATAATTATAATAATATTAAACGTCACTAAAAGACTGAAACTACTAAGCTAAGCTATTCAAAAAATTTTTTAAATTGGTTGTAAAACGATTTGTTTCAGTATCAAGATGAGATTCCTCTGTACGGGTCGTATGAACAGAAGCCCATCATTGCCATTTGTATTACCTCTTGGGGACAAGCCTTGTGGTAAATGTTTGTCACACGATTTTGAACCTCAAACTGTACTTGAAGTCGACACTAAACGTAAGTTGAACCTCTTTCTTCAAACTAATGATCTAAATGTAAGATAGGCTTAAAAGCTAAGTTTGGATTTCGGCCTCAAGAGTTATAACAGTGAATATGAAAACCAGCTAAATCTCTGTTTTATAACTAATTTTTCGTCTCATTTCACTTATTTTTTGAAATTTTGCGCTTTTCTCAGCCCACTTGAGAGCTGATTTTGTGAATATTTCGACTGTTTCCGTGTTATCTACAGGTTAAGTGGGCTTATTCTCCACTTGAAGTGGACCTGAACGGTTTGCAATTAGTTTTTTTTCTTTGGTTTTGGGTTTTGCTGTCTCAAATTTAATATATTAGTAATATAAATATATTCTATTTTCTAGTACCTAAACATGGGTCTTTATACAAAATATTAAAATTTTACGAAATTTATTAAATTTTACAATACCAATTAATGTATGACAAGGTATTGTACTGTGAAGACTGTGACCGTACTTCCGGCCGATCACTCATGAAGTCGGCTGATGTGCGGCCAAGCCTATTACCACTCGAAAGTGAATTTGTTTTCGCAAACAACTAGATACTCGCTCCTCGGGCATTAGCTAACGATCGCTTACTTTTTATCAAATTCATTTTTTGATAGCGAAAAACTGTCAGCTGTGGGGGATTTTGACATTTTCTTGAGGTCTGTGTTTTTTCAAATGTTTTAGGGCTCGTTTCTGATAGATTATGGATCTTGCTGACTGTTAGATTTATAAATTTTATTGGAGGAAGGGGGATAATGGAATTAAATGGTATAGTAGTTTTGCTTTGTAGTTTTTAAAATTATTTTTTGGTCGGTAACGGCGTTTGGAAGATAAGAAGAAAAAAATGATATATTAAAGATTATTTTTCGAAAAATAACTTTCAATTGATAATTTTCAATTTATGTAGTACCCTACTTTTGTCTCTATTGATATAGTATTAGAAGCTTGTGACATTGTTTAAGAAAACCACATTGAAAATTTTAAAAAGAATTTAAAGGACACGTGTCACCTGTTTCAATTGCAAATTAATGCCAATTGTTGAAGACAATAAAGAGTCATATATCATCGAATTTGATGAGACGGCCATGGAAAACAATGCTTGATCTGCTTGAATCAAGTGAAGATTTGAAAAATGGCTTGAAATTTAAAAAATAACCTGCGTGATCAAAGTTTTTTTGCGTGAGCAAGGTATTCTGATATCGTATCTTATTGGATTTACTCTGAATTTTGTACTTTTAATAATTTTGTTTTCTGTAGGCCATGTGACGTAGATGACAAACTTGTAGAAGATCCTGTAGTACATTTAGAAAGACACAGCCGTACAATTAGACCAGTTTCAAACTAACTTTTATATTTCTTTTTACTTTTACCATCTTCAACCTATACCTTTACCATCTTTATAACCACGAGTTCAATATCGAAGTGTCGAACTCATCAGCTCGCGATTACGTCGATCACACCTGACCTTCAAATCAGCTTGACCTGTCCACTTTTCTCGGAAATTCGTCAAAACTGGCAGCCCGCAGGGACTGGTTCGGCGATTGGGACGCGCCACACGGACCCGCCCGCCACATCCCGTCGAAACCCTCATCTCTGGTCTTGTGGTCGCCCAACTGGAAGACCGAATCATTAACGTTGAGTGCGATCAGTGGCGACATCGAAGACAACCTATCCGAGTGGTCGAGCAGTCTGGCTAAAAGTGGCAGCGAACGGTTGTTTGTACTTCCGCCGACCACCAAGGACTTGCTACATCGGCCGCAGCTTGCGGATTTGGAAGAGGGTAAGTATTTTATATTTTTTAAAATTTTTAATCTTTTTTTAATTCTTGAATTTGCAATTTATTGGTGATATAAGTAGTTTCATAAAGAAATATATCAAATATTTATTTATTTTCAAGAATTCACTCGTACAGTCATAATATAACATAAAATCAATATAATATAAAATATTAACCATTTTAAACGGCGTGCCTCATTGGCTCAGGGGCAGAGCGTCTGTCTAGTAAACAGAAGGTCGCTGGTTCGATTCCAGCATGAGGCATTTCGTTTTATGGCCTTTTAAAAATTTTATCTTTTAATAAAAAGAATAATGTAAATTATATTTTGATTTCAGAATCTCCTTTTAATTTTAAATTATCTGTTATTTTTCAGAAACCCAATCAACATCTTCAATATCTCGTCACCCTTCAGACCCTCTCCCAGATTCGCCTTACTCTGTTGTCAAAAAGCTCAACAAACAACTAGCACAACCAGGACAACCACGACCGTCAGCAGCCAAGTCAACAGTGTCTCAAGTAACTAGAACGACTTTAGAGCCAATTGTGGAATCCAGAGGAACTCCAGATTCCGTATCAGTCTCTGAAGCTACTCAACAGACTACAATAATCGAAAACCATCCAAGTTTGCTAGGGACAGTTCAAGCAACTCTAGCTGACAAAGTTATCAAGAACAAGTTTGAGGAAAACCTGAACAAGTGTCTGGAACAAAGTCTGAAGAAGAGTGCCAGCTCCTCCACATTAGCTAGCTACAAACGAGAGCAGAATAAAAGTGCAAAAGAGTCTGTCAAAGCCAATTCTGCATCTCCACAGCTCGTGAAGCGAGAGTTTGCAGTGCCAGAAGAGAATACGTCAGAAGAGGATTCTCCAAAGAGAGCCAAGAAGGACCTGAAACGTCGGAACTCATTGGTCAAACAGCTGAGCAAGATGTTGCAAAAGATTCTGCCACAACGACACAAGAATGAAGACTTGACGTTGATGGATGAGAAGAGGATCAAGCATCAGCTGAAGACGAATTCCTTGCCGGCTACACCGTTGAGTCATCGGAAGCCACCGAAGAAGGCAGATATGAATGGAAGTGTTAAAATCAAAAACGGTATGTATTGGTACTATTATATTGCTTTTAAAGTTTTGAAACATTTGATTTTGGGCATTCAGAGATTGCTGTTGGAGAATTTTTTCAATTTTTTGTTTTTTTTGCTTTTTGTGCCACTTTGCAACTCATCAGCTTTTTCCGGAATTTGAGGATTTATAACAAAGCCTCATTGTCATTATTTTGGGCGTTTATTTAGCCGCAGGCGAAAGGCATTTAATCTTCTTGCGATTGCTGATAAATGGAGCTTTTGGCTCTTTTTCATGGGATTTTAAAAGACAAAAGATCAGTGTAAAGTTAAGACATTCAAATGAAACGTCACTCATTAATCCGACGTGACATGACGCATAAATCGCTGAAACTTGTTCTTAAACCTTGATTTATATTAATTGGGACGTACGGTTTGAAGTGGCAGGCTTGGACAGATTTACTGCTTTAATTTACATATTTACTATGCAAAGTTAAAATTTTATAAAAAGTTGATTTCGAGGACTTGTTATAGTTATCGGCTGAAGAAGATTGGGAAAACTTTAAAAAATTGTATTTTTCTGAATATTTCAAAAGAAGTCTTTAGTTTGATAGACTTTGATTATAAGATAAATGATGATACGAAAGAGATAAGGTCATTTCAGATCGAGATATAAATAAATTTAAAAAACAATTAATTCGGATGGCTGTTGCAGCAGTTTTTTAAGCATACTTTCATTCATTACAATTAGGCTTCTTAGAACCAATTTTAAAAAATGATATAGATATACGCAAGAAGTAACTATGTAACAATAGTGAATAAAACTAACATTTTCAATTCTCTTAATTTGCGAAATTCCCAAAAAGAAGTTGCCCCATGCTGGAATCGAACCAGCGACCTTCTGTTTACGAGACAGACGCTCTGCCACTAAGCCAATGAGGCGCGCTCCAGGGCGCCTTGAGAAATCCCTTTAGGGGATTGAAAGCGGCTGATTAGCAGTTGACACTGTTTGTTTACCGGCTGTCTTTTCGCGTTTTGTAAACGCTGTAATTATGGGAGAAGCTTGTTTACAGATTATGTATCATTAAGATTGTCATGACGATAAAACAGCTGGTACAATGTTATTTTTAATGTCTTATGGATGGGTTAAGTTGACCAAGGTGTAAGCTAGAATATTGAATTTTTAAAAAAGTTTAGAGTTTTTTGAAAAAGTTTCAGTTTTTAATAATTTTTAAAATCAAGGTTTGTTAACTTGTGGCATGAAAAGTTACAAAAAGTTGTAAAAACCCGACTCCTCACCCAATTATATGTGTTATCCATTATCTTTTGCTCTCGCCCTTCTACCTTTCTCTACCTGCCCTCGGGCACTGTTCGGGCAACAATTGGCCCTTCGCGTCTGATCTCGACCTAATTGCGTTTTAAAACAGCTCGGCGTGTCCACAAAAAGGTCGGCCAGGGGCGGCCAAGAGTGATTTTGATTCGAAAATTGTGCCACAAAGCGTTGTAGTGTTCTTTTTGGCCGGAGGGCTCAAAACATTCTTGTCATTTCGAGGGGCCGACTGATTCATAAGTTTTTGTGTTTGACATTCCGTTTTGGCAGTGATCAGGGCGGAAGAGGCAACGACATTTCGACGACCTGCTATTGTTATTGGCACCATATAACTTTTATGGTATTTTAACGACATTTGCGACATTTTCAACTATTTTTTGGTTTAAATTTTTTTATTTTTGACTATATTATTACGATAAAACTGCGAACTTTAGCATCTACCTTATTATAAATTTTTATGAAGCTACAGTTTGATCGACCATTCTAAAGTTCTACCCAATTAACCGCGATAACGACTTTCTAACGATTTTGACAACTTTTAAACTTTCGTTATTTGATCCTGTGGACATTTGGCCAGGAAACCGCATGACTTTTTGATTTGCAATTCATTTTGGCTTGGTCAGTATTAAATTCAACACCTTCATTTTATTGCTGATATTAGAGTACTTTACTGTCTATAAAGTACTTTATTGATAACATTAGAGTACTTTGCTGAACTTATAGTACTTTTATTCTGCTGCTGATATCTAAATCTCTACATTATTTTAACACTTTCATTACTATTAGGAATTGAATCAAGAAGCCTAAAGATAACTTAGGATCATGCCGATCCTAAAATGGAAGCCAAAGATCCAGTTTGGAATCAGAAGGATTGATTCCATGTCTAACAAGTCCAACTCTCAACCAACTTCAACTCTACCACCCCTTAAGTCTCTACCTGACCCTCCAAATGACCCACTAACTGCTCCAAGTACCATCAATGGAGTCAACCGCAGTAAGCCTTCAGTAAACACTAACTACTTGAGTAACCGTGATCATTCACCTACACCTTATTTAGATCAGAATATTAACGTACCTCACAATCATAACCATAATGTTAATAATGGTGGACAAAATGGCAATCATAACTTGAACCTTAATGTTAATCATAATGTAAATGGTACTCGCAGTAACTACAGTGATAGAAACAACTATGGAGGTAACTACAATGACATGAAGGGAAGTTACAGTGACTCTAAAGGTAGCTACAGTGGCAGTGATTACCAAACGCCAGTTTCAATCTTACACAAAGACTCAGATTACGGTAGTCATTACTTGCAGATCGACCGGCTTTTAAACAACCGTAGTAAAAGCCCTCGAAATGTGAGGTTTGAAGATGGTAAGTATACTGTATTATAGTTTGGTACAAAGTTTTTTGTGAATTAGTCATATGAGCGTTTTAAATCTTGTCAGTATTGCTATCTATCGTAACATTGGTTATAATGTTATAACGTATAGTAACACGTATTATATCAGAAATGCATAATAGCCACGAACATAACAAGCCGTCGTTATTAGTCAGTTTGTGGCTGTAAAAGTTGTAAAACTTTATTATATCTTTATGTGTCTTTCCATGGCATTTGTTCATGATTGATTGGGACTAGCGGTCAGTGCGATCTCTATTTCTCATCTTGTTATGTGTCATGGCTCTGCTCTGTATTATCGACCAGTATTTGAACTACGATTGCGGTAGTAGTCATACTGCAAAGTTTCCTGTAGTATACGAGGATTATTGTGAGTGGTACTGGTTGTTGTTAAAATGGTCCAGTTATTATAACATAAACATATATTATGTCTTTAAAAACGGGAAAAAAGTCTAAAATTAACAAAAAAAACTAATTTTGATAGAGTTATATAATAGTATCCATACTAGTAAAGCTCTATTTGCAAATTTTAAAAGCCCATCGGACCTCTTTAAAGTTAGATTTCAAATAAAACTCACACTGTTAGTTGAAAAACAACCCTCCATGCTAATTAATTACTAGAGGTTTAACGTTTTTTCTGTTTGCTCAAATATCAACCGAACTCTTCTCTGACCGGTACAAAACGATTGAGGCTGAAAGGCTCTTAACAAAGCTTTTAGCTGTTTTTTATCATCCTCAGCTTCCGTTTTTTATCATTTTTCTCTAATGATCAGTGGAAAGTAAGGAACGGTCATTATTCATTGGAAAGTTTGAGTTTATGGAAGTCTTGTTGCTGGCATTTAAAATTAGTTATAGGTTTTTTGCAAAGTTGCCATAGAAAATGAAAATATTGCAATATCTTTTGTTTTATCAGAAAATCAAAATTAAAGACAGGAATAATGTTAAAAAGTTCGATCTTATAATTAAAATGATACTTCTGTATAAGCGTCTATCTTTCTAATCAGTATTAGTTCATGAATTTGTTTGTTATTGTCATAGTTATTTACCACCTGAATGGGTCTTTTGAACAAGATTCATATGATGTATGGATTTCAGTGTCATTATTTTTGTTTTTTATAAATCTTTTGCTTCAAAAGCTTTAATTTTAGGTTAGCATTCATTTTTTAGTACAGTGTAAACTCTTTATAGCGAACCGCTAGGGATTAAAAATTTGTTCGTATACAGTATTTTCTCATACATAGGTTCTACTGTATATAGTATTATAACAAAACTATCAAATGTAACAGCAAAAAAGTTTTGTCTTTAATTTGTATTCATTTCCACGGTCAAACACGACAAGACTTTCTAAAACATCTTAATACTCCTAGGAGGAGCTCCTCCTTTCGAGAGCTCTTATAACTTACATAGTAGCTTTGTATGCCCAGTTAGGCCCAATTTTAATAATTTCAAAATTCCAAATAAAAAAGCCAAGATTTGTTACAACAAAACAAGATCAGTATTAATTCAGCGTTTTCCCGTGATTTTGATCTTGAGTCTTTTTAAATTGCGGCTCTGTGATCAAACTGCGTTCTTTTTGTTTCTGCAAATATCAGTGAGAACAGGGCAGCTTTTGTACTCGATTAATTCTCAGTTAATTAAGCGGTTTGTTTTGCTTTTTTTAAAGATATTGTTCTTGGGTTTAAAAAACTTGTCGTTGAAGTAATATTTGTTTAATAAGTTGAAGGGCTTGACACTTTAGATACATTATAGATGCTATCATGGACATTTTTTCATAGTTTACATTTTTTTGCATTAAAAATTTTTAATTTTGTAATCTGACAAGGGAGGTAACTTAAATCGCCCCTCGACTTTGGGACGAAACCTATATATTCAGAAAGCCCTGTAATCACTGATTATGGATCTGAAAACCGTTTTTCTGTGTGGAGCTTAGTTTTCGAGAAAATCGACTTTAAATTTTCATTGAATCCCCAAAAACTAAGCTCCATACGGAAAAACGGTTTTCAGATCCATACTCAGTGATTACAGGGCTTTCAAAATATATAGGTTTCGTCCCAAAGTCGAGGGGCGATTTAAGTTACCTCCCTTGTGAGCAAAATTAAGCCCTAAACCTAGTTTAACTTTACTTTCCGTCGCTTGTGGACTAGTTTTATGCGAATTTAACTGACATGGAAAAACATGTGTCATCGTTTGGAATAAATTGGAAGTCCTACAGATAAATGGACTTTTTTCAAAAAAACATTGGCCTTATGCTGGCCAAATCACATGTTTGAAAGCAGCCAAAAGTGAAAGAAAGGGTTATTAGGTCAAGACCGATGATATTTCGGGTCTAAAGGTTGATAAACGGCTCTATATCTTTTTGAAAGTTATATAAACATATATATTTCTTTAGTTTTTAAAAATTTTTAGCTGATTGTAAAGTAAGAACTTCAAAAATATTTTTTTGACATGAAAAGAGAAGTCTATATTTAATCAAAAAGTCTATAAATTATTAAAAATTAGGTATTTAAGCTTATTTTTCACTAATTAGTGCTCTTTTAGGCGTAGGCTCAAACTCTGTCCCAGCTACACCAAACTCTCAACGTCGTCAACCTCAATCTCAAAACCTACCACACTCTAGTGTGAATCGACCTCTAACATCGTCAGTAAACTTTACTCCGCCTCATGCTCTACCTCCAACTTATAACCCTGCCCGTTCCACGCCCCAACCAATTCCGATGAATGTTGTTGGCGCGGAGACTTTGTCTGGTCATATCTCGGATTCTGGCATCTCTAGACAGTCGGACTATGGCTACAGACAGCCATCACCATTGACTGTGAATGGCAGATCAAATGGTTATCACAGTGATTACGGAGCTTTGCCACAGAAGAGGATGAACAGAGACAATGGACATATCAGTGATGACATGAGTAAGTTGGACGGGTAATACTAAGCTAACCAATCTTTATTTTTAAGTAAAATCGCCGAGTCTTACTTAAAGTCCTTGAGGTTTTATAGCAATATTTTGCCTAAACTAACATTTTATGACATTATTTTAACTAATCTTAAGCTTATCAGCCTTAACACTTGCTTTTTAGTACCGAAAGAGTACGCGCCTCCTCGTCCGCCTCGTCAACAGTACGGTTTTAATCATAATACAGCTTCAGAACGGGCTCAACAAATCATCAATACCGTGAACGCCAACTCCAAAAACCGTGCCAATGCCATTCTACAACAACTACGGTCCGACGATGGAGCTCTTTCTGAATCCGACATGTCTACGAATGAATTCCCTTACCAACGACTGCCAATACCACCACAACGGAACAGCAGCAGTAGCGTGCTTAATGCCAAAGGTATGTTAGGTTTATGGCTTGTCCATTTCTGAGCGGACATTATAAATAGGTAATATTTGGAACAGTAAAAAATATATTTTGAAAAATTATTTGAAATGATTTCAGGCACAGTGTACCTTGAGTTCAACAAAGAAGTAAAACGATCAGCTTTACCGATGAAGATCTACAGCCTCGAGCAAATCAAGAGTTTATTCTTGAGGTCGTTCCCGGCCCTGAATCTTCAATTTCTGAACCAAGAACACGTCAAGATCTACATTTCCGACAGAAATTCTACTGGAGATAACGTATTGTTCTATGAGCTGGAAGACATCAGGTAAGATAACCTGGCTTACCTTATTCTTAATATTTTTAATCTTGCTTTTGTAGTTTCCTTTGCTAATATTATCAATTGATATTGTTAACTTTACTACAAAAACTATTTTCAGTGACATTCGAGACCACTGTGTCCTCAAAATCCACCAAAACCAAGCGATTCGTGGTCCAGCTCCGGTCAGATTTACCGATTCCCTGCCAACCGACTACATCAGTGAGCCTGAAATGATGGATGACAGAAACACCCGTTATGGCACTTATCGTGGTCCCAATCGACCATCAAGTGTGGTACCAACTGAACAAGCTCGGTATCCCGTATATGGGTCAGTTCAGAACAATGGCCGAAAGAGTTCGAATATGTTGTCATCTAGTCATTACGAACCTTACTATGATCCTTACTATAGTGACAGTAGTCAGGGGCCGAGAAGTGGCAGTGCTACGCCTGTCATTGATAAGGAAACCCGATTCAGGGTGGAGAACATGGAGAAACAATTAAGCGATCTCTCTCATATGGTCAGACAAGCCTTGCATAAGGATCAGTCGGAAGTAAGTTTTAACTTTAAAAAATTTTAATTGGAATTTTTCTAAGTATTATCTAAAATTTCTAAGTATTATCTAAAATTTGCGTTTTTTATTGGGAAGACAAAAGCAATCGTTTTATCACAAAAGGTTTTTGTTGCCTAAAATTAGATTTCAAAGCTAAAACTTTCTTTAGGACATGCTGGACATTGGTCGTCGTTTAATGGAGATGCGTTCTGATGCCACAAGATTAACGAAACCTAACAAATCGACCGAGAATGGCAATTCGATCAACCACAATAATCTAAAACTGGTCCAACGAAGTGCTCTACATCTGAAAGCAGGTCTGAATGAGTTGAAAGACAGCTTGAGAATGGATGCTCAAGCTCGTGGTGACATCTTGAGAGACACATTTTCAAGATTAAACCACCGGTTACTATTGTATACATCACAGAAAGAGAAAGAGCTACTAGATGTTAAGGATAGGGCAAGTACGAGTAAAGAAGATACGGTGCTTGATGGGCAGAAGGATGAACATTTGAGAAGTGTGGCACAGTTGGAGAACACTATTCAGTAAGTTTTTGCATGTTATCGTAATAGAAGAGTATATGAATCAAACTCTAATGTTATTTTAAGCTTTGATCACACAATTTACTTATTATGATGTTTTAGACAACTAGAAGACCGAATTGAAGAACGTCGTGTCAGTGTTCTGAACAAGAACCAGAAACTTCGAATGAATGAAGTGGAAGAACTGGCAGCTCAAGTCAACGGCCTAGACCAACAAACCGACAGTTTGAAGGCAGAGTTCCAGAATCTGGAGGAAGGTGTGAATCGGCATCTGAACAAGTATCGAGATGAAATCGCCAAAGATATGGAGTTTTTGCGAAGGGAGCCCCTCAATCTGGAGAGCTTCCAACGAAGATGTGCTGCGCTTCAGAATATGCTACAGACAATGAGGAAGTTGGCACTGGTACAGGATCCAGCAATGTACACAAAAGGCCAAAATGGCACAAATAAAATGACAGTTTCTAATGGGAATGGTGTTAATGGACATTGTAAATCATTTTTTGAGGCAAAAGTTATAGCAAGGTTTCAAAAATGATTTTTTTAATATTGTTATTTATGAAAAAAAATTGGATCTCTGGCGGCAAGCTAACAAAAAGAAATCCAAATTTAAATTTAAAAAATTTCACTAACTAATATTACAGCTCGACAAGACCTCCCACCCCTCCCCAACTCCAACCGAATACCCAGTCCTAACCCTGGCCGTCTCCTAAACGGCTCAGCGGCCCAACCGACCTCACAACCAACTCGACCACCATCCCAACTGCCAAAACCTACTCCACCCTCAATCACCGCTCAGAATAACAGTGCCAATGTGTTGGATTCAATCCTGGACGAACTTAATCACACAGCAAACTCATTGCCAACTCTGGATCAACCAAATGGTGTGAATGGGTATGAAGGCAGTCCACCCAAAAGTCCCCCAAAGTCACCTTCCAAGTTGAAACAGTTTCGGATAAACGAAAATAATGGCACAACTAGGCCTAATGGGACCCCGGAAAAGTAAGAGAATCAACCTTTTTTCGCATAAAATTATTATTATTACATTTTGACTAGAATAAAATTCAAATTAAAATTCAATGGGTTTTAATAATTTTTTAAACCTTAATTTTCAAAAATAAATTTAAAAATTTTAGAGCGAACTCGGTAGATCAACGTAGACGTGTTGAAAACGTGGGAAACCGAATCCAAGCCCGACCAATAATACCCACTTCAGTACAGCGTACGATAATCATACCAAAAAGCTCGTGAAACTGCTCAATCAACATTGAAACATCACAAATGTACCTACACATACTTTATGCTAACTTAGTCACATTTATATCAAGTCACAATATCGTTAGAATAAATTAACAATTTTTAAATTTGAAAACTTTTTTAAACTTCTGAGAGTAAAAGCTATGTATATTTTTTAGAAATGAGTAAGAGATCAGCAACTCTGAAACATTACAACCTCTCATTACTAACAACAATATCAGTTTATCATTATTTCAAAAAATTTCTTCGTAGTAACACTGTTGAAGTAAGGTTCCATAAAATTACAATATCTATCATTGCGTCTGGACCTAACCAGTTGACGTACTCAAGGTCCTATAATATGAACACTAATTCTGAAGTGGCAGTGTGCTCACCAAAATAGCTAGGTAGAGGTCTTTTCACATCGTGAAGCACTTGAAGCTCGATGACCAAGCAGAAACGAGCGGTCTTTGATGATAATATACTCAAGGTAGATGCGAATTGATATTGTTACAGTAAGCGAAAAAATAATAAAAATTGCCATCATAGTTCTCCGAATACGATCTTCCTCTTTGTGTTTGTCTACTACCATATCCATGATGTATTCCACAACTAATAAGAGCCAGAATAACATAAATATAATAATGGTGATTACCTAAAAGTAGATTATAAAAAACTACTGCAACGTTAATTCTAAAAGGTATTTAAAACAAAAATACGCTTCAAAAACAGAAAAATGTAGCTCAAAAACTAATCGATAATATGTCATCAAAAGACTTACATTTAAAACCAAAAAAGGGCAGTACAACACCACACGCTTCAGCCGGTTTCCAATTAACAATAACAACGTAATTAGCATATCGAAAGCATAAGCAATTATATAAATCCAGCTGAAGTCTTCGCCGGTAACCTCTATGACAATTAACACCGCCGTTAATAATAGTAAAGGAAACGTCATAATAAACACGGCTGTCTAAAAATAAATTGATAGGAGAACAAAGTAAAATATAGTGGCACATCTTAAAGTAGAGATAGCCAAAACTAATATTAACGATGAAAAATTGCAAAAAAAAGAAAGGTAAGAACATAAAGTATAATAAAAAATAATAGAATACGATAAAAAATAGTACTTACATGAACATTAACTGTTTGCCAACATATCCGATCGTTTTTCATAATATGCCTTTTATAGCAACAAATTAATAACAATATCAAGTCAATTTATAAAAAATTTGAGAAAATTTAATCCACCAATTTACAAAATTTTATTTTTTTTAAATAAACAATTCTCATTCCTTTTTTAAATTTTTCCAATCAAATTTTAAAATATTGATATTCAAAATGCCAAAAATGAAAAATACATAAACCTACTAGCTTAATGTCAAGGTCGTAAATCAGATTCAAACCTAGCCAGTAGTACCTACAGTACAACAAACAATAACAAAAAGTTCAAACTGCTCCATCGCCAATAGTGACAGAAAAATACACACAGCTTTCTACCAACATTTTTAAAGCAATGTTAAAACAATAAGAATTTCAAAAGAAGACAACTCTATTAATAATCACTAACAATATCAACTTATATATTTACAATAACAACAATTCAAAGACTGAATTTATTCAAGATGACACAGTAAACACAGTATTCGCTGTAACATCGGTACTTTCCTATAAATGACAAAATACGGTACCATGTGCTTTTCTGCCATTCTTTCGCTGGCTGGTTCAGCAAAAAGTTGCGATCTCTGGTCACAAGTGAATGAAGGTAAAGTTGAATTGCCACTATCAAGAGAGTCTCAAGAATGATGACACTAAGCAAAAAGATTTGTACTCCGTGTTCCTCCTCTTGTAAGTCGTCCCAATTCAAAATAAACACAACAATCATTAGGACAACCATGGCCAACGCTAAAATGATGCGTATGATCTGAAATACGTAAGTCATACTCAAGTTACCTTCTCAGTTGATAAGAAAGATAAAAGATACTTACATTGAAAATCAAAAAAGGACAGTAGAGGCACACTTTGTTCATCCTATTCCCAACCAACAACATCACGACGATCAACATGAGAATGGCCGTGGGACCTACTGACCACCAATTTATCTTTGGTGCGAGGAATTTGTAGACAATATCCGCGACTGCGCATACCAGCAAAATTATTGAGACAACAAACACTGCTGTCTGAAGGTAGAACTATATTACAAGAGCAATACATGAGGCAGACGGACAACATATAGCACAACTGACAAAATAACTAGTACAAGATACAGTATGTTTCTTGAAATAGAGTACTCACATGAACATGCATGGTTTCGCAACAAGTCCGGTCTCTTCCCATGATGAATTAACTATAATAACAACTAAATAATATGTTTTACATGGTTACTGTCAACGGTCTTCTGTGACGTATCAAAAGAAAACAAGGGTCTAGTAACCGTAACGATAAAACTAACAAAAACTGCCATTTCAAATTAACAAGACACTTCAATTGTAAAACTATATAACAGCCACAATTACTAAAACACTTACAAACTGCCCGATTTACCAATCGTACCAATTGTACCAAATTGAGGTTGTGAAAGCGATCGAGAAAACGACCGACCGAACTGATAAGAAATACCCACTTCGAAGTAAATCCAGACTTAAGGTGTTGGCCAAAACACTAATTTGAATAGACTCGAGATTCTGTGGGGTAACCTCCTGTGAGACCTCATGAGGTCCTATTGCACGTCGAGCCAGAATATAGGGAATAATTTCGTTGCATTTGTGGCGATCCGAATTCGTAGAACACACCAACTATTTTGCTTATTCTTGTGCTACGCATATGTAGTGCCTTCATTCAACCAATTCTTCAAATATATCAAAAAATATTACCTATCACAAGATAAAGGATAGCAGTTCAGAAAAATCTAGAAATTTGGTGGAAATGCTTTTGAAATTTGAACAATAAGTAAACCATACAAAATAAGATCGAATTTGGAGAAAATCAGGCATGATTAGACCTTCTACAAACGCAAAATTTCAAAAAAATTCTCGAAAAATTATATTTTAACAAATCTCAACAAACGATTCTCAACTATCGATCGATGCACTTCCTTGACGCGTCAGAAGTCAATTGACGGACGTTACGTTGCTTTCCTTGCTGTTTATCTTTGCACACTGTATGAGGTTGTAAAACGGCTTTTACTTTAAAATAATATAAATCAATCCTTAAAATGTACAGAGTAAACACAACACTACATATAAAGTTTGGGTAACAATATCGATAGTTAGTTGCTTGAAAACTAATATAAATCTATTGCAATCAGCATTATGATACCATAAAATTATATATTTACAAAAAACCAAATCACAATAACAAATGCATATGACACGGTTTAGACGATGTTTCAAGAAGAACACACAAATCCATTCTAAGGACCGTTATTCAAAGCATTCAGATGGTTGCGGTCTCTCATCACAAGCAAAGTAATGTACAATTGTAGTCCCAGTAACGCAAATTGAATTCCAAAAAAGACTGCAACTGAAATCATCATTTTTTGATCCTCGGCTATTTTTGAGATTCCAAAAAAAACGTCAACGCCGAATTTGACACAGAGCAGAACCATGACGATGATGCATAAAATCTGAAATAAACTATTTTTGAAAAGTTTTTAGAGCGATTATATATTAGGGTGTTCACATAATTCTGTGCTTTCTAACACCACAAATTTGTTTTGAAAGAAAACCCCTAATAATTTTTACAACCTAGTAGAAATAACCATCAACAACAATATTAACTTTAGTATAATGGTGTCCGTGGATCCCACTACGAAAACGCTATATCCGTGAACGAACAAATCGAAATACTTACGTTTAAAAACAAAAAAGGACAGTAGAATCCGACACTGTTCGTTCTATTTCCAATCATCAACATCAAGAAAATCAGCATGGCAAAAATTGATCCTCCTATGGTGTACCAGTCTAAAGTCTCTGCAAGGAAGCACTGAACACAGGAAACCGTGGATAATGCTAGTAAGAGGAGTGCGATAATAAACACTGCAGTCTAAAAGTATAACTAAACATAAGGATGTGTTAAAGCTTATCAATGATTACCCTGCAGATGTAAAAATACATTTAAATCTGGGGTCACCCTGATTAAAAGGTATTTTTTCATGTTTTTTTACTGTAGAAAACTGTAAAAACGTTAAAAAAGACAGAAAAATCTCACAATCAGTAATAGAGTAATAAAAAGCTAGTCTATTAAAAAAAGCCTTACGTGAACATGAACGGTATTGCAACAAGTACGGTCGCTTGCCATGGTGAATAATCTACAATAAAAACTCATAATTTTAGAAGATTAAAATAATTTCTTACATGGTTACTGTATACGTTTCTTGTACATACCGTATACGATAAAACTAACAGAAGGTACTACTTCAAAAATAGATCTATTCGAAAGATATACAACATGTAAAGTGTAAATCAAACAAACTACTATATCTAGAAAACCTGACCAGCAAAAACTTAAGAAACACTTACCAAATTACCAATTGCTTCAAGCTAAAATGATGTTCTGATAGTGATCAAGAAGACGACCAAGAAAGCGACTGATCAAAGAGAAGAAATGACAGATTTGATATGAATCCAACCTAATATAGTAAAGGAAAATAATTTGAATAGATCTTGGATTGATTCGTGCGAAATTTTGAAAACTTCATTTCAAAATATTTAAATTTTTGCCAATTTTAAAAAAATGATTACTTTTTCGAAAATCTGTCACTTTTCTTTTTTTAAAATTTGTAAAGTTAGTTTAAGTAAATAAAAAATACTATTATAAATAATCAACTATTAAATACTAATGATCACAAAAAACAACAAAAAATACAATTTTATCATTTACATTACTTTAAAGTCACTTTTTGGAAGCATGGCTTGACATTTTTGAGCCTTAAGGCTAAGAAATACTTTTAAAATTAAGTAAAATGAATATAAGTTAAATAGTATTAAAAACAAGAAGTAGCTAAAGTAGAAAAGTAAGATGAAAGAAGCTACAGCATTCAGAATATCAACCAATAACGATAGTCGTTTATCTATACCATCAAACCGAATCTCCATGTTTCTGTTTTCAAATACACCGTATTCAATGAAAACATATGATATTGTTTGAAGTACCTGAAAAGTAGAATCACACTTGTGAATTTAACTCAAAAATAAAAAAAAGTAGAAATTTAGAACAATGTTTATATAAGACAGTTTAAAAAATCAATGATTAAATAAAATAAAAATAGCTATCAATACTTACGTTAAAGAGTATGTATGGTAAGTGTAACATAAGGTGAGGTTTATGCGCCGAGTATAATAACAAACCGGTAGCAATAATACTCAATCCACCACAAAACAGAGAAAACGTACTGTAAGGCAGCCAAAAAGCAATCAAGCTAGTCGATGATAACATGGTCGATATTATACTTACTCTAGTAACTATTTTCTAAAAATTTCAAAGGTTTTATCAAGTTTTGTAATTTTTTCTTCGAAAAGTGAAAAGCTAAGGTATAAAATGAAAAAGAAGGAAATGAACTGTTTTTCAAAGTAGTTTACTTTATTCTATTTAAAAATGTCATAAAACACAAAGCTCACTTTGACTTTAGTGCTTATGCAACAACAAGATACTTGTTTACTTGTCATTGTAAATAAGCCAATATAAAAGATGAAAGAATTAAAATAAAACAAGTTTATTCAGTTATAGTTATAAAATATTAAAAATTCTAACTTTTTCAGGAAAAAGTAAACAATATTTGATTAAAAGAAAGCATAAAAGACTGATAAGAGTAAATGTAAGCTTATTTAATAAAATGACTAATAAAAGTAAATAAAACAAAATAAATTTTTAAATGTACAGTAATATATACAGTAAAAATATATTTGTAAAAAGTTTAAATAAAAGACTTACAAACCTTTTAAATAACAATACCCTTTGATGGCAACATACTCAAAAAAAATTAAAAACAAAAGTCGAAGTGAAAAACAAACAATACATATAATCAATGTTGGTTTTATGAGTTCTTCTTCTTTTGCCACTTTTTCATCATTTAGCTCTGTTTTGTAGTTACTGTGAGCTTGACCCAGCAGTACAGACAAGTAGGTTATGATTCCTACTTCAACAATCACGTGGAATACCTAAACTGTCTCTTACTACACTCAATTTTAAAAAATTACAAAATTTTAAATTTTTTAAAAAATTTTTTAAAACAGTTTTAGAATTGGCCAATGTCTAGTCCTCTAGATGGTGGCGCTTAAACTTAGTATATAAAACCTTACATTGATAACCATAAATGGCCAATAGTAGACAGGTTGAGAGTGTAGATTGCCGTATGCCAAACAGACGGCACATATTATAGAAATAACAGAACATATGATACTGACAATGTCAACACTCAAACTCCAAAATTTAATGCCAAAAATAGCAAAACATGATACGACAATAGACACAAACGCCAAATATAGTACTGCTTTCTAAAATTTAATATCATCATTTTGATTATAAAATACTATGTTTTGATTGTAATAACATAATATCAACATTAGTTGTCTTAAAGTAAGTTAAAATTACAAAGTAATTCTTAAGCTAATGCTTTATAAAAAAATAAAAATAGTGTTTATCTTACATGAATGTGACATAATCTAAAGCACGTTGTGTTGCTAGACATAATTGAAGCTAACTGAAGTCGTGTGTTTGAAACTTTTAATCAACAGAACATGTAGCTAGTCACTTAACTTATGATTCAAACAACATTCAAAAAACATGAATTTATCATCATTTCGTGTTAACAGAGATTACGAATTTAATATTGTAAGTTTATTGTTTATTTTTATATTTTTGGTTAATGCATTTGAAGTTTCAGTTATTGAACATTTTTTTAATAAACCGTTTATAGTAAACAAAAATTATGTTTAGAAATGTTTATGTTTTTTCAATTTTAGTATCATTTTTTAAAATTTATTGATTCAAAAATTAAGTTTTATCGTCTTTCGCGTAGCAAGTACAACTTATCTTTGTTCACAAGAAACTGGATATAACATTGTAGCAAAACAATCGAACCTCCAATAACACCGACACTAATCATGGCTGCAATTACTGAATTTGTATTGTAATCATCCTCTGTAGTTAATACATTGGCATTGACAGGATCTTTGTCAATAGTAAGTACCGAAATCAAGATGATTTCCATTATAATTATAAAAAACACCGTACAAATGATACCAAATAGCTGAAAAGCACTATTTTTGAAAAGATAAGGTACATATTTAATAAATTAAAGACCATAACAAAATGCATTGTAAAAGATAAATTGCCTAAAAATTAAATCAAAAATAAAAACTTACATTAACAATCAAAAAAGGACAATAAAAAGCCTTATTTCTAATTCTATTTCCAATCAAAAGTCCCAGATAAAGCAAAAAAAGAAAACCAGCTTGAACTAGTCCAGGCCACTTTACATCTTGACTAAGAGCCGCTGGTACTAGAAGGATGACTGATAGTACAAGCATAAAAATTGAAAAAATAAACACTGCCGTCTGAAAGTAGCATTTTGAAAACAATATATAAGCTTGTTCAAATAATTCTGTGCTCTTTCTCAAAGAAAATGTTTGAGGTTAGAAGAGACAAAGTTATTTTGACAAGTTAATAGTATATGAGACACTTTTCTTAAAAAATCGTTAAAAATTAAAATTTTCAAAAAAAATAAAATACATATTGTAGTACAATCAACAAAAATTTTTTATATTGAAATGGTCTGTATACTCAAAGTTTAAAATACTTACATGAACGTGAAAGGTTGCACAACATGTTCGATCGCTTGACATGCTGAAACTTCCTATAAGAAAAAAAACTTTTTAAGTAAAAATAAACACGGCTAAATAAAAGGATTCAACAATAAAAGTAAAAAAAGTAATACATTTTTTTAAAACTTTTCTTTGTTTTTTAAATTTTCATTAATATTTGATATTCAACAAATTGTAATTTAACACCAGTTTTGTGTTAAACTAAAAAATTTAAAATCTTATTTTAAAAAAAAACAGTTCAGACGTACTACTAGAACTAAAAATTGATTCATATGTCAAAATTTTCTTATTACGTTAGTTTAAAACGATTTACAAATGTCATTATACAATTCGAAAAAGTATAACAAAACATTTGAAAAATGACTCACAATTGAAACCAAAAAAAAACTAAAATAATTTCTAGCAATTTGTGCGTAGGCTAGTAAAAAATTACTTTTAAGTTAAAAAACGTCATGCCAAAGAACATATTGAGTTACAGTAAAATACAAGACCAAAGTTTATTTATTCTAAATAAACATCTTCGCAAATAGCATTCATTGATTCACAACAACTATATGTAATAGCTGAACAAAAAACTAGTACAACACACAAAACGATAATATACTTCAAAATTAACATTACTACAAGCTTCAACTTTATTCTATAAAAACTATTTACATGACATCAGACACATTTAATAAAATGACAGTTCACATCAAACATGAACGTAGTAAAACAAAACATCACACGATCTAAATGTAATTTCGGTCCTTCATGACAATCACCTCAAGGTAGATCAAGAAGAACGCAAACATGGTAAAACCAACCATATTAAGAGATAACATAAACAAAGTATAGGTATTAGATTCATCTGAAGCTTTGTACTCGTCAGTTTGCATATAAGCAACCTCTTTGATCATATCCATCACAAACACGATCACTATTGCGATGAGAAAAAGGACGGCGCCCATCTGAAATAAAATTATCAACCAGCCTGACATCAAAAACATTATTTATGTCATCAACTTACATCAATTTTGCTATTTAAACTGTAAAACATATATTACTCACGTTGAGAATCAAAAACGAACAGTACAAACATGAAGTCTTTGTCATGTTGCTAATCAGAATCATGACAATGTTTGGTTTAACTCTTCCGTAAATGTAAAACTACAACTAAAAAACTTTATCATTTTAAGTTTTAACATAATATTTATTATCAAAATCTCTAAATAAACTTACATGAACATGACAACAACACCTTTCGTCTTCTTCTATAATAAAGTAGTTTTTAGCTAAATTATAATGGGTACTGTATTATCCGTTGTTACAGTACTCAATCTTTAAGTATGGTTAAGTTTAAGGACCCACCTTGTAGATTAAGGCCCTATACCTACAGTAACATCTCATATGATAAGCTTTTAACTTTGTATGTTGAGTCTAACACACAGAAGAGAGGGTACTGTATTACATGTTGTTACAGTACTCAATCTTTAAGTATGGTTAAGTTTAAAGACCCGCCTTGTAGATTAAGGCTTTATACCTACAGTAACATCTCATATGATAGACTTTTAACTTTGAATGTTGAGTTTAACACACAGAAGAGAGGGTACTGTATTACATGTTATTACAGTACTAAATCTTTAAGTATGGTTAAGTTTAAAGTTCCACTTTGTAGATTAAGGCCCTATACCTACAGTAACATCTCATATGATAGACTTTTACTTTGAAAGTTGAGTTAAATACTTAAAACACAGAAGAGAGGGTACTGTATTACATGTTGTTACAGTGCTCAATCTTTAAGTATGGTTAAGTTTAAGGACCCACCTTGTAGATTAAAGCTTTATACCTACAGTAACATCTCGTATGATAGACTTTTAACTTTGAATGTTGAGTTTAACACACAGAAGAGAGGGTACTGTATTACATGTTGTTACAGTACTTAATCTTTAAGTATGGTTAAGTTTAAAGACCCGCCTTGTAGATTAAAGCTTTATACCTACAGTAACATCTCATATGATAGACTTTTAACTTTGAATGTTGAGTTTAACACACAGAAGAGAGGGTACTGTATTACATGTTGTTACAGTACTTAATCTTTAAGTATGGTTAAGTTTAAAGTTTCACCTTGTAGATTAAGGCCCTATACCTACATTTTTTTTATTATAGCCTACATTTTCAGAGTAAATTACATTTAGTATGTAATTAATGTTTTGTATCTGTACGGTACCATTTCGTGTAACAATGTAATATCTCGTCGCTGATACGAGTTACTACTTATACTCTAACTACAAAACGATATCATTGACAATGTTATTTGTAATTGTTCAATTTACCATGCTTATTATTATATTAAAAGTTAGTTAAAACATGTTTATTATAACACATTAATAAACTGCAATAAACAGAAACTCAACATAGATAACAAAGTTACGGCTACGAGAGCCGGTTGTCATGTACACAAACTGGCACAGCTGGACAACGTTCTTTGAGTCCAACTTTGATGTTCTTTCCAGTTGTAAGAATTCTAGAACGGGATACAAAGCTTTACAACACAATGATACAATTCTGATGTTAGTCTCTTGCCTTTCGGTGCCATTTGCTCACATGCACGTACTGTAAAACTTCAAAATGGTTCAAAACATACAAAACTTGGAATGACATACCAAAATAAAGGTTGTTATAAGATGGAAAATGATTTGTAGCAAAAAAGTTACAAAATACAGTCAAATCTCTTTAGTATATGAAACTCAACTAAAACTTAAAAGACGATTTCTGAGACCGTGAAGCAAGGTGTGCACTAGAAATTTACCCCCTGTTTTTATTTGCTAATTTCATGAGATAGACGGTTTTAAGGTATGTGGTAAAGTGATTTCGGACAAAATGCCATTTTGGCACTTTTATGCCATTTTTTGTTAACATACTGTTAAAATATACCAAAAAATCAATAGTCCGCCAAATGTTCTGAAAATTTGTAGTAATCTGACCGGTCGATTATGAAAGTGCAATTTTCTAAAAATTTAACACGGGTGTCCTTATCCAATTTTAGCATAGTTAGAATCTACATAAAACGTAGATATTGATAGGCTATAAGCCCATCTTTAAACGGCCAATTTTGAGGATAATCGGCCGGCCGGATTACGGTAGGTTACGGTACTTTTAAAAAACGATTTTTTATTACGAAGTGGTCAAAAACATAACCATGCACAGTTTCAAAGCGTTCGATGCATTATTGGATTTTTAAAAAAAATTGTTATTTGCACGGTCTGCTACCGTAATTTTTCAGTCGACCAAAAACCCCCAAAACCCATCGGACTAGAAACGGGGGTGTAGCCTATGATAATCCAAATTTCATGGAGATTCTAAATATACAAAAATTGCCTATGAGGATCCGTATTAACTTTTTAGATATTTGCAGTTTTATAATCGACCGGTCGGATTACGGTAGGTTACGGTAACGATAGAAAAAACTTTCAATTGCAATATTGTTTGGCATGGTCAAAAACATAACTATCCACAATTTCAAAACGTTTGATGCATTATTGGATTTTTTAAAAAAATTTTATTTTCTGCACGGTCTGCTACCGTAATTTTTGAATCGACCAAAAACCCCCCAAAACCCATTGGACTAGAAACGGGTGTATAGCCTATGCTGATCCAAACTTCATGTAGATTTTAAATATGCAAAAATTGCCTGTGAAGATCCGTGTTAACTTTTTAGATATTTGCACTTTTATAATCGACCGGTCGGATTACTACAAATTTTCAGAACATTTGGCGGACTATTGATTTTTTGGTATATTTTAGCAGTATGTTAACAAAAAATGGCATAAAAGTGCCAAAATGGCATTTTGTCCGAAATCACTTTACCACATACCTTAAAACCGTCTATCTCATGGATTTAGCAAATAAAAATAGGGGGTAAATTTCTAGTGCACATGCCTGTTACAGGATGCTTCACGGTCTCAGAAAGTCTCTTTTAAATTAGATGGATGTACCAATCCAAGGGAAAATAATAGAAAGTTTGTTTAATGCTTGGTAGAAGTCATGTCATAAACATGAGTAAAATGCTCAATTTTTTTGTAACATCGCACAATAATGTACTCAAAGTAACTCTGTACGCCAATGTTAACGATAACTAAAGTGATCAAAAACGAAAACAAAATATTGTTATTTTCTTTTTGATCCGATGTCATTTCATCTGATGAGTACGCAAAGTTTCCCGTTATAACACCATCGACAAACAGGTATATTAGAAAGAGATTCAAGCCAATGAGGACGAGCTAAAACTGTTTTTAGTCTTTGATACTAGTCCTTACGTTTCCGACGATAAACGGCCAAAACAATCGTAGTTTAGTGAAGACCGTGGCTGCATAAAGCGTGATAGAAGGCATCAATGCTACCGGAAGATATATCATAGAACAACTCCTAACTGTAGTAAACTCAAACGCTAGGCCGACCATAGCCAACCCAGCAGAAGTTCCGGCTATATATCTTACCGTATGCTGAAATACATTGTATATGAGATATTTGTTTTGCGAGCAAATGTACATATCTTACTATTTACTTTTTTTCTTAAAAATTCTAAAATTCTTAAATTGACATCATGACAATAGTATGCACTTTACGAGTCTTGCTTCTCCTTAACCATAAGCTAAAAAAATGCTACAACTCCTTACCTTGATGCCACAGTACCAACATGCCACTTTCACCTTGAGATGGCTCATCATCAAAAAAGTCACCGTACCTTGACTCAACCGTCCAACACGGCTTTTTACAATTACAAAAACTGCTCTACAGCCGTTTCGAATGCAATTTCCATTGATATTGCGCTACAATTCGGTTTTTCTTTATTCTACAACTTAAACCGGCTTTAAACTACAATTTACAATTATAAACACACTTGTTGTAGTTGGGTATTCAAAATGTCAGCCTTGCCAACGACTTTTGGCCAATCTTCGGTCTATAAAGTTGCATTTTTTACAATAAAATAAGTAAAATTAACGGTTTGCACTATTACTCTTGCCAACGTCACTATAACAACATCGTTGTCAAAATATGAAATAAAATATAAAAACACAATAAACTTGTAAAATACATTATAAACAACGATTGTCAATAAAAATGATAGTTAATAACCAATATTTTGCCATTTCTTTTAAACCAAGTCAAATAAAATAATCAGTTTAAAAAAAATTTCTCAAAATTTATTAATAAACCGTATAATTCCATAAATATGTTTTAGTTAAAGTGCAATATGATACGTTTTGCAAAAACTCAAAAATACAACCAATCAGATAGTAATTATGCAAACGATGACATATAGTTATCTTCAATATTAAACAATAACTACTTTTAACCAACTAATAAGAAAATAAATGAGTTTTAACTACCTGATAAGTACAGCATCTTGTGGTAGAAATGTACAAAAATAAAAAAAATGGAAAATCAGCTCAAACTCAACAATTAGAAGGGTAATCCACCGTTCACCAGGTACTTGTATCCCCTGTACACAACGTATCCGAACCAAGACAACATCAAACACATAATCAACTCTCCAGCTGCAATTCCAACACGTTCGCCAGTACTGTAACCAATTAGAGCTCCAATATCGCCAATTTCATCGAATGGTTGAGATGGGGCTGCTACTCCAATTAGTACCGCAAAGACGTAGAGGAAGTAGACAAAACTGACAAAAACGTGCATTCCCTGCAAGAATATGTTTATACTATCTATAATATTAGTTTTCTTAAAAACGATAATATTTTCTTGCCCCTTAACTTTGAGTTTTAGCACTACCCCAGCCAAACCCCCGACTTTATATTAAAATAAAACATAAAAATAACACTTACATTGAAGATCATCAGCGGCCAATAAAACTTTGGCTTTCCTTGAGTATTACCGTGCAGCAACAGTCCACCAGATCCAACATATAGTAAACAATCGATTAATGCAATGTAATCTTGAGTTTGTAGTACCGAAACGCCAACAAAGAAGCCTAATACAATGTAAACAAAGCCCAGAACAAAGGCAGCCTTCTGAAAACCTTATTATAATTTAAGAATTATAAAAATGATATTACAAGATGTACTTTTAAAGAGTATTTATTATAAAAGCTACAACAACATTCTCTTTGCATGAAAGAACACTCACTTTGCATCACAAGATAAAACTACTAACTATAAAACTAAAACAACCTCAAAAGTTCATTAAAAGTACAAAAAGTTATTCGCCAAATGAAACCTTCAAAAACTGTTATTAAAATAAACCTACGTGAACATGAATCTGCCATTTGCACATCTTCACCATGCAATCGTCATCCTCAATTCCCATTTTGTTATTGTCAAATGAAGCCTCTCTATAGATCTCTAGAACACGAACAAGATCAATATTGCAACAAAAAGTAAAAACGCGCAAATGAAAAAAGGCCAGTCAAAAAAAATTGTCAGAGCAGCATATTGGCTCTAAACAATACGAAAAGATAAGGCAAAAAAGATCGATTCGTTTGTATATACGACAAAAAGATATAATAATTACGATAAATACATCAATAAATTATATAAAAAATTATTAAAATATAAAAAATATACATAAACAAGACAAAAACATTGTTTATGTTGCTCAAAACAAGACATCTTGCAAGAAAAATCAAAATAAAGCAATGTACTTATAATTATATCGCCATGACAGTGTTAAAACTAAATTGAGCGATAGACCAATCTTTTTTGTACCGAGGTCAGCGGTCCGTGGTTCAGATCTTTTGATAAGATCAAAAACAAAAAAAGCTGCGTTTAAACTTCTGAAGTCATTACTCATTTTGTAAAAAAATATGCACGAAGTTTCAACAAATCGTAAAAATATCAATATAACAAGTAAAATTGAATAAAAACCTGAAAATTTCAGTTTAAAAGCAATGTCATTACCCAAAACAACAATAAATACAAAGTAAAATCAAAAATCTTTCCAATAACGTTATAAATACCTTCATTCCTAAAATGTAACAAGTATCAAACATACTCCAGACATTGACAACATCCCTATAACTCAACAAAACCAACCAAAATTAGCCAAAGTTTCAACTGAAAGCAAAGACAGCCTGAAGATAGTAAAGCGTGTTACTGCAATAACATTAAACATGGGCAATAACAGCCTTTCAAAATCATTGACCAAACTGCTGTTGTAATGAAATAAAACTCGTATTTTTGTAAGAGGCGTCATTAGGTTAACGAAGATTATTAACTGTATGACTACAGGTAAAAGTTAACTAGCTTTATAATTAAAACCAAATGTTTATTTACTGTCTAACCACAGGTAAAAGTTTTAAATTGGAAAAAGAAAGAAACAATGCCTAAAACAACATAACAGTCATTAATTAGCCGTCCATCAAAAAAGTTTACAAAGTAGGTAAAAATGTTAATAGAAACAGCTTCGACAAGGTTTTTTGACGTTTACGAATGATAAGTGTTTTGTATTTTGTAACATGTTAAAGTTGTAAATGCGTTTCAAAGTCATACGCCAACAATAGAGATCGAAAATGGCAATAAACACCTTATTTGGCCCTTCAAATTCAACTTTCTGCCATTTTTTCTAACACCCACGTTTAAAACCTTAAAGCCGCGCTACTCCGTTCAACACATGAACAAACATACACCAAAACGTCAACAAATACCATCAAATACCGAGCGAACCGACTGTTACCCATCTCAAAACGTTGAGGTCACAAATTGATATCTCCATAAAAGTGAATCATTGCGTTGGGATCCGGAAATCGACGAATAATTTCCGTTGAGCTCTTGAAAATAGTTTTCCGATAGTTTTTAACAAGAAAAAACATTTTATTCACTGTTCGCGCAGCTTTTCAAAAAGCCGATTTTATTTCCTCACAACAAATACAACATGACCTTTTACAGACAAATACATGATTAACACTACTTTGCAAAGGTCCAACTCAAGCGTGTGGGTCATTTCAAAGCTGATAAACATTAAAACAAGAGTTCAAAATATTATTGTTTTCAAGCAGTAAACATTTTGATATTATTCATCATGTTATAGTAACGTAGATTGTTGAAGACAAATCAAAGCTTGCAGAAGGACTAAAACAACAGATTTCAAAGCAAAATACAAAATATCAACTATATGAGCAATTGAATCAAAACAAGAACAATTACGAAAGCGCTCCATCAATTTCCACTTCCTCATGTATAATATAACACTCTAATTGCGAGCAAAGTTACAGTTCTCAATTAGCAATTACTTCAGGCTAATATAAAACTACAAGATTTTGAAAACTTAAAAGTGTAACAAAGACGACCAAGGGTGAATAGAGACCTAAAAATTTAACAAAACACGAACGAAATCACTAACCTGATATATAAATTGCTATTTTGGAGACATTGAAGGTATAAAATCATCAGTTTACGGTTTAAAAGTAACCAGAAACACAAAAAAGGTACAAAAAACAAGAAATTGTCGCCCAGGAAAACGATCACGTTGACATATTTTTTGGAAATTCGTATAACTTGACCTTCCGCGGTTGCGTCCTGTTGTTTTGACAATTTTTTTGAAGTTTGATGAAGTTTCAGTAATAAATATTTAAAAATAGGATAAACAACACTATTTAAATCTTGTTTTGTTTAAGTTTGTGTGTATAATATTGTTTTTTCTTTGGATGTGTTCAAAATGTGACAATTTTTCTGAAAATCTCAATTTTTTTGCAAGAATATTCCATATTTCTTTGACTCGACATTATTTTGTTATCATATTAATGTTTTGAACTTAAAACACCTAGAGGTCAAGATTTTTAAAGTTTTGAACATTGTGGTTGTTGTCGTGTCAACTTCATTAGGCACTTGAGCGTGGATGAGGGTTATAAAACACGATTCAATGCATTGATTAAACTCTTGCTTCAAAACAAAGGCGTTTGGACAAAGTTTTGGCGGTACTCCACCAATTGTGAAGATTTTGAGTTATTTTGGGATACTTTTATCATAGATTTTGATGACATTTGAGGAAAAAAGAGGGTAAACGTCATAAAAGGGTATTAATAGATGTTGTTGTAGACATTTTGGGCTTTTTTTGATTTTGAAGAATCCTAAAATACAAAAAATTAAGAGAAAATGTATTGTTACGTATAACAATATAATATTTTGCTTTATGTATAACATCTGCTTCTGTTTCATCTCTATTTTGCAACATGTATAATATAAAACATAGTTCAACATGTACATGCCACTTTATCTCTTCTAATATCAAAACCTTTGAAGCGTCAGAATAGAATCTTGCATTCTGTAGTCAGATTGATGTCGTAAGCATGCTGAGAGTGTTAACGTTGCCAATTACACGGGTATTTCGGGATTTACTGTTGTTAATTTAATGTCTTTTATAATTTATTCATTAGAAACAGCAAAGTATTTGACTTCGCAACGTTCTTCAACGTGCTTACGTGGGTAGTGAGATTATTTTTGCACTGATACCTTCTGGCACATGTTTTAAAGTCTTATGGTTAAAAATAGAAACGAGGTTGAAGGTTAACTATAAATGATTTTAGTGTAATATACATAGGTTGTCAGTCTATATGTTTATATTATATGTTTTACTGTACTTTGAAATGGTAATAGGACAATTTTATTTAGATTTTTAAATTAATTTCAAAGTTCAAGGTCAGTGTCTATTTTGAAATAAAACATTTCAAAGTTAATTTAATAAATCTCGGCGAACGTCACATGAGATGTGTATATTCGGCCGATGATGCGCTGTTTTTTGGTCTATTATATGCATTTACATTGTCAAGTACTTCAGTAAAAGGTCGTATATTTATATTGATACACACACTTGTGTACATGATTCTGTGTACTTATATTTATGACCGTGGTCACTTATATCCTTGTCTATTTTTATGTATAATCACGTCTATTTTAATGTATATTCATGTTTACGTTAACGTATAGCTACGCCAATCTTTAAGTATAGCAATGCATTGCAATGTTCAAGTTACTATAATCTTTGGCAAGAATATCTTGGCAGAGAAAGCTATTTACACGACTATCGTCGTGCATGTTTATCGTATACTCTGAGGTAATGGTGTACGGTAAACATGTTTTTTGATTACTATTGGAAAACACTTGACATTTGCTGGATGACATAATTGTATGACTATATATAAATCATGTCAAGGATATATATAAACGATTATATTATGGGATTTGAAGAGATAATGTGGTTTAACACTGTAGTGTGTGTTTGTTGGGTTGTAGAGTGGAATAAGATTTTGACAATGTTTGGCTTTTCATTGACGATTTTAGGTATAAATTAGCTTTTAAAATCATGTGGGTGTACCTGGTATGGGAGAAAGGGAGGGTAGCTTGGGGAAGAGAGATAAAAGAAAAGCCCTCTAGAGTTTGTTATCTTTATCTTTCCAGCGTTCGCTTAGGGTTTTATAAAGCTAAAAACGTTTTATTGATTTTTAAAATAACTGGAAGAGTAAAAATTGAGTTTTTAAAATTCAAAAGCAAAAACTTTAATGGAGGTATGGGGATTCGAACCCCAGACTTCTCGCATGCAAAGCGAGCGCTCTACCCCTGAGCTATACCCCCTCTCTCGGTTCGGTTCCATCGTTCGCTTTTTCTTTCCTCGAGGCGTTTGATTCGTTTTTTATACGCACAAACGTGTCTAACACAAACAAAACACACTCGCGAAATATCTTTAAAGCTTTCTATTTGTTAATGCGGTTAAACAGTAAATGGCAATAATTAAAAAAACACATTTTTTCAAACTTTTCATAAATTAATTTAATTTCATTTATTCAGGATAGTCAATTTTAAAACAATCGGAGAAGATTGAATTATAAAAAGCTATTTTATTAAGTTTTTGGAAGTAATTTTAATTCCAAGAAACAATATACTTTAGAGAGATTATTGAATAACTAATGAGTAAAACACTTGGTTACATTTTTTGCTGTAATTGTAAGCTTGGCGGCAAATAATTAAAATAGAGACAGTAGAGAATAGAGTTACTGAAGCGATGTATTAAGAATACGATAAGGTGTCTGGTAGGTTATAAAAGATATTTTGAGTTGTGGAGTCAACAAAATGTTTTGAATACAATTTTTAGTACAGTTGCTTCTAGTTCTTTAGTTATAAGCGTTACAGTGATGGTACTGCGATGTCTTTTTCTACTAATAACACACTTTTGTACCACTTATAAGTAAAAGTATAGTAGGATATTACTATCTAAAAGTTAATAAGTTAGTAAAAAATAGATCTTCACCCCACTTTATACGCCTATGCACAAACTTACAGTGATGTAAGTGACGTTTTTTACGATATTTTTGCATTTTTGGTCGCTTTGTCATAAATAAAATTTAATTTTGGGTCGTTTTTAATTTTTTACCGCCCAATGCCAATTTGTACTTTACGATGGGCCAAATTAATTTGACAAGTCGGATCAATTTGTTTTATTATTCTCTTCGACTGCAATTAATTCGGTGTTCGTTTATGCCCTCAGGACATAATCTACTGAGTTTAATGTTCTCGGTTCTAAAATGGGAGGCAAACAGGGTTACTGTAATTTGGGGAGGAGGTCTAACTAGACGGTTTCTTGTTTTTGACCTGAGGCGTTTTAGGTATATTGAAATTGAAAGAGTGTTAATAACTGTTAAAAAGAGTATGATGTCAGGTGTTATTAACATTTAAAAATAAGTTTGCTCTGATGTGCATGAAAAGTGTCAACAAGTGCAGTAAACTGTTAAATTTTAAAAAAAGTTTGAAAAGACAATTAAATAATGATTACGTTGCGTTTTAAACTCCTATAGTAACATAATCTGTCCTTTTATATTTGAATCTTAAGGTTCAGTTTTTATGTTAATGTTTATTTTAGCAAATGGAATAGAATAATTTTTGAATCTTGTCATAAAATAGGTCGTATTTTTGAACTTTTAATTGGTTCTTCCAACCAATTGAACTATAAAAGTGATATTTACAAGTGTAGGTCTAATGAAATTGTACTTGAAAACTTAGGTATAATATTATAACTTTGCAACATAACATCATTAATTCGCTTATCGTAATATGGTTATATTCTCTGGAGAGAGTACTTAATGGATTGGTTAGTAACTTTTAAACTATTTTTAATGTTTTAATATTATCTATGTTGAAGGTTTCCATTTGCGTAAACCTGCTAAAATAGGCTTTGATGGCAGATATTATATTCGATATTATTGCCAGAACTGTTTTTACTGTAATATAATTGGGGCTTTCGGTAACTCCTTTACACAATTTAGGACTTTTTGGAAAAACTGGTAGAATTTTTATTTTTATTTTTACTGTAACAATATAATCAATCCACATATAGGTCACTTGAGTGCTAATTTGATCACCAAGTACATCCACCGGAAGGTCAGATACCAGAAATGATTGACATTGTCTGTCTGTAATCTCCGTAAACAACAACAATCAAGTTGTATTACTACTTCCAGAATGACGCTTTATTATAATCTTGTAGCATACACTTCTAATTCTTGTAATATATTTCTAATTCCTGTGGTAATGTAGTCTGACTCCCACATGTTGTATCACTGACTTTGGTAATACCATCTTACTGGCTTTTACATTGAGTAATTCCTGCAATCAGCTATGGCGTATAAGGCTTATATTTTGTAAGCCGACTGACTTCTGTACCATACGTGACTCAAGCCTAATCCGTGGAAGTGGCAACTTCCTAAGCGGCTCTAATCCACTGTTTTTCTTAAGCTGTGTTCAGCAAAATGTCTGACAACTAAATTATGGCGGATATGGAAAAAAACATTTCCTATCTGACTAATCCTATTCCAGCTTTTTGTAAGCATGGTGACAGAGGCATCACAATTGTTTTTTAAATAGGGGGCTTTAAATGTTTTATATTAAATTTTAGGTGTCTGGTAATAGTACGGCGTGATATCTACAAAATTTCGAATATTAAAAAAATTTTTAAATTAAAATTTAACTAAATTTTAAAGACCAACTCCAAAAACGGTCTGAAACAACTTTGCGAACCTCCTTTAATCCAATTTTATTTCGAGTTTAAAGAGTCTTTGAACGATCTCTTAAAGGCATGATTTCATTTTATGGCAACATAAACATGTACATTAAGGAGTCTGGTAATCTAGTTTACTTAAGTTAAAACTATTTAAATACTTATTTAGTTTAAACATAAAAAGATTGAACGTATATTTAGCTAACGATTCTTGGAGTTTTTAGTGTAGGCGGACCAAGTAATTGCGCTTTGTTATAATTGGTAGTTCCTAAAATACGATTTAAATATAATACGAAACCTAATTTGTCAGTTTTTGAAAGGCTGTTTAAAAATCTTCTCTTTATTTCTGATTATATCATATGAAAGTACCCTTTTGTCTTCAATATATTTTTTTTGTGTTCTCATCTACTTTTGGATCTACTATAATGTCTTTTGTCTTTTAATTGCAAAAATGTAATTCCGGGTGTCAATAATCAAATTATTTTGCCATAAAATAAACGAAAACCACCTACTTGAATTGATCTAGTCATTAGGCTAATTTTCAGTTCAAACAAACCAAATTAGATAGTAATATACATAAGATGTTTTTTGTGCTGAGAATAGTACTTTCAGAATTATGTAAATCTTTAATTCTAGAATATAAATATGCTTTAAGACGATTTCTTTTCATAATTTTGGTCTAATGTTTAACCCTCTTTACCTACTTTATCTTATATCGTTTGACTTTCTTGCCTAAGGAGTTTGTACTAAAATTAGTACTACCAACCTATTCTAGACGGCCAATCAAAAGTACACTTCTAAACCTGCTTTTATTGTCGTACTGTTTCAACACGGTGAAAAGCAACAAGAGCACGGTAATTAACAAGTTTCATCAATGTTTTTTATGATCGTACGATAACGGCATTTCATCACGGCGAATGGGTGGAGTTTAATCGTAAGAGCAAATGAGAGTACGCGTTTAAAAGATTGCACGGAGAGAGTAGTCATAGCTATTAACGTGATGTGAAGAGGATTCTGAAGATGATGATGGTACGAATGTTGTGTGTTATTACTTTTTGGGTGCGACCATTACTATAGTCATAGAGTGGATTTGGAGAGGTTGGGTGTTACATAGCTGGCGAATACTTTTACTTTCGTTATCTTCAATTTATTATCTAGTAACGCTACTTTAAGATGACGTTATGATAATTTAACTTTGCTTGCTGTCACTAAGTTTAAACATAACGTATGTTACATATGTTTAGTAGGATGTAGTATACGTCGTATGTTTCTTCAAATATAGTCATATGTAAGGAAATTGTTTTTATAATATTTACCCCGCAATAAATCTGATTATTATGCTCAATCTGGCATAGCATACCAAATTTAATATGTTTGTCGTACTACAGCCCGTCTTTTGTCTTCAGCTCGGTTTATATCCAAAGTAAACATATAGGATTTCAAATATTCATCACCAATCATTTATGATTTGTTATGATTTATACCGTGTTATGTCAACATGGTCATTTTAATTCATCTATATATAGTGTAGCATTCTCTTGTAAAGATATATTCAAGGTATTGAAAAGTTAAATTGGTACAGAAAGTTTATCTTTTTTTAAAACTGTAAAATTTTTAAAAATGACGTTTGTGATCAATTTTCAATTATTGCAACTTTTTATTATTGTTTTGGCTACATGCACAGTATGTTATTGTCATTGTACTGCTGCAATCAAACGGTCATTACAGACATATAATGGCATGCTTAAGAAAGCAAATATGTTACAAATATTGGTGCATAACTTATTCAAATTTCTATGTTCAATTACTCTACATACCTAATTTTAAGGCAGTGTTTAAGTTTTTAGAATACTGTAGCTTTTCACTGCATGACTACTATAGTTTTTATACATAATAAAATATATAATGTCTACATTCAAAGACCAGTGAATATGGTTGATATCATAATGAATGTGAACGCACCTCAATTACTATTTGTCTTGTTTTTGCAAGAATTTACATTGTAGTAATTGTTTATATGATTTACGTGTTTCGATTGTGCACTTTAATTGACGTGATGTTTTTGCTGCTTAATGCTTACAAATTATTGTTCCTAATGTTATGTTATGTTACATTTCTGAAGAGTGAGCAAAATTTAAAAAATTAAAAAATTTTAGTTTTTTGAAATTTTTTGAACTTTTAGTATTTAAAACGTTATAGATAATATTTTTACTGCAGTGGAAAAATGCATACCTTGATTATCTTCTTAGATGTTATGTTGTTATAGGCTTAAAAACAATTTTTTAATGTTTAATTACCTCTAATTAAAGAAATTGTCTATTTTAATATAAAAAAGGTGTTGTGATTACCTTTTTATAATTTTTGTCTAAAGACTGTTTTCCAGGAAGTAATTGTACACTAACTATTGTTTAAAATGTATTACAGTGTATATAAAAACAAGGATTGACATCAGTCTATGTCAACTAATGAAGCCTTATGATATTTGTTTATTAGGTATCTAATCGTCATAAATTGTGGTTGTAATATTAGTATTTAAGTTCCTGGATAACATTTTAAAACCATACATTGTATTTGGTGTTATCGTATGATTTATTTTTAAATTTTGAGGCGATTTTTCATTTTCTAACCTAACTTTTATGTTACCACTGCTTTCTTTTAGTATTATGTATTCTTTTTTGTTTTCTACGTTAATAATCTCTGGACATTACCAAGAACTTTAAATTTGCATTTTGTTATTACCTCAAAACAATATTAAGATGACTTTCAAACTATCATCTGCTTGTCTGTGTATTTAAATTCGCTTCACGTTTTGAATTCGAAACTTTGAAACCGTTCCCTCGTGGCATAATCGAATCATCTGAAGACGTTTTAGATTTGGGCATCTTCTTCACTTTATTAACAGACAAAATATGCTTCTACAGATCAACAAGACCTTCTTGTTCTTGGTGATTCTTGCCTTCTTTCTCAGCGGAACATTAGCACAGGACTTTCTAGAGAGGTGAGTGTGGGTTGATATTATAAATTTAAAGCTGAATATTAAATTTTTGAAATTTTTGGCCTAATTTTAGCTATGTTTATTAATTTTTTTATCATTTTTAAAAATTTTTATTGTTTTACATGTTTGTTATCAATTTAAATTAACATAACAACAAACATGTTAAGAAATTTATACTTTTACGCAAAGATAAAATAGACTAAGTCACAGTTATCTTTGGATAACGTAGAACAAATTCTATTATAATGTCTTGTTTGGTAAACAATTTGGCTAATACAAACAAATAAAAGTCAGTTTAAAGTGTAAAATACGGTATAATATGTTTTTGATCGTTTAAAAATCCAAATAATTGGTTTGTAAAAAAAGTTTTTTTAGTTATTACAAAAGAGCACCAATGGACAGAGCTTCAATGGTACGTTTCGGTAAAAGAGCACCAATGGATCGAGCATCCATGGTTAGGTTTGGCAAACGGGACAGTGGAGACCTAGAGTAAGTTTTTAGCTGTTTTATATAAAAGGTATAGAAAAGGTTCTAAATATCTTATAGAACCATATTTTTTAAAACTTGATTTTATAATAAACCCTATTATCAATTGTTACAGTTTTGAAAAACGAGCACCGATGGACCGTGCTTCAATGGTACGCTTCGGTAAAAGGGCCCCAATGGACAGAGCGTCAATGGTCAGGTTTGGCAAACGTGCCCCGATGGATCGGGCATCGATGGTACGATTCGGCAAACGCTCAGACTTTGATGATGTTGAATATGTAAGTTGAAAACGTTTCCATTTATTAAAATTTAAGCCTGGTATTTTTTTTAAAGCAATTTATAGCAAGTACAGTTTTGTTATTATATTATAGTATGGTATTATGACATAATGTACCCCTTTTGTCTTAAAAATTGAAAACAAAATGTTAATTTAATATAAAATAAATTTTTTAAACCAAATAATTTTTTATTTTTAGTGATAAAGCCTCCACACCCACCCAACATCAGTACCGTGCTCTTTTTCTCTGACCACTCTCTTCAACCGCCGTGATCTCAAACTCAGAAACTGTGCTGTAAAAAACCAACGCTATTTGTCGATTAAATTTGTATGTTATAGACAAGAATTAACATACGGAGAGAAAACTCAGTAATTTGACATTTTTTAAAAGTAATTTTAATCAATTTCAATAGTTCAAAGTGCTATTTACATAACTTGTATACCTATATGACATTGTAAATAGTAATTTTAACATCTTTTTACTGTAAGAGGTAACCTTTTTGACTTTAAAAGATGATTTTAATATTTTTTTGATTAAAATTCACACATTATGACCTTATTTATGACATTATCGTGGCTTCGGCCGCATTGTTACATGACTGTCTCGTCGTTATGCAAAATAAAATACCTAGCGAACTTGAAGTAATCGTTGTTAGTACTATATTTCACACGTCTTGTTTACTATCACACAACTTTATTTGTAAGTTATTGCTTAATAAAAGGCGACCAACTGTTATTGAATTCCTTTGTAATTAAAGTTTTTGCAAGATTTAGTTGTTTCGTCAGAATAAAATTAAAACTATGTAGACAGTTCGCTGTGAAGATTTAGAAATGCTGTTAGATACTCAAATTTTACTACAATTTACGTTAAGATTGAAAAAAAAACACTATTTTACTTCAAAATCATGTTGTGAGCTCTTATCCTGGCCAATATTCATCAGCACAGTTGCTCAAACCGTATACTTGAGGGTCAAAGTGTAGGTATCCGTCTTCGCCAGCATGGTCAGCTGCATCGTAGTCAAAGATAAGACTGTTGGAGCCATTTGGGTCCTCTGGTTCAGTTGATATCTTAAAATGTACAATTAGATTTCAAAATTATAAAATATCACTACAATGATATTACTACAAATATCTTATAAAAAAGAGAATTTAACGTAAAAAATAGCAAGTGAAATTTCAATATTTACCCTATAAGTGCTGTTCTCAGCATAAAAGCCATCATAATACCAGACTTCTGTGCTCTGATGATAGTACCCTAACACTGCCGGCCAACATTGTTTTAATAACTTTGCGTCGCACGGTGGCACGTGAGGAACGATGTCTTTCCTATTAACTACTCGGTACGATGTAGGGAAGAGTTCGTCAAAGTTATTCGAAAACGGAGCATTCCCCACACGTGGCTGACCGTATGTCCATACTTGAACCTGGAAAACGTATGTCAAAACTAAAAATGTATGTATATAGTACCATAAAAAAGGCAGTAAGATACTGTACTCATATTTTTAAGTAAAAGAACGAACTTGACTAGAGTCTTTGATACCCTCATCAACAACCCTAACAGCACTGATGACAGCTTCAGCCCCACCTAGGGAATGTCCTGAGAAGATGACGTCATAGTCGGCCGTATCTGTATCATTCAAAATGGCAGAGATCGTAGGCCTAAAACATAAAATGTCATATTTCGGTAAAGATCATTAAAAAACGTACCATGTCGCATTTTGCGCCAAGTACATGTAGAGATGTACTCGACCGGCACCAAGTGGTTGACGTGGAACGAATGTGTAGCCTACGAGCTCTGTCACTTGTTCTCCTAAAGAAATATAGACATTGTTAGAAAGTAGTCTAACCCAAAATATATTATAATATTAAAGCTAAGAACACGTAAGGTAATCTTAAGGACATACCAACAGAACCCTTGTAAGTAACGATAATTTGCTTGTAAACATCTGATTGCACTACAAGATATCCACATGTTTGATTCCAAGAGTCACACACAATGCTCTAGAAATGACACTTCATAAAGCTTACTTTTAAAGTGAGTAATTCAGTTTTAAAGTTGTATAAGAATTAACAAAAGCGATATAAACCTACGTTGTTATGAGCAATAATTTTCCAATCACCATCAGCATCAAGAGCCTTATCTACACAAGGTTGTGGTGTGATCGTATAGGTCCCTCCAGTCAGTAAATAGTATTGAATAGCTTTTTCAGTCGAAAATTCAGAAGATAACTCGCTGTAAGAAGTCTGTAGTGATAATAAAAATATTAGTATTGGTAAACAATACATTATTACAGTAGAAAAAGATAAGTATGATCTATTATTCAATTATTCAAAACCAAATAATCACAGTAACAACAGTCCGCCAAAAGTCTGTACAACAATATACGTTTTTTAAAAAAAACTTTAATTTATAAACAAGTTTTAAGTCTAGAAAAAACCTTCATTACAATGTAAATCCGTAGTATACATTAAAATGTACATCGTTTGAACCCGTGGTTACTATTGTAATCCTACTATTCTTTTAAATTTAAATAATATTTTTAAAAAGTCACGCTGAAAACGCTATATGATGCTATCATAACAAGCTTGATCAACATCAAAAACAATTCAAAATCAATGTATGTAACAAAAAATTATGACACATACCGTAATCAAAAAACCACGTTTTATACAGTAACCCAACAATCCTAATTTTGTAACCCACGTTTTCTACAGTAACTGTTCAGTAATAAATTTAACATTTTCTTGTACAAATATTCAATTTTATGAATCTGAGCCCATGAACTTTCGTTGTCATAAGCAAGGCGCAGCTCGGGTTCAATATTTTTTATTTGATTCCAACATTTTATACCAGGAAATAAATAAAACTTTTTGCAATTGTAAATGCTATGTCAAGAACCGTATTTTGGCCATAAAATTCAAAAATAATATTTTTATAGCTTGTCAAATATAAAAAGTTTAAAGAGTTTAATTTCACACATATGCTGTAAGGGGTACGAGGGTACAAACTCTAATATTTGTGACTTTTATATTTTATAGCATTTATCTCTACGCCCATTTTTAGCACTAATAAAACAATAATTACAATAGCAATGTAATTTTTTAAAAACTTTCTTTCCAAAAAGTATCAAATATTTACGTCTAAACAAATGTAAAAAGATGGGGAATGTAAATGCAAATAGAATTTAATGACCGTACAAATGTACAGTAGGGTCAGAAAAGACCAAAATGGCCCTATATAAAACCATCATGGCTATCGCCAGTATCATCAACAGCTTCACCGGCAACAATGTTTAGATTGTCACTCCTGGCATCTCTTTTTGCAATTGCTTATAGCTCTAACTTGCCCACAAGTTACAGTACAAATCAATCATACGAATATGTTCTTCTAAACGCCGCTGTCTTCGCAACTGACCCAACTCAATGCGTTGCCAGAGCTACTGGATCTACAGATGACTGGACCGTTGTTTCGGCTAGCGGGGTAAAAAATTTATCTTTACGAAATTATCAGACGTAAAGTCTTGAGAGAAACAAGAAATAACTCCATCTTGTTTATGCCAAAAGAACCAAAAAACACATTTTAAAAAATACTGTAAATTAATAATTACCTAGGTATATGTTTATATTTTTTCAGTTTATAACTTGCCCAGGTACCAACGAGACCTGTGGCTATTTGGTAATACGCTCAGACGCCCTACAGCAATTCGCTGTTGTCTTCAGAGGTTCAACCGGTAAACTTACTCTTATCAATTCCCACGTTTAACAAAAAAACCTTTAATAATACCTAGACACAGGTCCTAAACTACACACATCAAAAAACTATGTCTAATCCTATCTATGCTACATTTTACCAAAAACACATAAAATACATTTTTAGGTAACCAAATCCTGGATGAAGTCCTCGACACTTTTGACCAAAGAATAAGTTTCTTCGGCGGAAAAGTTCAAAACTACTTTTACAATTCGTTTGCTGATGTGTGGCCAGATGTACAAACTGCTTTGAGTGACGAAGCTACAATTGACTATGACGTGGTTGTAACCGGCTACTCCCTTGGAGGTGCTCAAGCTGCTTTGTGTGCAGCCAATATTGTAGAAACTGGCTTGAGAACCGCTGATCAAGTAAGTTTGTTTCAGCTTATCATATTTCAGTTAAAAATTACTTTTTAATATCCAAAAAGACAAATCGCTGCAAGATGTAATATTTGCCTATATCAGCTACGTGTTAAAATTAACAAAATAAAAAATTTTTGATTTCAGATTGTAGTATGGACCTTCGGAGAACCCCGTGTAGGTAATGCTGCCTTCTCGGCCCAGTTCGATGACACTTTCAAGACCGTGTTCAGAGTTGTGAACAAGGCCGACATGGTTCCACATCTTCCACCTTGTCTTGCTGAAGGCTTCACAGGATGTTTCGACTCTGATCTGGGTTACTATCACCACAGTACTGAAGTCTGGTACCCTGACGGCATCTTCAATCTTACCAGCCCTTACAAGGTAACAAACAAGCCTTTTATCTTATAAAGAAAGCGTCGCCATATAACATACTTATATTAAAAATAATAACCGTCTTGTACTACATTTGACGTTGAGTAATGCTGGACTAATTTTGAATTTAACATTTTCAGATCTGCACTGAAAGTCCAGAAGACCCAACTTGCTCCAACAGTTTAGTCATCGGCTACACTTTTGAGAATCACGTTGGAGCAGAAGGATACTTCCAACTAGACCTCCAAGCATACGGAGAAGCTAACTGTCAATCATGAGACTCCAAAATAAACCGTAGTACAACATTATCACTTTAATCATACTGTATTTAAGTTAATAAAATCAGTCCGGCTCACTTAACTCGGTAAATCTATTAAAGAAATTTTAAATTTAAATCTTTTAGGTAGATTATTAAAATAAAAAATATATCTATAACAACATATAAAGTAACAAGTTTATCAATTAAAATTAGCTAGCCAAAACACTAGAGTAGACCGACTACTAAAATAACTATAAACATATATATATGTTCAAGAAAATAAATTACAAACTAGCTTTCCAAATGAATAATAATAAATTACGTATCAACCGGAATTTCATGAATAATTTAGCTTTTGGCAATCAACAAAAATCATTTTAAAACTTGGCAAATTTAGACACAATAATAAGTTAAAGTAAGCGAATTACACTAGTCAAGGCATAATAATCATTCTTAATTAATAGCTCGGTCAAAAATTGCATAGAATATTATTTCATAGTCAAACACACCTTTCTTAAATTTTTTCTGGCTAATTCTTGACCTAGCAGAAACTACCTTTATATCAACGACTAATCAGAATTGGTTTCAGAGTCTGGATTGACTATGTTAAGATTGGAGTTACCAATCATATCAAAACCTCCATTCTCTGGTTTCAACTCCAAAAACGGATCCTCTTCCAACTCACGTTCATCTTCTTCGTGGCGTTCGAAACGTGCCCATCGTTGGTTGGCTTCAATTTGTTTATGAAAGAACTGACTTAACACGGGCCAAAGGCTAGCCTCCCATTGAGAATGCCAGTCCGTCTTGCCACTACCTGAGACGTTTTTGCGCATTTCAATCTTTCCCTACAAAATATATTGTTATTTTAAACATTCAAACTTCATATGCTATAAAATAAAAAAATTTACTATAATATTAACTTAAAAAGCTTACGTCATTTTGCGCAAATTCAGAAGCAATATCAATCAGCTGCGTCCTCAGATGATTAGAAGTGTCAAACAACCTTCCGTTAACTCCATCTTGAACTTGCTCATCAATAGCTGGAAACTTTTTAGCTAAGACCGGTAACCCGCATCCAAACATGTCAACAATCTTCATTGGCAGATCCAGACCCGAACTTGAGGTATGAAGAGAAACACCAACGTCAGCCGCAGCCAAAAGTCGAGGATAATCTTCTGGCTCCAACCATGCTGTAACAACCTCAACGTTCTTCAAATTCAGCGCCGCTATCTTCTCCATGTAATACTGCTTTTGAGGACCTTTACCAGTGATTACAGCGAAGATTTTAGGCAATTCACATGAGTTAGGACTAAAATTATATAAATTAAATAAAACAGGTTCAATGATTGAGCACACTACAATTATTGCCTAAAAAACAATATAGTATAAGCCAATAACCATACCTAGCAATAGTAAGCTCCGTGTGTTTACTGTAACCCAACAAAGCATCTAATAAGATTCCAAAATCTTCATCTTCAGTCCATGAAGTAGAGGAAACCAATAGCAATAGTCGACTTTTCCTATTGTATACCTTGCCGTCCTTTTTAGACGTAAACAAAGTTTCTTCTGAATCTTCATTAACAACTTCTGGTTCTGTATACTCTCCAGTAAACGCTTTGGATTGAAATAGACGATAGAGTAAATTATGTTTTTGTTTTAGGTTTAGAGTCCTAAAAGTAAATGTGTAAAGGTGTGACCTTTTTAAGTATATAGGCCTTCATTTATTTTATTTTTTGTAATTATTAAAGCACATTAAAAGTATTAAAAATAATACTCGTAATATTTAAAATGAAAACCCACACGAAATTCCACAATGGAGGTTTATCGTGTAACGTAAGAGCATTGATACCCCATCGTTTCTTTAGGTCCTTCCTCATCGTATTAGATACACATACAGAGATATCAGAATGTCGTCCAAAGAATCCTTCCCATTTGTGTGCAAAGTTCACAAAGCTAAAAAAATATTTAATACAATGTAAATCAGTTAATAAACAGCAATTTTTAATTTAGAAAAACCTGATCAAGAAACTAACTTTGAATATATGGCAAAAACTACAAAAAATATTCTACTCTACTTGCAACTCATGCCTAAAAAGATAATTATAATTTAAAACCGTACCAATCTTGTAGCCGTTGCTTCAAAGAACCTCCGCTTTTGCTAGAAAAGTTTTGAGCTAATATGGAATGTGTGTAATTGTGCCAGTCTGTCGCTAATGCAGCTCGTTTTAAAATAGCAACCTAAAAATAAAAGGCAAACGCCCTGAAATACTTACCACGTAACATATTAACATTGTTGGTATTCCAGGAGGATTTTGAAGCAAAATCAACGAAGTATTCCATCGGCACTTGAAGATCATAGCATACAACAAAAATATTGACATAAAAAAGAATTTGGACAACAAAGCCAAAGGTGACGGCAAGGAATTCAACGTGGACATTGAAGGAATGTATACCAAGCTGAAATAACGTTATAGTAATAATATTCTTTTAAAAATTTTAATTTAGTTCGGTATTAAGTCGCATAAACATTAAATTACTTTGTTTAGTACTTGTCTAAACATAAAATAATAAAGACAAGAGCTTACTGTATGTTCTTGTGAGATCGTATCCTTTCATGAGGCAGAGAGCCTCGATAACCAACTAAATCAACATGAACATCTTGTTCTGCTAAAGAATGTGCATGATAACATGTTCTTGGTGAATGTCCAATATCACCCAACACTACCACGGTTGCCGAACCGATGGTCATCAGCAATGAATCTGTAAACCAATTGGTTATACAACAGACAAATTGTTAGAACGCCAAATCCATATCAAAAACAAAAAAATTAAGAAACGGAAGTTTTTTAAAAATAATATTAAAAAAAGGTCAGAAAAAGATAAAAGGCAAATAGTAAAAAATTAATAATTCGCCAAAATTTCCAAAAAAAAATAAATATCGATATGCAAAAAATAACACTTGACTTATTTTTCGAAACGCGTCAGGTTTCTCTTTGTAATTTTATTATTGAATAAAACAGTAAAAAATAAAGTAATTTAATAAAATTAATTTCAATGATGCTTTATATTGAGTTATGTTTATATTTTTCTTAACTAAAGAAATTTTTCTAACTTAAATTTACTATATTTTTTATTAATACTTATCATAATTAATAACAGTATCTCAGAACTACAGAATGACGGTTTCTCTTTTAAAAAATTCAAACAGTCAATTCCTGGAGATAAATTGGGTAGCATAAGACATATTAAAGTTGGCCATGTGGCCACTTGCTCTGTTCTTTCTATTTTTTGCGAAATGCCCTTAGGCAGAGTGGACACTCCTTTCTCCTCGGTTCGTGCGACGCCTTAAGGGCTGCAAAATTGACATGAATTTTTGTGCACGTCTTTATTCATTTTGTTGTAAATGACTTGAAATTGGTTGTTTTTGGGTTGGTCAAATTAGAAATTTGCATTTCGTAATAGGCTGTTGACAGTGCTACAAGTGTTTTCTAGCGAGTATAACATGTTTACGTAGTGGGTTTTCCTTAAATTGTACTTTTCAAGTGTTTTTAATTCGAAAATGTTGTATCAAGAACTAGGAATAATTGTAAACTGAAATTGAGGTTTGGTTTGAGAAGGGAAGGTGACAATGCTGGGGGGAAGGCGGGTAGAGGTTTGGTTAATACACTTAACAGCATTCTTTATGAGATTATCTTTTCAAAAAAATATTTTTGTAGTAGATTTAGGCATCACATTTTAAATGTTCGACCATTTTTTACCAAAAGTTTCGAAATCGACCGGTACCAAGCCTAGAATTGGCCACATGTTGAGCATCTTTATAAACATTTTTGTCGTTTCGTGCATACAATAAGTCTCCGGAGACTTTCACATTCTTCAAAACGTCTTCTCGACTGGGCGTTTTGTCTTCGGAACACCGATTTGTCAAAAAGTAGCTTGGCCGTCGTTGTACGAACTTCTGAAGCCGACTCACTTTTGCAAACTCTTTTTGTTTGGATTTTATTTAAAGGACACTTTATGGGTTCGAAAGCATTGTTAACTTGAGTTATATGAATTCATGTGGTTTATACTTTTATATAAGAAGCCTTACTTGAGTAATAGGATAACAAAGATCACATTTTATAATTTTTGCTAGTATATTATACTGCCTTTGTTATAAAAAAGTAGTTTTAACAAGAACGGGCCTTTAAAACCTATTTCTGTGCTCAAAAGTGCACCTGAATATACTGTGTCATACCTTTTTAACCAGTTATTTAAAAAAATTTAAAATTACACCAACAATTACAGTTATATCACGGCCGCTTGCCCTTTTGTACATTTTCTAATAGCTTGCAGCAATTACTCTCCGCGTTACTATGGTATCTTGTCCGGACGTCAGAGATAACCATTTACAAAAGAATGTTTTGGAAAGATAACGATTTATAATGCAAATGTGGTTTGTTATTTGGGACTCGAATTGGGCACAAACAAAACCAGCCAAGGCCAAAAGTTTCAAATTTCAGCGACTTTTTAAACGACCTTTTTGCTTGGGCAATCTTTGTCAAGTTTCGGGATTTTAGGGGGTTTGGGGGGATGTTAGGGCTGGTCAGGTTCTACCACATACTCTATCACGCCGCTCTGCCCAAATGCTATTAATTTTTGAAGATAGAGCTAAAATAGCTTATAGATATCAAATCTTAAAGCTCCGCCAAACCTACTTGCAAAACGTTGGCGTTCTATGCCCAACATTAAGAAATTTGAATATTCATTATTAGTATTTTAAGAAAATTGGATTAGTATATTTTATCAAACGTTGGAAGAAACCTTATTATTGGGGAAACTTTCGATCACAAAAGACTTCAAAATTGGCGTTGTTCTCTTCCTGTCGTTCTGAAAAACCTTTTGACAGGACGGTGATGTCATCTGCTTTGTTACCATCATTAAGTTGTTTCAAATTAGCTAGAATTATTTTATTTTGGCACTTTAGCTTCAACTTTTTACAGTATGTTTGTTACTGTAACTTTTATTATCGTAATTTTTTTAATTATCGTAATTTTTTTATGTAAAAGTTGAAGCGAACGTTCACTATATTCTTAAAATTGTATCAAACTTGCAAATTTTGTAATTTAAATTTGTCGGAATTCTGCGAAATTCTAATTCTAAGTATTGTGAAGTGTTCTCTGTATGTTGTACCATTTGAAGTATCTTATTGACTACATTTTGCAGTTTTCTCATCTTTATTGTAGTCAACTTCAGTTTTTTTTATTTTTTTGAGAAATTTAAGTGTTATCAATAATGTAAAAATGTATTCAAATTTTCATCTTTATTACGGTAATTTTATTAAATTTTGTTTACAACAATCACATGCTACGAGGTTTACGATTGAATGTTATTCTATTACAAATTTAGGTTTATAAATGTAGGTATAACAATGAAAAAACTTCAAATTGTAGCTATAACAATATAACAGAACGGCCAATTGTATTCATAACAATAATAAAAACTCTAAAATGTAGCGATAACAATGTAAATCTCGTATTGTAGCTGTAAAACAAATTAAAATGTTTTCGAATAATAAAACTTGGCCTCGCCCCTTTGCCATATGACCCACAGTAATGTAATAACCCATCCTTCTTTATGAGTTATTACGGCCAGTTACAACTCCAGTTTTTCTAGTCTGGCTATAATAATGGTTATTTCCAGAATCTGATACATAAAAACAACATCTGTTTTTCAGACCAAGATGTCTGCTTTTGTGTTGTTATGTCACACTATGTATGTAAGAATGGGTAGTTAAGTACTTAAGATTAGCATATACCTCCACGTCAGTAAGAAGTAGGTCTTAACATAAGTAATAAGTAGGTCTTTACACATGTAATGTTAATATACAACATTAAGCTAGTTCATTACACTACATATAGTCAAGATATTACACTTATAGTATATTAAATACCGTGTGATATAGTCTTACATACCATGTGTAACAATGTCTTACGTAGAATTCGAAATTCCACCTCTGGTTTGTGAACCTTATTAGGAAAACAGGAGAACAACGGTCATGTCCTTCCATTTACCACTCGGAAGTTGTTTTCCACAAGCCTTGGCGATTGCGACGTCAAGATATCCTGCATTTCAAATTAGATCTCCTTTGTCTTCAGAAGTCTTTTCAGCAGGCTTTCAGTACGGTGCATAGCATCTACTGTCAGTTAGGGTATGGAAATTAGGTACAGTATGTTTTAGATGGTAAATTTAATAGCTTTTATATGTAAACTGACGGTTGATATCAAAATACAACTTGTTTTTACTTCAACTGTTATGATTTTCTAAACGTTAGCCACAAAACAAAAAAAGTTCGATTCCGCTTGGAGTATCGACATTATTTTCGCCTTTTGCTTACTAAAGTTTACTTCCAAAAAAACTTTTCAATCTCAAAACAACCTTTACATTCTCCTACGTCTTTTTTAGCCGAATTTCCTTTGCAAGATTATTCCGAATCCCTCAAAAATCTGCTCGAAAACCTACAACAACATGTTTTCGAACACATAGGTTTTCCGAACAATGTCAACTGCAATCGGTTGTTTTGGATTGCCATATTTCCTAGCCATTAAGCGCCCTCTCTCCCCCTTCTCATGCCGATATAAAGGATATGACATAAAAGCGAGGTTAAAATGGACTTGGACGGGCCGGAAGCGCATTCTATAAATTACATTTTCCTCGGCCCCTTTATCGAAGTGCAAAAAAAGTGAACGCAGCTTTTTATTTGATATTATTTCCATAATAGGACGTGTATGGCCGTGGATAAAACAAATCTTATTGTTTTTGGCACACGAATTCCCAAAAAATCCATTTTTTTCTGTTTTCGAGGCCGGTTTTGAGGTGAAAGAGAACACGAAAGATTTAGACCCAATAGGATCAACGATTTAATGGTCTGGAAAATATTCTTTCCTCCTCTTTTCATTTGCCTTTTGGCAGTGTGGGAGAGAAATGAAGGATAATTGTCAATTCCGAGTAATTAATGGTTTGGCCAATATTAATATCTGTAATTTTATAACTTTTCAAAGTGCAAAAGCCTTGCATTAAATAATTCAAATTTTATCAATTTTACCCTCAAACTTAAACTTTTTTTTTGCAAATATAGCCTAAAATACTATCCTTGTTTTTTAGTCTCAGCACGATTGATTTTAATTGCCAAAATAATTTTTATTAATTTTGGCATTCCGTTTTAATTTTAAATTTTTTTAGTAGTAAAAATTACGTCGGCTTTCGGGGATCTTGTGATATTTTTTACGATGAAATTAATTAATTTAATTGTAAATTTTTCAGTCTGATAGCTGTCGCCAGTAGGACAATATAGCAAGGTTGGGAAATCTTGTTTTTGGGTCGATATTATGAACACGGAGGTTGTGAACGGAGCATGCGACGCTAGTATGGCCGGCCTTAACATGTACGAAGGGCAGACAACAAACTCCACCACTTCCATTTCTTCGTCTACAGCTACAGTGAATTCTGAACCAACAACAGCCAGAATTCATTCTTGGGTTAGATTGAATGTCGGAGGAAAGGTAAGGTTTTGTTGAATGTTTTGGCTTTTAGATTGATAACGGGCTTTCCAAAGAGTTAGCAAAGTTTGTAACGTGTCTTGTTGCAATTTTTCTTAATTTTGTTGATTTTGACGTTCAGTTTAACGTCATATTCTTGTAGATCTTCATGACAACACGCCAAACGCTGTGCAGAGAACCCACGTCTTTCTTGGCTCGATTGTGTCAGAACGATGAACTCTTAACAAGTGAGAAAGATGAGTCTGGAGCATATTTGATTGATCGTGATTCTGAATACTTTTCTTCCGTTTTGAACTTTCTTCGACATGGCAAACTGATATTGGACAAAGGGCTATCAGAAGAAGGTAAGCTTTTTTGCTTGTGTTTTTAACGTTTAGATAGAACTTAGCTTTAAATTGTAATCAAGAAAATATATTTAAAGTCTCCGCTATTATAAAAAGGCTTAAACTACAGTTATGTTGCTTTTAGGTATGATCGAAGAAGCCGAGTTTTATAACTTGCCACATTTAATTGCACTGTGTCAAGAACGACTAATAGAACGGTCGAGAAAATTGACCAAACATGTATATAGAGTATTGCAATGTCACGAAGACGAAGTTACGAATGTTGTGTCGGCAATGTCAGACGGATGGAAGTTTGAGCAGGTAGGGATAACATGTTATTGTGATAGTAAAGATTTTGTTCAACATAATTTTAGGTATTAATAAATTGATTGTATTATGTAACTGAATATTATCAATATTATTATTACAGCTTGTGCCAATCAGTCACTTCCACACGAGTGCGACTCACGAGTATTTGTGTGTCGTATCTAGAGAGTATCCAGATGCTGATAACTACGGATCAATCGAGACTGACAGAGCACAGTTTCTTCAGAAGAAAGCCATGCGTAAGTCTGATTTTTACTCTACACATAGCAGCAATTAGATTTTTTTTATTTAATGGTTATAAGAAGGTATTCTAACCTTTTTACGTTTAATAATTAAAAGCTATTGAAAACTTCATTATCTTAAAAGTACGACAGACAATTCGGTTTTAAAAGTAAGCGAGTTAATATAAAATATTCTAAAAATTCAAATTTTAGAAAACTGACTTTCGAACATGATAAAACAAGATTTCTCTGCCAAAATCTGCTTAGAAACGGTTGAAATTGTATGATTGTGTACTTGTAACTGTAAAAAAACGTTCAACTTTATATTTCTAACTATATTGACATTCCGCACTTTACCTAATATAAGTCTTTAAAGTACTATTTGTATCTATCTAATTTTAAATTGTATTTCGAATAACTTTATTATTGTTTTTAAAGGTTGTATTTTATTTTGTTGTTATATAAAAGGTATAAAGCATTGACATGATAAGGATGTACAATTTTGTTGGTTTACTTTGAATTGTAGGTTTGTATTTTATAAGGGAAGTAATGGTAGTTTTACACTACATTATTCGTACGTTAAAATATGAAAAATACATAAGTTAAAGTTTTTTTTTGGATATTAAAAATTTAAAATAGCACGTATTATATTATTAAAATTTTTAATATAAAAATAATATCATTATGTGTATGAGTTGTATCTGTAAAATAGCATATTACACATTATAGTACGATTAACTTGTAGTGTTTGATATTACAAAAGCTATATATACTAAAGTTACTAAAATAAAGTTCAATAACTGGCGCAGTTACGGTGAAAATGGCCAAACGTTTACCTTTCTAATTTGGCCCGAACGCGCTGTTGCTAATGAGATGTACGGGTTTACAAACATGGATTACATTCTCGAAGACAAATACGAGATTATGCTAATAAACACTGTGGGAAACATACTATGATCGTATCGAGGTATTGAAGATTTTTACAGTATGCTTCATTTCATCGCCATAATGTTTTTAATGATATTTTTAAATAAGGAGGGGGGAGCAGTGTTTTGCCTGGACCGTCCGGCCGCCATTTTTTCAGGTCCGGTCCGGCCATTTTTTAGGTCTGGTTCGCTTCAATTTTTTTTTCACATCGGTCCGTCCGGACCGGACGGTCGAGGCGTAACACGGGGGGGGAGGGTAAATTTTTTTTAACAAGGGATTATCAGGCCAATATTAAGGTTTTTGCATTTTTTTTTGAAAAATGAGGTTTTTCTTTTATTCTCTTCAAAATTGACACTACTGTCACATAAAATCGTTCAAATAAACTTTATAAAACAAAGTTGTTGAATACGGTAATCCAATCGGCCCTTCTTCACAGTGCATGGCCCGATTACGCAAACTTATTCATTAAGGCGCACCCATCCGATGAGAGTAAACATAAGCAAGCAACAGTGACATGATATTGGTATGGATTACGTTCAGCCACTTGAAGTTGAATTGCGCAATCTGATGAGAAGTATGACAAATATCGTCTTGAAACTTTTTGATTTTATATTATTGATTTTCAGGTACTGTAAAATGAAAAAAATTAAAAATTAAGGTCGAGCAGGCTGTTTGATATGATAGGCTTGTAAACATTTTTTGTAAGGCCATAAGTAATATATAGGGGTCATTATACCATTGTATGGGCAAGTCTACTTTATTCTATAACCTCACCTTCGGCTACAGTATGACCGAAACAAAGTTCAAATTGTTTTCAAAGGCCGAAGCGTTTCTGTCACAGAATTTTGGTGCAATTCAAACAGAACGGAACATTTTCTCCCCATTATCTATTCAATTGTAAGGTGATACTATCTCTTTTACACACACAAATTTCGCGCATTTCTTCACAATAACATAGCCGACCGCCGATGCGATGACAACAATATACTCGCCGAACATAAAAACCACAAAAACATTAATTAGAGTTCACTCGAGATGTACTACAGTATAATGGGGGTTTATATGTGGTATTACAAAAGATATTGTATAGACTGTGTAATACTGAAGTATAGTAACATATATTTTTAGGTTAAGTAGTACTATATGGCAATTACACATGTGAAGATTACTCTTACAGTAAAGGAAATGAAAGTTTAAAAAAAGTGTTATCTTGATATCTTGAAGGTACGGTACTTTGACGCCCATCTGTATCTATTTATAGACCTTGGCCGTACTCAATTGGCAATGGATATACCTAAACAAACAAACTTTGACATTTTAAGTGCAGGAAGCGAAGCTTCTTTATAAGGATTAAAACGGTTTAATCGACTTCTTGATTTGTCAAGTAAAATATGTTGTGTTTGCCCAACAACTCGACTTGATTTAGGCTTAATCTGCCTAATCCAATTGTCTTCAGTTGCTTCTGTACATAGTCATATCTCCGGGGTAAAGGGCAAGGGGAGGATACTGTAATTTTTTTGAAATAAGTGACTTAAGGCTGTAATAGAACTGTATGTTAACTTTATCAACTATCTTGATGAGAAAGAGCATCATACTTAGTATTACTCTGTTACTCTGTAATATAAGTATCATACGTCTCTGTAACTCGTACCATATAATTTAAGACTATAGTAACAAAATTGATACTACGACGTTGCTTTTGCTTTATATGTTAATCTATGACGCCTGCCAACAACCGTACTATAACAGCACGAAAAGCATTCTCACCGCCTAATTACTCTATGCTAATATTAGCCCATCGCCAAATTACGGCTTTTTATGTTATACTTACACTTACTCATGTGTCTGTTCAACTTGTAAATCAAATTGCCGCTTGATGAAGATGGCAATTACGACACATGTGATGATCCGTCTGGTAATTACTGTTTAACTCCCCTTACTCTTCTGATTACAATTTGCGGTGTGACTGACTGTTTGCTCATTATTCGTCGAAGGTGGGCCAAGTCGGAATGAATAGGGGGCAGAGCGATACGGTGCGGACGATCAGCCATTAGGTTATTCGGGAGCGGGAAAGATCTCCCCCCGATGCGTTTGGGTTGTTCGTGCTCTCGAGAGATTGATCAGAAGAGTACAGTAGTTCAGTGGGAAGATCGGGTACTTGGCAATATTGAGGAACAGTTTAGTTTGTGGTTGTCAGTTTAGTTATCTATATATAATCTTAAATTGTACTTGGGGATATAGTCAAGGGATACCTTATTAGTCTCATAATGATTGATTAGTAGTTGTTTTGGTAAAGTAACGCTTCTATATTTAGATTTTACTGTATAGTTTCTGCTATGAAACACGTTTTAAACTACTTTTTTAATAGTAATTAGTACGAACAGTTAAATTATTTTAGTTATTGTAGTAAAATCGTTGCTAAAGTCATCGTTCATCACTACACAAGTAAAATGTCGGATTGTGGAGGCTTTTCCATCACCGAGATTCTGAACGAACCTACCAAATCTCCAGAATCTATTGTGAATGACTCTACTGATATTGAGATCCCATCCCCTAGAACCACAGCTTCTTCACCATTAACTCCAAGTCAATCTTCTCCACAACAAAACGATCAGAATCCGATGCCAGGTCTGAATCCCTTTTTTATGCAGCAAATGGCAGCCTTCTACGCAGCTTCACAGAAACAAGGCAACCTTGGAGCTCTGATGATGGCAGCACAACAACAGAAGATGAACGTGGCTGGACCAAGCCAAATGGGACTGCCGGCCGACTGGTGCAATGCTGTTATGCAGAGACAGATGGCATTTGGCAATGGTCAAGGTACGGTTCAGTTTATACGATAACTTATATTTTTGTGTTTATACTTTTTAAAACTTTTTAAACTTTTTTTACATTTTCTACCGTATAATGAATACTATAATGAGTTTTTATATAAAGTTTTTTAAAAAATAATTTAGTTTTATAATAACAAGAAAAATTTGAAAAAACTGATACGGTAGGCAGCCTTTAAAAGCCGGTTACACCCCTAATACCCACAGTTCAAAAAGGTATAGATTTCAACTCTTAATTCCCCTTTGTATTTCTACCGCACAACCACTTAACCTCAGCGTAAGCGGCTTAATTTAGTTCTAGAGCAAATCAAAACATATCTCGGTGATGTCTCTTGAATAAGAAAATTACAAGAGTCAACATGATACAAACTTGATCAATCAAGTTCATCTACTTGATCAATTACTTAAAATTTAAATTATTTTGGTTTTTGTTAAAGGACACTTATGACATTTCTGACTTAATTAAATAGGCTAATATAAGGTTGATTAGTACACTTTAATAAGATGTCATAACCTGTCATACGGGGTCAACTAACCAATGTATAAAAAATATATAATTTTACGTTTTTTAACTGACAATTTGACTACGGCATGACGTAGCTACCTTCAGTAAGTGTGAGAAAGTGAGGAAATCGAGAGAAATAGGGGATGTTTACCGTATGCTGATTGGCTCTTTCTCGAGGCAAAAACAAACAAACTTTGAGGTTGATAGAGGAGTTAATGATTGGAAATCAAAATTTGGATTAGGCTTGCTATTACGGACTTTTTCACAATTTTAAAACTTTATTTTGAGCATATTTTTAAGTTTTTAAAAATTTGATATTCTAACATTTTTAGACGATTTTTACAAGATAGTGTTTTGTAAAATACGAGCTTTCCATTTTTTAGATAGTTATTATTGTTAGGTAAAAATTGTAATGTCACTAATTATCAATTTACACTTTGATTTCATCACAAAAACATATACTCAATAGGCTATTACTGTGTCATACAAAAAGAAAGTTGTTTAAGAAATCAACACATTTCAGGATGGGATCCTCGACAGATTGCATGGATGCAAAGTATGACAAACAAAGCATCACATAAGCGGAAAGGAGGTCAAATTCGATTCACAAATGAACAAACTGATGCTTTGGAAGACACCTTCGACAAGAACAAGTACTTGACCAATCCACAACGACGACAGATCGCTAAGAAACTACAGCTGAGCGAACGACAGGTATGATGATGTTTGAAAAGTGGCAATAAAAGCATTTTGTAAATGATAATGTTAATACAAAGGGTTTCTTAATTTAAAAATGGGCTTTTACATTTAATGATTCTGAAGTTTTACATTTTTGAAATTTTACATTTAGGTGAAAACCTGGTTCCAAAACCGTCGTGCCAAATGGCGTAGAGTCAGAAAAGACGGTGATGATGATGAAGACCTTGCTCATGCTTCTCACTCTAACCTCTTTGCTCAAAGAATCAACCCCACGTTGCCATCGTTATCCTCCCCAACTTCAGATTCTCAATTTATGAAAAACTTTGCAAATTCAAATATTTTAAATCTGGGCGATCTAGCAGGCCCTGCGGCATTGAATTCGTTGGGTCATGCCAAGTTTATTGACCTTTTTAAATCGAAATGACTAAATTGAATGTACTTTTATAGGATATTATAGCATTTCTCTGTCTCTCCCCCATGACCTCACAGTTTTATAATTAATTTAGTCTGATGAATAACTTTGAATTTGTATAAATTTCACTGAATATTTTGTTTAAATAAAATGACTGTATATATGTAGAGAGACAGTATGTGTTATTTTTATTTTTTAAAATTTCACAAAACAATATAATTTTAAATTTTTTATAAAATCTAGATCAATATATTGTGTTCTTTGCACTTTAAAAAGTAGAAAAATGATTTTTGTTTTAGGAAGTGGTCTTGCAGTCTTAAAACCATTACTTTTTAAGCTAATTTAGTTGAGAATGAGCTTTAATATGATAAAACAGATCAGACATTAGCAGGCTGCTAGTTAGACAATATGACATTGCTGTGGTATACGAAGACAAAATTATTTAAGATAGCAATCTTTTAATGTCTTTATTATATTAACAAACTTTAAGGTGATATTTTGAGGTTTTTTGGTTATTTGAGTTATCAGGCAGTAAATGTGACGATTTGACGTATAATAAAAATCATAAAAAGCCGTAGTATAACCAGCCTACAAGCGATATCAAAGTACTGTTCATGCTACGTGTTCTGATGTATGAAACATCAAGATATACTACATGTTTTTGTTACAAGAAGTATAACATATGTACCATGCATAATACAATGTTTTTTCGTTCGTGTTGATCAAAATCATTTGAAATTCGAATGACAGCCGGAAAGTGATGACAAAACAAATAATAACTGACGCTTTCCGTGGGTTAATGTTTGGACAAGGAAGCGATGACATCTTCCTACGACATCCGATCCGTGTGTGAATCCGCGGGATTCTGACACATCAGTTGACAAGTAAAGATACGTTGTCATCAGCTAGGTAGAGTAGTTTTATTGTGGGTTTTGTGTTGTATTAGGTTATTACATGTTTATCTTGTGCAATTTAATAGGCGGATGTTTGGGGTCGAATTATGTGTGTGACTTCCTGATTCTTCACGGTGGTTTCGGTGTATTATACGTGCAAATACTGTAGTAACTTGTGCTGTATTTCTAAAGTTTAATACTCTTTTACAGTTTTAAACGTTTATTTAAGATTTGTAAACTATTAGACTTTAGAGCTTCATATTATGATCTCTTTAAACGTTATTTACAGTTGTCGTATGTTTTTAAATGTCAACGGTGCATTAACGTCTGGCTCCAACTTGTCATTGTGAGTTTAAGTGTTATTTACGTTGCTTGAGACAAATCCTCATCTTTTGTAGACAAAATACAACTTACTACTCCTTATTGTCTATCATTAAAAAAATCTACATCAAAACTGTAATAACTTTGTCTATCAATAAATAACTGGCACTAAATGTGCCATCTTAGACCACACAGAACTTAAAGTGTAGATATTAATGCAAGATGTGAACTCATGCGTACTATTAATATTTGACTTGCATCTTGGGTATTATGCTTGTAATAAATAGTCAGGAAAATGGTTGTTATTGAAAAAATTGTGAAAAACATTTTTATCGGTCCGGCTTTGAAGGGGGGGGGGGGGGAAGAGGTGAGTATTAAAGTAGAGAGAAATGGTTATTTTAAAATTTGAAAAAAAAAATTTTTTTTAAGTATTTTAGTCCCTTTTTCTTTCCAAACACCCTGCCTTTCGTACAAATTAGTTGTTGATACAACAACAATAACACCTCGGATCTAACCTTTTCTAATTCAATTACCTGCATTTCGCGTTGCGCGCGGTTATTTTACTTTTTTGAGGATATAACAATTACTTCAAGAACTTGTTTATTTTTTCTCCAAAGCCGATTCAAGGTAAAATGAGTCTTGATCAAGCTTTTACTTCCTAAGTCAATTAACAACACTGTAAAGGTTTAATGTGTATGGGTGGAACTAATGGCTTCGAACCTCCTTTGAGGTGTAGTTTAGGTACTTTGTGGGTTTTGGAGGTGTTTTAAAGAGTTTTGCTAATTTTAAACTTTTTAAATTTATACAATCGTTTAAAAACAAGGATTGTAAAAAAATTGACGTTGTTTTTGGTTTTAAGATTGTTGTTTTGGCTGTTACAGTATCGTTTACACTCATAAAATAGTACTACTTGTCTCTATGAAGCCGGCTCACTAGGTTTAATGGATCTTTGTATAGACGGCTTACAGTCTACTTTACAATGTCTTACTAACATTCGTAAGCAAAATTGGAAATTGTAGTCACTAAGCCTTGAAACAAGTCCTCCATTACAAAAATGGTATTCTACATTAACAACCATTTGCGTTTAAAAGCATCTACGCAATTTTCTTACAAAACTTTGAAAAGTATGGTATAAAAGGTAGAAAAAAACTTCCTTGCCATTACTTTCCCTTGGTCACTTTACACTCCTATCACTTGTTTTGTCATGTTTATCACTGTAAACTACCTGCTTTCGGTGCCAAAATCATTAAGAATCCAAAAAACAATCATTTCCACTTTTTTTGACACTTTTTACACTGTAAAAGTTCAAAGTATTCTCTACGTACTTTCTCCCAGCTCGTGACGTATTTTAATTAAAGTTGCAAATTGTCCTCCGACCTTGATATACATTTGAAAGTTATTTTTACAACAAAATAATCTTGTTTTATCGATTTGGTTGCTATCGTGTTTACCGTTAGTCGTATGTTGAGGATAAGATTGATGAGCGAGTAGTTGGGAAATTGTATAATAAGTAAAGTCACGGACAAACATGGTTAAAGTAGTTGTTTGTTACCGTTTTCTATTAGTTATAGGTAGAAGGGTATCTTAAAGGTTTCTATGTTTGTATATTTTGTCATGTGGATACTGTATTTTGGACATAATGTATATTTTAATATTAGGGATACTTTTAAAAATAGTTTATTACAATTATCTCAAAAGTCAGTTTTTGTAAATTTTAGTCGTTTAAGTTACCACCGCTTAAAGAAAAAGCTTACCTTGTTTAAACTAGCTTTTCATACCAAAACATTTATTTTATATGAAAATGTATTTTGGTATCTTTTCCCTTTTTCCAAAGTTTCAACTGTTCGATTCCCATTTTAATTAATCAAAAAGATACAAAATTCAGAAAGAATTTTCTTTCCGATGTGACCCAGCGACGTCACAAAACAAAGAAGTTACTGTTACTTTACAATGTAAGAATATTTTGTAGAACAGTATTAATGAACTTACACGAATTTTTTGGTGTTTTTCCTAATGAATTCGTCTTTGCGTAAGCAATTAACACTTTTATAGAATTGTAGATAACATGTGCAGACGTGATGTTTTGTTTTATACAATTTCTGTGTAGTGCAATATTTTTGTAAATCTGAATTTTTGAAAAAATGTTTTTGTAAAGTTTCAGAAGTGGTGGGATATGAAGAAGGGGATAGATCTGGCTTCTAGGCCCAGCCGAAAAATCGACTCGGCTTGGCCCTAAAGCCAGCTTTAAGACGAGCAAATAGGCTGAGAAGGTATGCCAAATTAGTTTTGTTTTGAAATTGTTTATAGTAGCCATAAAAACCGTATAAGCCAAAGCCGGTTTTTACAAATTTAGAAAAAAAAAACATGAGATAGCGGAAGTAATTGGGTTTGACCTGAAGTCATAAAATTAGCCAAGTTGTCACAAAATAAAGCAGGGTGCCTCGGGCTTTTTGGCCTTGCCGCTAGCTATTTTCTGAGCTCTTTTTTATTTAAATTACTGTACATCATAGACCGTAGTATTAAAAAATGAATTAATATTTAACTGTTTGTCATTTCAATGCTAGGCTTATCGGTCAAGCCAATTTTTTAGGTTTTAAGAGCTGAGAGAGAATATACTTCATTACCAAATACGTAGTTTAGATATTATAGTTGATTGCAACCTGCACATGTTAAATCATCACATTCTTTAATAGCAGTAGCATATTTAAGACGGTTGATACTGTAAATTGTTTGTCAACAAGCAATGACATCTATTACCAAAACATTCCTCGAGAATACTAATGCTTATGATCCCTTTGGCAGCTCAACACTCCACTAAAGTAATTGCATAGGATAGTACCTTGTTTACTGTAACGTTTCTGTAGACACCTTCACACTTTTAAAGGCGGAACATACCTCTACAGTAATAGAATATTACAGTATCTTTTTAACACGAAAAACAATAGCATATCAAAGTATGTTTGTAGCTGTATAAAAAACGTTCCTTAACAGTAATTGCTTAATATGATACCAACGTCTTGTTGATATCATTCTTTACCTTAAAATATTATTCACAGTAACCTAGGCGATTACAGCATGGCCTTGTAACTACAGTAATCAGCAGCGTGTTGTTTTTAGTTGGGCATTTTACTCTTTATTTGAGGTAACGTGGTTGATTAGGAATGTTTTTGCAGCAGGACAAACATTGAACAGGACTAATAACTTGTTCTAAATACACGTTTGTATCCACCTACGTCTATTTAGTGGGATGTGACTGTGATAGCATTTAACCAGGCTAGCATTTTCTGCAGTTTTGTTTTACTGTCATATCATATAGTTGTAGTTTACTTCATTTACAACTACAGATTTACTTTATGCTGATTTAACATCAATATTATTGTAGTTCCTGCGCTAGTGAATATGCATTTATTTGTCTTAAACTGTACTATTTACTTTATACTGACATACCTTTTGTAATTTAGAATTTGGCTATTTGTTAACAAACGAAAAATACAATGTGAATATCTTTTACATTACATATTATACATTGTAGCTGATGATTTTGCTTATAAAACTATCTAATAAGTGGATAAGTCAAAGCACAGTCAGTGACAAATTATATTCTAGAATGAGTGTTAACGTGACTTCTTATGGTTTACAATTTACATTTTATTGTATCTTGCTTTTTTTATATAGAAATTGCGCAATTGTTGGATGTGTGTTGTAGATTTGTTGCGTACGTATGCTAATGTAATACAAATAGCTCCTATAGCTCTTTATTTTAATTTGTAAAGTAAAATTATTGTTAAGAAAGGCAAC